TGACGTCATGAGTTAATTGAGGGTCAAATGAGACATGAAATCATATCTCCAATTCATATTCTATCAAAATATGAAAAAGAAATTGGGTTCACTTTGCATCCTAAAGCGCTACAATGGATTTTGTATAGGCATGTTTTTGCCCCTGTATGCTATGTATTACAAGAGCTCGCACGCACGGACATTATTTTAAACGGACGCTCATTCCGTTATTACTGGGCAGAAAAAGGTGAACAAGATATCAAAATGCTTGGAAAAATGTGCCAAATATGATGACAGAGAAAATTTGGCGATTTTATGTTGAAAAATACCAGTACGCGCGAAAACGCGCGCGCATGCACGTGTGCGCGTTTTTTTTAGAAACGCTTAAAATGGCCTGAAACGTATGCAAAAATAATTTGAGACGATTTGGAGCATTTTTATTTTTTGCGCGCGCGCTGACGTCCGGACGTACGCATGCGCGCGCGTTTTTTGACCTGAAATTGACCGGACGGATATTGACCTTAATCATGATAAATATGAATGACAAATGCCTTTCCGTTATGAAGATATGATCATGAGTAAAAAGTACCAAAAAAAACACAAAATGGCGCCTGGATGACGTCATGAAGACTTGATGACCTTGAAAATGTTGCTGTCACGTCTCATGACAATGACCTATGACCGTCCCAAAATTGAAAGAAATTGACTAAACCGATCTTCAGTTATCCTTTACACAAAAAAGTGGGGAGAAATAAATAAAAATAAAGAATAATAATAATAAAGAAAGAAAATTCTGACGAAAACAATAGGTGATCTGTCATTGACAGACCACCTAATAAAATAAATAAATAAATTAATTAAATTAAAATAAAAAATAAAATATCAATCAATCAATCAATCAATCAATCTTTCTCTCTCTCTAAATCCCCCTATTTCTCTTTGTTTAAGTATCCTTTGTTGTTATCATTTTCTCTTTTTCCCCTTTTTTTTCTTTCTCCCTTTCTATCATGATATTCATAATGATATTGGTATTGGTATCAATGTGCCACACTTCTTACGACTTCATGCACTGTCTGATTAGTATGTATTTATCATCATCACCCACAATTTAAAAAAATATATATTGTTCTTATAGGTCTCTTAACAATCACTTACATTCGGTTTTTAGGTAATTTTTGAAGTATATTTTTAAAGTACATACTTAAGATATTGAGAAATATACTATATCCTCTGCAGAGATTTGTGAAAATGCAGGAATTAAAATATTTCCATTCAAGTATTCTGTACGTGTATACAAATGGATGTGAATTCATTCCCCGTATATCTGTGAGGACCCCCCCCCCCCCCTAAAAAAAAAAAAATGTTGCAGGTCTATACATGTAAATCGACAACTGTAGAGGAACGGTGAAAATGATTAATACAGTAAAACTGGTGGATGCTGTTATCTGGTCTTTTACTTTATTGTATTTACAAAAATAACTTTTGCTTAATGTAAATTCTTTCTCTTTCTCACAAATTATTAATACTCAGCATATTTTTAATTTCCAGTCACAATTATAGTACACAACAGGATCAGCTTTATCTCGTAAAGCTTACTGTATTTCCAAGTAAAAACTATATATATATATATATATATATATATATATATATATATTTATTTTATTATTTTGCTTTCTTGTTCCATTACTTCATATTTGAAGATACACAGTAAAGTAAAATATTTATTCTGTTAACTGAGTTAATCAGCCTTATTAATTTTTGTATTCAAAATGGTATCACATAGGTCTTTATCATTCTTGGATCGGTACTTCATATACCAGTAGGATATCATTGTATGTAACTGTAACTGAGTTAGATACCAGCAGGAATATATTCCAATGCATTTTTGTTTGTATTCTATGTTCAATTGAACCTTCTCACTTATACTCTCTATGCTAAACCATATAATCAATATACGTATATATGTACTTGTTATATTTTAAGGTTGTCATTGTACACTTCTGCATTTCTACCATTGACTGCACTTTTATTTCCAATAAACTTTGAATAAAAGTCAATTCAATGATATTCAGAAAATCAAAAGGAAGTAATTATAACATTACAAGATAGAACTTAAAATAATTTAATGTAAAGATTATTAAAATTATGATTGTCATACAGTTAACAACTACATTATTCATGTCCCTTGTAAATTTGATGCATTTTTCGTAACTCAAGAGTTAAAGGTGGACCGGTTGAATGTAGGCCTTTGTTTAATACTTTTAGGTGTAAGCTTAATACTGTAATAGGTCACATTCGTAAGAAACGTAAATTAGGACAAATCAATTTTAAACAGACATGAAATAATTACAAAACCTGGTAAGGGTATGAATAATTTAGTTGATAACTGTATTTCATTAAACAAACAAAATATTGAATTACCTTCTTTCTTATATCCCTCCTTCATGATGATTTCAGGGCATTTTGGGGGGGTAAATGTAACCATCTTCTCATTGTGTGTAGTGGGTTGGAATGTGTTTATTGAATAGACTTTTACGTAATTTAATCGAATTTAAAACATAAATCGATGTTAAGTGCCATGTTACAAATTATTTCATTCACCTGTTGCAAATAATTGTATTTCAATAGTTAGAATGCGAATTGCAAACATTAATTGTTGCTAGGTAGGACAAGCATTAGGGCCTGCGTACCTAACAATACATAAAGTATGCAATTTGCATTCAGACTATTGGAATACAATTATTTGCAACATGGCACATAACAAAGATTTGTTCATTACATTTGATTACATTACGAAAATGATCTATTGTAGTAATTATCCCTATGTTCGTTATCTGGCTAATCATGGACTATGTAGCTCGAAGCTTGCTGTTTACACTCAAATGCTAATATTCCAATAAAACAGTCCCGTGCTAAATGCCTTTGGTTACCTGACACTTATCACAGACAAGTACAAGCGTGTGTCAATAAAATAAGCTTACCGGTACATTTAAAGATACAAATTATGCAGATAATTTTTGACACATTTCCGCATTCTTGGTAATTTCTCATTAATACTGTGATTGCATAGATTTATTGGGTGGAAAACATTTCTTCAGGTCCATACTACTTGTGCAGACATTCAGACGGATTTTGTAGGTCTATTACATTTAATAAAATATACTCTTTGTGCATTCAAGACTGGAAATCACAGAACATAACAATACTGTCCATGTTTCACATGATAGCAAGACATTGACAATACATGGTGTAATTATAATAGGGTGATATATTTTTATGCAAACTTTCTTTTTTTGGCAAGGAGATCAATTTTCACTGACATTAAATCAGGATAGTCTAAGGCAGTGATGGCCATCTTAACACCATTAATTTACTTAAAACTGTAACAAAAATCTTTTAAATTTCAATTATCGTGATATGATCAGATTAATTTAGAACTACAACCTACAACCATTAATGCATGTGAACAAAGCCAGCCTAAATTTAACATTATTCTGGTTTAATCTAAAAGTCTGATTTTTGAGACATTTTTATCGGGATATTGGACAGATAATGAATAATCTGGAGACTTTAAATAAAAGGGTCTTCAAAAAAAATGTAACCCCCAACCCCCATTTCATAAGGGCTCCTCTTTTAAGAGCATGAGCGCATGATTCATATGAATTTTTGTAATCACAGTGTTATGGATATTAATAACAAGATTCAATTCTATTCATGATTTCTTTTACTAGTGATGAAACAGGAAACCCTGATATGTCAGTTAATCTCGTATTTATATGCAAAACCTTTTAATTCATCATGTTGAATCTGCCACTAATACATACAAACAAACACCCTCATAATGAATCTACAGCTCACGGGAACATTACAATCCCCACAAGTATTGTTGCATGTGAGATGGCGCTATTTCACTACATGAAACAGGCAAATAAACCAATCTCCTTAACAAAAAATAATCTTGACTGGTGATAAAGATCTGTATCATGTACAGTTGTAACTCATACGTTGAAATGTTGGTGTATTACAAATAAATGGATGGGTATGCATTTGGGCCGGTAAATTTTATAAATTCAAAGAATTGAAAAAATCAGGCACATCTAGTATTACCGGGTATACTGAAATGCTTCCTCAGGGAATTTTCCCACATATAGACATTACATCTATATTAAATAAAATGTTTTTTAAATGAGGCAATTTATTATCTTGAATATAATGTACATAACTGTCTGCAAAATGTAATTCTAACTAAGCTGAAAAAAAAAATATGATGAAATTCATCTTCATGGAATTGTCTCAAATGTAGATGTTACATCTACCGGGTATATAAAAATAACCATGATATTTCCAGACCTTATTCTCATCATTTACATAATTGCTAAAAGGAAATTCTAACATATATTCTTCTAAAGCAAATCTAGATTTTCTGACTCACATTACATGCTCATTCAGATATGAAGTAGTAAACCACAGTACTTTAAAATAAAAAAAAATAACCTGTAAATAAATGGCAACTCATAGTTTCTACATTTACTCACTGAGCTCTGTACTCTGTACAAAAAAGTTAAGCATTTTACACTTACGCCATTATCTAAAAACAAAAACACCACGTCATATCTGAACAAGGATCCATCATGAAATGGAATTGAGAGGTAGATCATTGGTAGTGATTGCAGAGTTGCATCGTGATGCCAAAGGTTCATGTAGAATGCAGAGAATATGGGTGGTAATTAAAGGGGAAGTCCACCCTGATATTAAGTTGGATTATTTAAAAGCAGAAATGTGAGAGGAACAGGTCAGCAAAAGTTTGAGCAAAAACCCATTGAAAAAAAAACAAATATTATGAATTTTTGAAGGTGCAACCAATCAAACACAAATTGGCAACTCTAAGATGTATCTTGCAAGCTCCCCTCCCATTTCCCCTGTAATACAAAAATCAAAAATCTATATCGCCCTTAAGAAAATATTCAATTATACATTCACCCTACATATATTTATTGCATAAATGAATTTAAATGACACCTGTATGAAACAAATCTTTTCCGTCATCAAAAACTAAGAAAATGAGAACTAATGAAATTTTCTGTACAGAGAAAATTGGGGAGGAGCTCGCATGATACATCACACTGTAGCCAATTTGTGTTTCACTGATGACAACTTCAAAAATTCATAACTTTCCTATTTTTAATTGGAAATTGCTTCAACTTTCACTAAATTGTTTCTCTCATTGTTCTGCTTTTATCAAAACCTACTTAATATCAGGTTGACTTCCCCTGTAAGCCCTACAGTGCCATTGATGGTATTTGCACCTAATTCACACACATCAAAATGGAATAGAATTTAGTCTGGCATTCAAAGAGTTAAGCCCTACCCTAGACTAAGGCTGCTGAAGCACCTCCATCAATAGGCATTGTGATACCATTTATCATTGCACTCATGTCGCTGAGCAGAAAGATAACTGGATTAACAACATCCTCAATTTCTGTAGGAGAGAGAAAAATAAAAGAAGAAAAAAGTAAATTCCTCTAGAATGATATAAACAAATCTATAAAATACCCCTTTTGAGAAGCTCTGCCTGCTTTTGGACTACGAAGTTCACTATTTTCACTTTTCTTTAAGCGGGACTGCACTACTTGTAGCAAATTGCACCCTCTATACAGCCAACAATGCTTAAGTGGTACCTGTTGATCCCCCATGATCCCCTTTTTCTTATGTAAATTGAGAGCTGATTTGATGACATAACCACCTGCCAGTTACCATGCAGGGAGGTCTTATCCCTCCTGGCCAAACTAGTGCAGATATGCTTTAAAGGAAATACTTTTATCATGCCTTTATCCGAATCATTTCATTGTAAACATGTTTGCTACACATCCCCTCTCTGAAATAGTGGAGATCTGTTCTTTCATCACTAATCACAACATTATTTAAATGTTTTTTCTTATTTCAAGCACAAACAAATGGAGAACTGCTTGCATCAATCACAGAGTTGCCAATTTGTTTTTAAACAATCCCACATTGGTAAAGACATTACGGTAATCATTTATTCCAGCAAATCCTGTGTATGTGAACCATTATGTAACACACAAGTTAAACAAATATTCTTTGTCTAAACATGTAGGTAGCTTCATAGTGAAATGCAGTGGCAAATTAAGGCAAAGGCCGTGAGAATAAGTGATGTTGGTGAACTAAAATTTCTTATCTGACATACTTGAATGAAAGCTTAGGTAATATAAAGCCAAATTAAGGTAATACATGTATTTACCAGCTCCATATCCTGGCAATGAAGTCGTACCTCTATGTGATAAATTCATGATTTGCAACAATCATGCATCATTTAGCATAGCATTGGTCTTTTTGGGCATCGTTTATTAATACCCTAAAGAAAACAAGTCACTGCAATTAGAATACCAAACAATGACTGCTATTAAAGAGAAATCCAACCTTGACGGATAGCAACCTACTCTATAGGAAAGCAGAAAAATCAGAGAAGCATACTGGTATAAATTTGAATTGATAACGTCTCTGTGATGAAGTGGCGTATAACTTGTATCTATTTTAAACTCGCTCTATTCTGTTTCTCTGATCTTTCTGCCTTCATACAAATGAAGCTATTACAAGGTTTGGATTACCCTTTAAAGAGGGACGCGACTTACCTAGGAACCTGCCCAGTGGTATCCTGTTGATCATTGCATCCCTCATCTCACCTTGGGCCCAGAACTTCCTGGCCATGGGAGTCAGTACAACGGTAGGGTTCACACAGTTCACTCGAATCTAAGGCCAAAAGAAATGCATCATAATAAAAAAATTAAAGATTTTTTTATACAATGCCTAACTGATTACAAGATAACCACAGGGCTTGCAGTATTATAATACATTAGTTTGGGGGGGCTGAACTTTTTTGGAAAAAGAAGGACAGGACATGCAAGCACTATTTTCTTAGTGAAATCATTTTTAAAGGGATCCGGTAACTTTGTCTCAGATTCTGAAACAAAATTCTGGATTTAGCTCATGATGCAATGATAATTATAAACCTTTAGGTCAGCCAGGACCCTCATGGCTTTTACAAGCCGATCGCCTGTCTGATTATCAAGATATTTATGATTGGAATTACACATTTTGAAAACCGTTCGCCTGACGGTTTCCAAAAACTACAGTCTATTGGGGAAAACGAGTATGGTAAAACCGGTCACTCAAAGATTTTTTACTTTTTTGAGGCACTTCTTGATCATTTTGAAGCGCAATTTTTTTAGGGCTTCAATATTACACCATATCACAGACACTGATAACATGTAGGGCCGTGTATCTCAGATTTAACATTGTTAAACGATCCCTTTAAGGCTATAAAAAGGGACAATTTTCGACAAGACATTGTACAGACTTTCATAAAAACATAAAAGTGTTAATTGAGAAAATGTTTGACTCAATGCATGCATACTATGCTATGAAAGACCAAAACAGAGGTACCTAATTACAGTCTGGATTAAAGTTCCAATTGTGAAAAATCATTTGGAAGGACTATCATTTTAAGCTCTTTACTCCAAAAATTGGAGGAATAAAAAGGAAGTTTATTTTTATGTGGCAATTGAAACAGATGCATGCAAGGATCTCTCTTTCTGATACATACTCATGTTTGAAAGCTTACAATCTTACAACTATAAAAATAACACCAAAAATTTAATGTGGAGAAATAAGTTTTACCTTGTGTTTTGCCAGTTCTAAGGCAGCAACCTTTGTGTATGAATCCAAAGCCCCTTTGGATGATGCTGCAAATACAACAGACATAAAAGTAAGTGGGAAGAAACTCACATAAAGATAAAGAAAATATGAAATAGTTAAAGATTACATTTATTCAATACCCAATGACAAGTTCTAGCTTTCATCCTCGAGCGTATCAAGTCATTGAGACGAAAAAAATATTAGTGTACAAAACTGATATAAAGTCTTTATCTCCTACTAAAAAAAACGTCATCTAAATGATGTACACATAGTTTTAGTCTGTAAATTTTCTAGAAAAATAGCAATGGACTTCATCATATGCATGTGACCATTTAAAAACATTTAATCTGCAGTAATGCCAAGCACTTCATACTTCATGTGCATATTTTGCAGATTTCCCTTTTGCTCTAACTTACACAGAAACTTACTGACAAATATACATGTGCATCTCTTTTATTAAAAAAATCCCATAAGATGCCCTAATCGTATATAATAGCACAATACGGTATACAATGTATCTCACCATATACGGCATGGTTGGTGAGTCCCTGTAGACTGGCAATGCTAGAAAGATTCACTATAGAACCACCTTCGCCTTTTGCGATCATTCCTTTTGCCACAATCTATTTTTTTTTTTTTAAGGAGAGATATAAGTGGAAAAGGGATTTTCAAAATGAAAAAAGTATTCAGCTGGAAAACCTTTAAAGGAATGTACACTCAATTTCATCTTCATGCAAGTATTGAGGTACATCTACGTTTTGTATGAGAGTTGAGCCCACCACACACTATACGATCTGACAACAATCCGATTTTCGAAGAATTTTCAATAGCATTCGATACAAACATTCAAACATGTAAAATATCAATGACCAACAATCTGCATAGAAAATCAAAATTTAAAGGGATTTCATGCTTTCTTGGAAGAAAAAGCTTAATCTGCACAGAATTATATAGCGACATCAAACCAACAGTGCGATTATCTACGATTTGAAGCCGATTCACTTTTTATTTTGACGAGAAGAATTTGATGCACTAAAATTTCAGTTTTTAGGTTTCTTATCATTATTTAGAAGCTAAATCAGGAATATTATGTTTTTTTCAATTTCTCATCTCATGCAATTGCCATTTCTTTGACAATCGGATCGCATGACGATCGTGTAGTGTGCGGTTGGTATTAGGGGAAAATCTATAGTGTGGATTAAGATGTGGAGTTGAGTGAGAGTCCATTTTCTCCAATGTCAGATCTGCTGATAAGGAAAGATTTAGTATTCATTGTACCATTGAGTACATTCTTTGTGGGGGTTTTTGTGGCTTTGTTTCATATATACATATACCAATATCATAATTTTTGTAATCGGGTTTGCCATTGATAGACCTGTGATCTTTGCAAAACCCACCATATTTAAATTTGTTTGTGTAAACTATACTTTTTACTTTCTCTTTTAATGTTATTGTCATTGTGATTTTTCTTTTTATTCAATTTATGTGAAAATAAAATAAATTGAATCTATTTGAATTTAAGTGAGTTGAATTGAATTGTATATACACGTACCTAGACAGAATTGAAATTATAAAGGAAAGAATTATATCATTATGATAAGCTTGGTTTTCATCCTTCCATGTTAATATGCTACAAAATGAATGAATGGGGGGGGGGGAGAAATCATGCAGGATAAAGGGAGAGAAAAGGAGACAAGTTATAAAGTCACATTTATAAAAAACAATTTTCATGTAAACTTTGCTAATAGTTTCTCCGTTATTTCCTAACCGTCTATTCCCAGTCCACCACCCCCGTTTCTCTCTGAAATTCTCTGCAAATTTGTACATCTTAAATATTGGAACAAAACACTGTAAATAAATTCATGCATTCAAACATTCATTATAATGATGCACTTAAAAGTAAAACATGCCAAATTATTCATTAGTTGAACTCACCTTTGTGATTTGAAGAATCGCTCGATGATTTATCATCATAACACTAAAAACAAAAAGATATAAAGAAGCATTACCATTCCACGAATTGTAAAATTTCATAGTAATCATTTTTTTTAAAGATGAATTAGTCCCTTTCTTACAGTAAAACTAAATCAGTAACTCTTTTTACTCCCAACTATAGCAAACTATATAGAAAGGTACACTTTTCTAAAAAATGAACAAACAATGAAAGGATATTGAGACTAAAATGCATGCAACTATGAGGGTGAGTGATGAATAAGGCCTTTTGTCAAAGATTGGGTTGAACAAAGAACATTAGTCTGAGGTCAAAGTTATCCTCTCGTTAAACAGGAGTTTAGACCGAGGGTTAGGGTCCTGTCTTATAAAGAGTTGATATCATCACAACTGTGTACATAAGAGATAGGATACTGCAAACTTGTGATTGATTAAAGGACTTGCAATTGATTTTGATCAATCGCAATTCTTTCTAAGACGGGTTCCAGATTTAGCTGAATAAGTAGCATATATACCACAAAACAGAATTGAAAAGTTTTAACAAATTACTTAGAAAAGGGAACACTGCAGAAAATTCCCATTTTGGCCCTTAAAGGCATCGTTTAACAATATTAAATCTGAGATCCATGGCCCTACCTGTTATCACTGTCAGTGATATGGTCTAATATTGAAGCTTTAAAAACACTGCGCTTCAAAATGATCAAAAATTGCCTCAACAAAGTAAAAATCTTTGAGTGACCAGTTTTACCATACTAATTTTCCTCAATAGACTGTAGTGTTATGAAAACCGTTTGGCAAACGCAAAATTTTATTTCGATTTTGAATCATAAATATCTTAATAATCAGACAGGCGATCGGCTTGTAAAAGTCATGGGGTTCCTGACTGACCTAAAGATTTAGAATTGTCATTGCAGCATGAGCTAAATCCAGGATTTTGTTTCAGAATCTGAGGCAAAGTTACCCAATCCCTTTAACAGACAAAATATGAAGGAGCCTTACTTGTCATAGGCCTCTGCCGAGACCTCTAGGCAGGACTCTCCACTGGAGACGCCAGCACTGTTAACAAGGAGGTCAAAAGGAGGTAAGGGTGATAGTACTTCATTGGTCTTATCCCAGTCGTGCACATCCAAACATATCGTCTCAATCCCAGGCACCTGCATAAACAATGATCAGGGGACAGACAGTGAAATGCAATTAAAATACAGTGGAAAGTGGAAACATATCAGAAATCAAAATTGTAATCATAGTGACAAATGTAATTGAAGATTCCTAGAACTGCAAAGGTAACTTTTTTTTTCTAGTAGGGAAATAAATCCGAGGTCATAACCGTATAAAAATATCTACTGGGGTTAAATCATTTAACTTATTACTTAAAAAGAAAAACATCAACATAGGTCTACATTTTTATTTTTTTTTTCAGGATATTTTGTTGTTTTGTTAATACTTTATTATTCTTTGTTAGATGTTTTTCTTATTAATCTGACTCAAGGTTACAAAAGTAGGCAATTTGTTAATACTTTATTATTATTTGTTAGATGTTTTTCTTATTAATCTGACTTAAGGTTACAAAAGTAGGCAATTTGTTAATACTTTTTTTATTATTTGTTAGATGTTTTTCTTAGAGATCTGACTTAAGGTTACAAAAGTAGACAGGTCCTTTTCTGCAAAACTTGTTTGAAATTTTTTACTTATTTCTTGGGATGAAAAAAACTTAGAACATTATTCACCTCTTGCTTCAATGTGTCCAAATCGGCCTGTGACCTAGTTAGAGCAGTCACCGATGCTCCACACTTCGCTAGTGCCACTGCAATTCCTCTACCGATTCCTGCATGAAAGTCAGGGACATGAACATAGCAAAGGTCAGATCATATACATACATTATGTAACATGCATTTATGAGTGGCTTGTTTTGGCACAAGACTACAAGTTGATTCACTTAGTGCTACACACTAACACTATAGACTAGGGCCTTCAGCAATGTAGGCCCTTTTTAAAGGGGAACTGACCCCAATGAATAATTGTAGATATTCTGTAAAATGAGATGAATTCCTGCCTTTTGACGTGCAATAAATCTTACAAACGTGTACAAGAGATATATAAATCAAGACTTTTTGGCATGATGTTATGTCTTTTAGCATGACATGAATGCAGCCATTTTCATGAAAATGTGAAGTACCAGTTGGAGTTGTACATGTATCATGCATCAAGCTTTAAATGGAAAGACTTTTTAATTCAATAACAAAACCTTTAATTTTCAATTGGGGAAAATTCATAGCCGAGAAGGTAGAAATACATTTGGTGAAAAATATATAATATTAATCAATAGGGTAACAATTGTAACTCATTTATTTAAAAATACTAAAATATAGCGTTTGAAAAATCTATTTTGATTATGCGAAACCTTCACCTCAGAACAGCACCAACCTTTTGTATACAATTTGCTTTCTGGCAATTGGAGTACAAACTACAAAGGATATTAATAGCAGGTGAATGAAATGTTTCAACAATACAAACACATGGGAAGGAAGCACCTATAAATTTGAATACATTTAGTTGATAAACAACTCCGCATAGTACTTCATGCAATCAAGAAAATGGTGATGCCCATGTCTTGCTGAGAAACTACTTTTGTCTTGCTTTATCATTGCTTTCTAATACACTTTGGTGGGGAATCTAGGTTGATGGGCAAGTATGCAATAAATCTCTCAGAACAACCAAAGTTATTCTGTGGGGTTATGCTAGACTTCTTCATTAAGGCAAGCATCATCATCATTAATTATCATGTTCATCTTTCATCCTTAATCATTAGGTCTACAGTCATCATCATCATCATATGGCTGATATATTATCATTTAATGTATATATAGGTCTTCTTCTATATCAAATTATCATCATTAATTAAACGTACATGATTTTTATCATCATTCATCCTCATCATCATCATCATCATCATCACCACCACCACCACCACCACCACCACCACCTACATCATCATCACAGCACCACTCATGAACTTATGATGTGCGAGGTTATCTAGCATCGCATCAACACATTACTTAGCAATAGCATTGACCACATAGCTCATCGCGCTCTCACACTCAGATTTCCAAGAGAAATAGCAACTTTAATACAAGTGTATCGGACTGAAATGAAAATTAAGTGTGGGACTCTCATCTTAAAACAGAATTCTGCACAGCTGAACACAAATCACATAGAGTCGGACGGTTCACTTACCTTTTCCGGCACCGGTAACAAGGGCCCTCTTATTTTTAAAACAAATTTCCATGCTTTTTAATGATTTGTTATGCTTTTTCTTCCGGCAAAGGAGGGGTAACAGACGCCCAATCTGACTGCAATGTCTCTATGCTTTGCTGGAGTGGGTATCGGGGTAGTTCTAGCGACTAATAAGAGAACCGGTCGGTGACACTGAACTGCTACTATACTGAATATACTGTGCGGAAAATCCGTACATTTCAGTGGGTGCAGGCTTAATGGTCGCTAGTTTTAAGGAGCGCACTATGTGTCGCTGGTGTGCTCCGGCGTCATCTGGGCCGAATATCGACTGCATATGGTTGACAAAATGTACATCATTTATGTTCCATTCACAAGACAATAAATAAAAAATTATAAAGTCCCTAAGCCTAGTGCACACAGATTAATTTGACACTTTCTGTATGCACCTTATTGCAGTTGTGTAAGTGTTGCCATACATTTTGAATTCAAAGCAAGCTATGTACTAATTGAAGATAATTTGAAAGTTTGAGTGAAAACAATAATTAATGATAAGATTTATCTGATCGATTCCTTAAAATCTCCCAACTATATTATAGCACACATCACATCCAACTAAAGTATGATGCTTAAGCAGTATCTTGGACCATGTAAAGAGAGAAACAAACAATGAAATCATATAATCTAATCACAATTGAGTTATAACCGGGGCCTACCAATGTCTTAAAGTTTTATACTTTCACTTTGAGGTTTGCATTTGTAGGTGCCCCTTTTTCTAGAAAGTCCGCTTTTTGTGTTGGTAAGTCACACGCTTATATGTATACATTGAAACAAAAGGTAATAATATATTCTGTTCGGTTGGTATACATGCCCCACCCTTCCCATGGCATTTGAAAGTGGCTGAGAGTGAATTGGTCCTAGAAATTTAGTTGATTGATGAAAATTTTATGAAAAAAGGGCAATGCATGGACCCCACGACTCCCGCTGCAACTCCTGGTGGATGAGACATATCTTCATGTTCTTTTTCTGACTAGTTTTCCAAGGTCATGCAGTCCATGTCTATAATGCTGGGATCACACCTCTAAATTTCTCTCTCAGAATTCTCTTGTCTTATATTCTCCGCTCCTACTTTTCATTTCCATCTCTTTAAACATTCTTTACTAACTCTAATGATGGTATCCCAAAGGGAATGATATCTATAACATTATTAAAACACAGATAAATGTCAGTCATGGACAAGTCCAATATGAGTTTTGATCACGTCTCATACGTATCAGCACTTACCAGATCAGTGAACAGAAATAAACATGCATGGACTACAATTTGAGATCAGCATTGCTATTTATTGTTCATGCTGCAAATCAACAAGAATATTTATTCATTCTAAGAAACAGGAATTTAAATGCAATAATTTACTGTTCTACCAGAAATAGTCTTGCCAATTGAAATAAATTATGTACCACTCATCTTTTAGCAAGTTATTTAAGTCATTACAAATATTTTGAATATTATTGAATGAAAGCACTTTTATTATTATTAACCAAATTTTGTGAAATAATAAAATATCAGCCATGAATTATTTGTTTTTGTTGAGTTTGGTATATTGTCGCTACACCTGAAATAGGAACTTCTTTCTTTACCTTGCCAACTTTGGGAAATGTAAACCTGTGATGATACGTCAATAAGTCATTTTGAATATAATTGAATGATATTTATAATATGTTGTGAATTCAATAAAATATTGGTCATGTATTATTTGTTTCGTATTCACTTTGAAATATCTCCCCATATGAAAAAGTCGGTCCTTGTCAAAATATAATCATGTTCACGATTTAAATTTTGATTACAATAAACTATGGGTCATGTATTATATTTGATTTGCATTCATTCTGTATTGTCTTCGATGGATCTTTTAATTTGCTATCAATGCAGAGATGTGAAAGACGATAACTGCAACACAGATCCATATGCTTTATCATCTCTTTATTATAATTAAAGATACATTCTACACAAAGCAAATGAGAAAGATACTCAGAGGTGAATGATATAACAGAATTCAGAGCATATCCTTATATGCCTATATCCACTCTACTCTTTGATATCTGCCAAAGATTAATGGTGAATTTTGTCAATACATAACTGCTAACAAGAACAGTGCATTTCATTTTCCATCTATCCTGATGATATGGTCTTGCTCTTGTTTAATGTAAATGTATAATGTATCAAAGATCAATAGTTTATCTCAAATACATAAACACAACCACAACTAGTAGTAGTAGTAGTAGAATGGTTTTTTTTATTAGACAACTTCAAAATGGTAGCCTGAAAGCTAAATTACATTGCAAGTTTTACATGTATTAAAAAGCATTTCAACAAACTTAGATATAGACAAGTACACATAATACACAGTCGGGTAGATCATAACTAATTACATATTCCCTACTTGCAATTAAATTGATGAAACAAATAAAATAGATTCTGCATTTTTTTTTTCTGTAATCATTGTTAAGTGAGGAATATTCATATTTTAAATATAAATTGAGGCTGATTAATTGAGTTATAACAAGTAAGTACTGAAGATTTGTTTAATTTCGAACCGTAATGCACATTGAATGTCTATAAAGCTACACAATATATAAGGATTTATCATAGAAACATGATTAAACAATTACCGAAAGGGAGAGAAAAGGTTAGGGAGAGAACGATGTTGAGAGAGAGAGAGAGTCAAGTTAGAAAGAAAAACAGGAAGACATGCGGAAGATGGGAGAGGGAGAGAGAGAGAGATAGGGAGGGAGTGGAATGAGAAGAATGGAACAGTTGGAACTGTGAAGACATGGAGAAGCGGAATGATGATGAAAGTAAGACGACAAGGAAAAGGCGATTAGAAAGAAATTACAAAGTAAATTACAAACTTTCCCTTACAGAGAAAAACAGTACAATTTACCAATTATGCATTACTAAGATAATAACAGAATATATGCGTAAAAACTTTAAATATGTAAAGACATAGAATGTACATGGGAACGTGCGTAACTATAAGAGAGATATTCACTAAACCATTTTGATTGATATTGACACCACAATATTTCTCTAGGCACACTTGAGACTGTAGTGTAACAGTACTGAAAAATCTGGATATAACAAAGTGGTTGGGATCAATGATAATTGTGTTTTTTACCTTATAACATGAGACATTGTGCCAACTCAGATCTTGTTCCATGTACATCAGACTTCCTCTATATACTCAACATCAATACCACATCAACACTAGTTTATTTTTAATCAATGCTGAGACAACAGTTTTCTTTCTAATATCAAGCATTATTAAAAGTGTACCACTCATCAAACATGTTCTTGATGTAAGAGATATCACGTGACTATGCTGTATTCAAAATATGAGCTTCAAGTATTACTTCCTCCTACTTCCAAGAGAGATACAGTCAAACCTGTCTATAGCGACCACCCAAGGGAAACACAAAGAGTGGCCTTTGTTGACAGGTGGTCTTTGTAGACAGGTTCTAGTTTTAATACGTGTTTCAATGAGAAACCACTTTCAAAGGAAACAAAAAATGTGGTCCTTGTAGACAGGTGGTCACTAAAGCAGGTTTGACTGTATTACAATTTTTTACAAAAATAACTTAAAGTAGACTAGTCAATGCATGTGTAAATGTTTGCATGAAATAGGGTGCCCACAAAGTCAAAGTGTGGAGGGTTCTCGTCTTTGTGACAATATATATTCTGTTTACGTGATCTACAAGTTGAGACTATAATGTTTATATTGAGAGAGGGCGTATATATAGACACACCCTCCAATATGGCTGAATAAACATGCAGTCAGGCAAAAGTAAATTGACACAGGAGATCACAGTTTGAGATGTTATTATTTATGACTTCCTCACTTCATATAGCAACCAAAATGACACTGTCTTCACATTCCTTAACCATTAATCAATAGAATGCCAGCCGAGGTTAGTTTTTTTAAAGTTGATTTTATATATATATTAGCTAAACAAAATATTTCAGGTGAGATTGGTATACTTTGATGGTTAATCTATTAAAGTAAAAAGTCCATTCCACATCGAATCGATTTGTTTTCTTCATCTAAATACAATATTTCTTTAAACAAACTTGATATCAATGATTTTGGGTTTATCAAAGATCTTATGGGCTAAGTGCTGGTATCTCCTTGGCTTAATGGTGTGAATACATGTATTTCAGGACAGACCCAAGTTATTATCTTATTGATTTGATTTATCAATACTAAAAACATTACATTTCATTTGATAAGCTTGGTATTGAAGCTTAAAGCCCGTCTGTACTAGTTTGGCCAGGAGGGATTAGACCTCCCAGAGAGGTCACTGACAGGTGGTTATCTCATCAAATCAGCTCTCATTGAACATAAGAAAAAAAGGGTCATGGGGGACCAATGGCCACCGCCATTGTTTTCTATATAGAGGAAGCCAGTAGCTACAAGTAGTGCAGTGGGGCTTTAATGGTTAATCTAAAAACGAATCAAAAGCATATAAATTTTTAATTTTTCATCCATTCCAAGACCACAATCATTTTCTTGGTGACCTTTGTATCAAATATTAATGGATAATCTAACTGGCAAGTCTTAAGTTCATTTGCTGCCCCATACATTGAAACTAAAACAATTATTGAAATCAAAAGAATAATTTCCTTGCAATTCAGTTCGATCCAAACTCTAATAGGGCTATTAACTTGACATGATTATCAGAAGAACTAAAAATTTAATTTAGTCAATTACATGTACATATGAGACCAAATAGAACACATCTGCAAGCAGATATAAAACCATGACCACAGCAACATTGATTTGATTTGTCATCTATTCAGAGACCACTAACTTTCGCTTTGATATACAAGATAAATGGATAATCTAATAGTAAAGTGGCAGAACCACATTCCTACCAACATGATTTGTCATCTACTAAAACAATGGTCTTCTTTTGATGATACATTGATGGTGAGTCTAAAAACAAAATCACATCATCTGATATTCAACTCATATCCTGCCATAAGGCCACATGCACGATACCGTTACGGTGCTTTGTACACAGAGCACGCTATCGATTGCATGCTTAATTCACGAGAGCGAGCCACAGCTTAGCTGCTTTATGCATGCATGCTCACATTCGTAATAGCAGTTATTGTTCATGCTCATTGTACTGTGCTGAGTGCTTTGAACGCACTATTGATCGCACCATCCGATTATCAGATTATCTCAAAAGAGAGCGAGCCACAGCTTAGCTGCTTTATGCATGCATGCTCACATTCGTAATAGCAGTTATTGTTCATGATCATTGTACTCTGCTGAGTGCTTTGAACGCACTATTGATCGCACCATCCGATTATCAGATTATCTCAAAATAAACTTGGCACAGGGGGGATTTGTGGCTTGGCACAATGGGGGTTTACCTCTTTGGCACTGGGCTGTATTCATTATGGCAGGATAAGAGTTAATCTATACTGAGATTACAATCTTTCTCTGGGTGAGCTTGATGTCATCCGGTGATAAGTTCTCCTTGAGAAAGGTATCCAGGCGGAGTAGCATCTCTTCCGTCTTTGTCTCCATCTCCTTGCAACCCACCTCAACTGGGTCGTCATCTGGTATGAGGGTGATTAAAAATGTCAAGAAATATTTAAAAAAGGTAGGCTCAAAAAGGATATCAGCTCCACAGACATGTTTTGATTGTTTAGTACTGCTGTAAAATCATATGACCATTTAATGATGTTAGTCATACCAGAAAGATACAGTAGTCTATAGTCTTGGCAAGAGATATTAATTTTTTGAGAAATAAATGATTAATGTCATATGCCATATGGGATACATTGCATGTAATCACAGTGCTATACTGCCGAGTTTGCTGTTGGTGTGCTTTTTTTCTTCTTTTTTTTTTTAGTCACAAATGACCTCTAAGAAATGCTTCATACCTGCAGTGACAAAATATGAATCTATTTATAAGAGGAGGGCACTTGTCTCACATGTGGAGAAAATTGCAAGGGGGTTTAGTAGAATGTGGTGGTGGTTATTTTACCCGACTACTAAGAAAGTTTAAATGCCTGTTATTAAGCAACCACAGGATCGACGGCTTTAGGTCATCTTTTGTGCATTCTTCTGGGTTTCGAGGAGCACACGCAACCCTTTGCTATGCCACTGACGATGCCCTATTGAGCATCCTTGTTCCCTTTCATCCCAATCCTGTCACGGCAAACGCCTAACCTACCCTCAATACAATGCTTGTTCTCCTCCTTCTCTTCCTCCTTGCTCTTCTGCCTCGTGTTTTGCTGCCGCGTCAGCCCGACAAACTTCTTGAAGCGACCCATCATGAAGTCGATGATCTCCAGCTCGTTGCCTGACTTGGCGTTCTCCTGTCTGACCCTGGTGAAAGCCTCATTGATGATGGACAGGAACATGTTGAGGCAGATGAAGATGACGATGATCACGTAGCAGAAGAAGAACAGCGGACCGAGGTGACGGCTAGTCTGCACCATCTCCGCAAACTTGAACTTTCCTATAATAATAATAATAATATTCTGTTTTTATATAGCGCTCAATATATTGATCCAACGATGTGCCTAAGCGCTTAACAGATATATTATTACCCCGGTCATCAGATTCAGGCTTACCCGCATCCTACCGGGTACCCATTTAACACCTGGGTGGAGGTGTATATCTTGCCAAATGATATTAGTGCCGTGTCACGATTCGAACCCTCGACCTTAGCATCTCCATGAAGACATTGTCAAAATCAATATGACAACATAGGAGAAGAAGACGATGAAACTATAGACCAATCTCTGATTTCAGGAAAAGCATGCACACTGTATTTATATATTTCGTACAAACCATGAAACCGGTGCAACTGATATTATAGTGCTGAATAAAGTGATACCCATCCATGGAATCGAATGATTAGTGATTCTTTGCAACATAGTTCAACAAAGGCATTAGCATGCTACTCCCCAAAGATATGTACCAGGTATTATCAGGTAAGAATCTATTATTAAAGATGGTGTGCTTTTCCCGAAATGTCTAAGATAAAAGGCAGAGAAAGAGAGAGAGAGAGAGAGAGAGAGTGACCAGCTGAGATTATTTAGACATATTAAAATAATTAAAGAAATTGTTAAGTGGTGAGTATGGTGGAATGCTACAAAAAGGAGAAAAGAAAGATAGCCACATCAAAGATGAATTGATAGTACATTACAGAGACGATGAAAGAGTGGTCAATCTAGATATAGTGACGGGGGAGGGGGGGCAACGCTATGCCCTGACTGACGCTACAGAACACAAAAAAACACAAGTAATGAATGATGAAGACATCTCCCTACCTAGCATCGTTGAGAAGAGGGTGACAATGGTGGATCCAAAGGTACTGAAGCCGATCAGGTACGGGCTGTACATGTTGAAGGCCATGGAGCTAAAAGCCATGAAGACGATACCAAACACGATCAGGTAGTAGAGGATCTCCTGGCCAGCGTTCTTCAGGGTCAGGGACAGGATCAGCAGGCGACGGTTGAATCTAAAGAGCTTCATGAACTTGATGTTTGCAATGAAGACGACTAGGGCGGTCATGTAGCGATACAGCTAGGGGTTAATTAAAGGAAATATTGCATGGATTGATCATAATTGAGCTACATTGTACATGGACTTATTCTTTATCTAGAGTACGAGATATCCATTCATTCCATTGTTGATGGGTTTTAGCTTTATTCTACTGCAATTGGACAGGTAGGTAAAAACAGAATTCAACATTCTAATTCAAATGCAACCAAACTCATTTTGATAACTTCAAGGTTATCACATCCATTGGTGGAAAATGTAATAATTTCCTATACAAGAAATTTACTGAACAATAACCCATGACAAAAACGTTGACGGTTGTGGTACTTACCGAGTCCCAATGGGAGACATACTGGAAATTCAAGAAGCTGTCAGGGTCAGTCCGGTACTGCGCCATAAGCTGTCGACCGATGAACAACCGGTACAGGTAGAAAGTGATCGCGCAGTACGCCATGACCAGGGTCGTGACCTCCAACATGTTCCAGAAGCTTCTGAAATACTCTCTCTTCTTTTTGATGAAGAGTTTGATCTCCTTGTAGGTGAAGTAGAGGAGGAACAGGACATAGGTGACCTCACCGGCTAGGACAAAGTAGGCAAAGTTGCCCTGGTAACGGTCAAGCCGGATGGTGCGGAAGTTCACGTATGGGAATGCACCTATATATAAAATGATTGATTGAAAACATACTAGACTGTCACAATGTAAGCAAAATATTTTTTAAATGAATCACTTGTTGTAAATGCATTTGGCATTGCAAACAAAAAGACAAAACAGTAATGAAATTCTCTGTATATTATATTCTTGGACTATATGCTTCAGTTGGCACAACAAACTACCAGTATATCAATACTTACAAAATGGTACATGGCATAGAAATTGATTGAAAACATACTGGACTGTCACAATGTAAAGTTTTTTTAAAATTGAACGAATCTTTTGTTGTAAATGCATTTGCATTGCAATAAAAAAGATAGAAGAATAATAAAATTTTCAGGATATTATATTCTTGAAGTATATGCTTCAGTTGGCACAACAAACTATGTCAATACTTACAAAATGGTACAGCCATGGTGTAGAAACTTGGTGGACCAATCCATAAAAAGCTTTTCATAAAGTAGTCTCAATATCTCATCATAAACCAATATTTCTTCCAAATCAAATCAACTCTGTATGAAAACACATTTTGGTAAATAATAATTGTTGAAAAAGACGCAAACAACAGGAAAACAATTTGTTTAATCATTCTTTTATTAGAGTACTCCAGTTGACCCCTTAAAGGAAGTTTAAATTTAATACACTGAGTGATTCATTATACTTACCCCCTTGTGATGGAAATTCAACCAGTAGAAAAGAAATGCAGTACATATTGTTGATAGGGTTATAGGTGACAAACTCAAAGAAAACAGCCCTTGTGTACTGGTCCACCCAAAATGAATCACGTAGGTACTGCATCTGGGCTGCAGAACAAGAAGTCAGAACACTTTCTGAATCCAAATACTTGCTTATTACATACCTTATACTACATGAAAATTACAGAAAAGGTGAGATGCGTTGGGTTGAGTTTGGTTGATAGCAAAGAATATTGGGCCATTTGAATATTGGGTTTAACTTGAACATTTCTGTGTATCAGAAGTACTACATACCCAGTGAACAGCATTAAAACGTACAGTTGAGCACTGATTGTGTTATTACATTGTGAAAGAAAGTCTTGAAAAATTATTGAAAAATGTTGATTATGTAGCCCATTATAATAAGGCAATGGCTCAATTTTGCTGAAATTCACACATAATGAAAGGCAGTGCACACTTTAATGGATACATAACAAGACATACACATGCTGTATCAAACTTCCATCAAAGCTTTAAACTAGTTCTCATCATATCATAATAAATATGAGGGCATTTCGAGATAAATCCTTTTGATATTTTAATGATATTATAAAGGAAAGAATGGGAAATTTCAAAAACAGTTTGTCTTCCTTATAATTAAAGACCAATACCTGTGGGTTCTCAAGGGGGATTTTTCAACAACATTTGGATGTTTACCTGATAATCACCCAGAGTGGACTTCACTTTCATGACTAACAGGTCCTTTGTAATTAATGCCCTGCAACCTCCACCAACCGCCCCATAAGGAAATCTTATCTTATTCATAAATTTTGATCACCCTCAAGACTTGAAGGCAAGCTGAAGAAATTTTCTGGTGGTCAGTTTCAGCTGCCTGTCAAGACCAGTGCCCTGTAGAGTTGCGATAGATTCCAATCAATAGCAACTCTAATCGCAACTGTGTACTTAAGAGAAAGGAGTTGCAATCGATTTGAATTAATCGCAACTTATAAGATGAGGGCCTGTACATAGATTCATTGGGATTTTTCAGTCAGATTTTGTGTCAGTGTTAACTAGTCGGAATACACCTGGGGGGTGTTTCGCAAACATCCTAAGTTGAACTTATCTCTAAGTTGGACTTAACAATTATGGAAAGCCATTAGCATCTTTGAAAATATTTTAAAAGGCATAAAATGTTGATTTAAATCATTCATATTTTATTATATTATCATGGGAGATTTCATGTTCTTGGCGTGGAATTTATGAACAGTCTAAAATACTTGAATTTTTGCTTATGAATATATTTGATTCTAAGGCTACTAATGGCTCTCCATAATTTGTAAGTCCAACTTGGAGTTAAGTTCAACTTAGAATCTTTGTGAAACATCCCCCTGGAAACAGATGACTATGTGGCTTTAAAGTCTTCTTCATTGATTGAATTCTCTAATTTACCCATAGCAGTAGTAGGATTTGTGGGTATCTCAGCCAGATAGCCTCCTCCCTTGTAGGTCGCTTGTTTTCCAAGGTAAGGGAATGAATCGATCTCGGTCCAGTCGTAATGCTTCCAAACACAACCCTCAGTAGTTGTGTAATCCATAGGATCTAAATGAAGATAATAGTAAGAAAAGAGGCAGAATATCCAGCTTTGATTCTCTTTCTTCCTTCTTCTTCTTCTTCTTCTTCTTCTTCTTCTTCTTCTTCTTATTATTATTATTATCATTATTATTTGTTTTGCCTGTTGACTGCGTCTCATTCATGAATTATTCCAGCTACCCCACTACCCACCCACCTACCAACATACCTACTAACTACATACCCACCTAACCACCTACCCGTCTACCCACACACCCACCTACCCACATACCTACCTAACCGGCTACCCGCCTAACCAGCTACCCCACTACCCACCCACCTACCCACATACCTAACTAACCACCTACCCACCAAACCACCTACCCCACTACCCACCCACCCACCTACCCACATACCTACCTAACCACCTACCCACCTACCTCTCCCACTACCTACTCACCTACCCACCAACTTACCTAACCACCTACCCACCTAACCAGCTATCCCACTACCCACCCACCTACCCACATACCTACTAACTACATACCCACCTAACCACCTACCCGTCTACCCAAACACCCACCTACCCAAACACCCACCTACCCACATACCTACCTAACCGGCTACCCGCCTAACCAGCTACCCCACTACCCACCCACCTACCCACATACCTAACTAACCACCTACCCACCTACCTCTCCCACTACCTACTCACCTACTCACCAACTTACCTAACCACCTACCCACCTAACCAGCTATTCCACTACCCACCCACCTACCCACATACCTACCTAACCACCTTCCCACCAAACCAACTACCACACTATCCACCCACCCACCTACCCACATATCTACCTAACCACCTACCAACCTACCTCTCCCGCTACCTACAAGCCTGTCCACCTATGTGCCCACTTACCAAACTACCTGCTCACCTACCTACACACATACCCACCTACCCCACTTCCCACCCACCTACCCGACTACCCACATACCTACCAAACCACCTACCCACCCACCTACCCAACATCCCACCTACATACCCATCCACCTACCCACCTTCCCACATATCCACCTACCTACCCTCATACGCACCTTCCTTCCTACCTACCTACCCACATACTCACCTACCCACCTGAACACCTACCCACGTACCTACCTACCTATCAATCTACATATCTCTCTTTTTTCATCACAAACCTGATTCATTAACTTGTTTCCACCCCGGAGCAAGGTCTTCATCCTCATCATCAGCGAATGAATAGGTGCGTTTACACTGTATGTTAGAGCTTTGTATCTTCTCTGGTAGGTCACAAGATTCTGCAAACAAATACAATATTTGCAGGTAATTCAATTTAGGGAAATGTCTGAAAAGAGTCTAATCATGCCATATTTATATGTAAATCTACAAACATATAACTGTATGTAGTTTATGTGTTTCTTGCATATCATCATTGATTTATGTTCGTGCACAGTTCTTCAATGATTTTTGTAACAACATATTATAATCCCCCAAACCAGCTTCTGCTCAATAACTCCATCACAACCATTGTCTTTATCACTGTAATCATCATCATCATCATCACACTTGCATCGTCACCATCATCATCACTACCATAATCATTATCGCCAACAAGATTGACACTAACCCTGTCATAGTCATCATCGTCATCCCTACCACCATTGTCATCCCTACCATCATAATCATTACTATCATCATCATCATTCCCACCACCATTATCATCGTCATCCCCATGACTCACCTTGTTTAACTCTAAGCTGTCTCATCCTGGCCATTCCCACTAGATTCATCTGCTTCCCAGAGACCAGCCTCTGCTTGATAACTTGGAAGTATTCCTTTCCCTTATACCACGTCTCATCATCATCATCATCGTCATCATCATCATCGTCATCATCATCGCCATCATCATCATCACCATCATCATCATCCTCATCATCCCCATCATCATCCCCATCATCATCATCATCCCCATCATCTCCATCACTCACCTTGTTTAACTCTAAGCTGTCTCAGCCTTGCCATTCCCACCAGATTCATCTGCTTCCCAGATACCAACCTCTGCTTGATACCCTGGATGTCCTCCTTCCCGTTATACCATGTCTCAGAGAAGAGAGATGGGATGAAAACATTCTCTGTGTAGTTCCAGAACTGTTCTCGTGTTTGAATCTGTTGAAGAAGCAGAAATTGGTCTTTAATGGTTTATTTATTGAATGTTCAACTCATCATTGGTACTAATTACTACATGATTTTCTTCCCTAAAGACATGGTCACATCACCTAAAAGCAGCCTGCTCGGCATCCGTGTGGCGAGTTTTGAGCAAATTTCGACCAGGCACCGAGCGGCGGTGGACTTATACCAGAACCGCCCTTGGCTTTTACCGAACACAATTTTTTGAGCTATGAAAACAATTTCTGGCCAAACTGGCTACCATATGAAAAATATACATGTCGGTCAATCACATGGCACCGAGCTGAAGTGATATTCACACCTACAATTAACCACTAATTCATTCACACCCTTACCAATTTTTGTAATTTTTTATGAAGCATGTAAGAAAAACTTAATTGTCCCACTTTATTTTTATCGACAATGTGGCTTAATAAAGCTAACACCTAAAAGGCCCCTACCGGTATTCAACCATTCTTAAGTTACACAAAAAAAACACATCAAATTTATAAGGACTATGAATAATTTAGTTAACTGTACCTTGGTAAACTTCATAAGGCCATGGTAGTGGGCTTCAACGAAGGCATCTTTCATAGACTTGTTGACGTAGAATGCCTGAGGGTCCCTGTCACCAAATGCTATCAGCATCACGATGTTAAGGAACAGGATGTAGAGAATGATTTCACGAATGATGCTCTTCATTTTGATCTCCTTAAATCTAAGATGGAAATGAGAGAGAAATGTGTTTGTGAAAAGGAGCTGGCTACTGGATCTTTTAGAAATGTTGTAAATGGTAATTCATTTGTATAGCACTTTAAATAAAATACAGTCTCTAAGTGCTTTACAGATATTATAACTATGGTCATCGGATTCATTCACGTACAATGTGCACCATCTCCGCTCTATAGGGAGTTTTCCTACCATGTGGTCACCGTGAGAGCAAACGGCATTTGACTATTAAACACAAAGACTTTTGACATCCTGCCAGGTCCCTATTTCTCTCCTGGGTATGGAGTTGAAAATCTAGATTAATGCCTTGCCAAAGAACATTAGTGCCGTGTCTGGGATCCAACCCACAGCCTTTACATTTCAAGTCAAGTGCTTAAACCACTCGACTGCGACACCTTTATGGAAGCGGCCTGACATATCTTACCTCAACTCCCTCGCAGCAGCTAGCTCGTCAGAATTGGGAGGGGAAATCCCCGGCGGGACGCCCTGGGAGGGGTCTCCTCCACCCCCCTCATGTAACCACTCCTCATCGTCTCCTAGAGGAGGTACATCATCCTCCTCCTTCTCTGGCTTCTTGAAGAGGAGTGAGAGGAAGAATGCCAGGAAGAGAACCTGAAGGAAAGTGGAAGAAAATAACATTAAAAATTTCAAAGAAAGTGGATGAAATTAATATTCGAGCTGAAAAGTATTGGGTGAATTTTATATAAATTTGTATGGTGTTTATGGAATTACATACCTTCATATAAATTTACAATGATAAATGTAAATCTACATTCCTTTCTAACAAAAAAGACACGTGTTCTTACTTTTGAAAGGAATGAGTCATACAGTACTTCTATACATCTCACATAATACAGAGGATTACAACGCACTTTGGAGTTACAAGTAACAATAACATGTACAATAGATATATTTACCAATTGAAATACAGTTTCAATTTAAAAAAGAAATGCAATTTCCAAATGGTTTAAACCTGATTATTCTGAGGCTTTGTTTATCTTCAACTGGTTTAACAAATTCTATAAAAAGAAATAATATTTATCCCCTACATTTTCACATCTACAAAAGATAGTATATTACTACTATCTGACCACTCACTTTAAGAGGCTGAGTGAAAAAGACGTCTTGGATCAGAGATATACACATTGACACAAGCCATTCCGTTGCCTTGGTCTTGCCGAACTGACCAGCCACCTCGATGGTCAGCCAGAATGCCACACCCACCGACGTCACCAGCAAGGCCCATCCAAAATAAAGGCATTGCCATGGCAACTCAAACTTTTTCTTCTTTCTCCTCAGTGGCTTTGCCTGCATTGTCTTGTATCCTGCTTCTGTCGCGAGAGTAGGGATACGGGTGACGGGAGATGGGGTGCGGTCACTTAGATTTGAGGAGTCGAAGGAAAAGGACCTCTGATCCCGGACATTTGTTTGGTCCAGCTGGATTTGAGAAGGAGAGCTAACCCGATGGACCTGGGCAGAGATGGTCGGTGGAGGGGGTGTCGCCTGACCCCTCTCTAACAGGTCCAGCTGCTGCCGGAGCTCTCTGGAGCCCATACTGGAGGCAAAGGAGAGGCGGGATGCAATGTCCCTCCTGCCTGCCGAAGACACTCGTGGCTGTTTCCTCTTCATGCAGCAAATCTGTTTTGGGGGGATAGTGAGTGAAAATATAGTAACACTTTGAACGTACACAAACATGTACTCAAAATTTTCTTTCTTTTCAATATGACATGTGGTTGTTCCAATGCCACAATATGATTTATATAGAAAATATGAGTTACGATGTCATATTTATTTCTATAAATAGTGTCAATCTTATACCTTATCCACTCCTGCCTCTCAATTAGGGATAGATTTCGTTCATTCACACTGATAATGTTGATTTCACATGAAGATGTTCCTCTTAATACCACCTTTAATATGTTTGATTTTCATGTACCTTCTTTCCTTCTCCACATACCTCTCTTTTTCTATTTCTTTCCAATTATTATTTTTAAATGTAAGTGTATCTCTCTCTCTCTCTTTCTTTCTCTCATCTCTTCCAATATCTCTGCCTCATTCTTCTATCGTTTATAGTTGGTGTATATCAACATCCCAGCCAGCCAGAGCCCAGTAATCATTTCTCTTCCTACCCTTGCATGCTTCGGCGGAGGTCTTGACAGCCTGAAGATCTGTACCACAAGGATGTTTGCTGGGAACACCATCAGGCTGCTGATGACACCGATGACAACCTCACCCGTAGAGAAGCTGATAGGACCGAGGCTATACACCGTCTGGGTGCCACTGCCGGTAAAATCAACCTGCAGGAAGAAGGTTGAGAAAAAAAATGACAGGAAGACAGTTAGCAGCGATGCCAGTCAGTTTTACTCAATGGGCCTGAAAAAAGCCAGAACACGTTAAAGCCCCATATGTGCTGTACAATATAAAGCCTGAAAAACCCTGAAATGGGAAGTTGTCACGACCTGAAATCAGGCAAAAGCCTGAAGACTGGCATCTCCAGTTAGCTTATATTTTCAGCAAAAAAAATAAAGATAATTGAATTCACAAAATAAATAATTGAACAACTGCCATTAGTCAAAATTAAAATCACATCTTTGCCCATGGTGAAACTGATTGGACCGATAATGTCTACCATCTGTTTGCCACTGCCAGTAAAATCAAACTAGACTAATATGGGTACATGAGAATATTTTTACAGTGGTAAGATTACACATTTTAATGCATATATTAAGCCTTCTGTGTCACCAAGTGATTTTAACAAGTTCCTAAAATTGACATTCAAGCACTAAATTTTCACTTTATCATGCCTGTTTTATGGTAAAATCTTGGTATTTCATAATATTTCATGTAAATACACTTTACAATGGCGACACTTTTTTCATTTCAGGCAGAAAAACAAAGTAGCCATTCTTAGTTGTTACACAAAGATGATTGCCAAGACTTCCAATAAAATCAACTCGAAGGCAACATCAGCACCCTCGTATATTGCCTACATGTATATAATCATGTATGTAATACATGTAGGTCATTATATGGTTAATGAATTTCAAAAGGTGATGTACATGGCTCTTGAAATGTACATTGTTTTTCATAGTCTTAGTGGTTGTGTTATCACACATTGGAATTGACATGAGAAAACAAATCAAATTGTGTCCTAGTATGATTTTCATCACTAAAACTCTTCTTCCCATTTAAACCAAGCACATGCAGCTACAGGATTTTCCGTACATTATAGAAGAAGATATTGGCCATCATGGCTGAGAAGAGCAGGGAGAGACAGCAGGACACACGCTGGACCCTGGTGAAGCGGCTCTTGACCGGTCTGGAGAAGACCGAGAACCACAGATGACCGTCACTCAGGTTCTTTCTGGTCTTGGTGGAGAAGAGATGGGTGAAGCTGGTCAGCTCACTGCGGCCGGCCACTGGAATCACACGGTCAATCTGTTTCAGGGTAGATAAAAGATGACCATATCAATGTACCAAATAACAATTATAAACATCTCCATATTTGAAATTGTTATTATCTCTTAAAATTCTACCATATTATTTTAAGCGCATAGAGATCCTTTTTGAGTATCATGTGCTTTATAAGAATCTACTTATTATTTTCATTACATTTGTACTGAAGGTAATATGTTTTGTTGGAACACATGTGAATTAAAGTCTAAAGAAAAAGATGAAATTTCAGTTAATAAGCTTGTGTCCCTTCACTTTTCTATTTGCTAAATTTGTTTGGGAATTTCAGACCAGTCTAAGAGTACTTGACAAAAATGTGGCATAAGTAAGATCTTTTGAGAGGCACATAAAGGTCTTGCATGACACTACCAAAGCTTACTGTTTGCTCTGAAGTAATAAAGCTCGAATCTGCATTCAGAACTTAGAGTTTCGAAAAATGGTCCAGAAATGTTTTCATCAGACAATTCTAAACTTAACAATAACCTTTCTTCATCTTATAAGGCAAATCTATTATCTTTGCTTAATCTATTATCATAATATATGGACTAGTTTTGAATTTCAGGGAAGAAAGACCTCCTTTTGTTTGTCCAAATATTCTAGATAAATTTAGAAGATCAACAGTTGGATGGAACTTCATTACCTACATCACTGAAAGAGTTAATCCAAAGCAAAAGTAGTAAAAGAGAATATAGGTACACTACAGCTAAGAACAAAATTATTTATACCCCTTGTAAATTTTATGTTTTTTGCATTTTTCGTAACTCAAGAATGAAAGGTGGACTGATTGAATTGAGGTCTTTGTTGAACACTATGAGATATAAGCTTTAATATGTCACATTCTGATGAAATTTTAATTGGGAAATATCATTTTTTCACATACTATAAACGCTGTTATTTTCGTGCGATTCATTTTACGCACTTAGCGACCCCTAAACATAGTAGATAGTTCTTAAATTCACGTTAAATGCAATTCAGCCTGTTCAAAACATGCATAAGAAGTCGTGCTTATATTTTTCGCAAGTTTTTTAAAAATTCGCGCTTGTCGATCGTAGCGCAAAATCCGCAAAAAATTATGTACTGCGAATATTTCTACTTTAACAGTACTTGAAAAAAATTACAAAACTTGGTAAGGATATGAATAATTTAGTTGTTAGTTGTATTTTTGAAGACACTTACTGCCCCATCATCCTCTTCCACGGCCCACCACCTGTTAGCCATGAAGTAGAACATCTTGTTGGTGTTCAGGTCCTTGACAGAGAGGTGCGAGAGGAACCAGCTTGGGTTCTTCCCGCCGTTGTCATGCCAGATCCTCACGTGCTCGAGGTCTCCGAAGGACCTGGGGGACGTCAGCAGGAAGGAGTCGATGCCTCCGCTCTGGAGGACCTTGCGCTTCGGGTCGTGGAGGGTGCGGACGCCGCTGTCGTTGTGGTCCCCGGTGATGATGACGTGGACTCGTGCAGTGGTGCCTAATATATACCATGTAGTAGAAAGCAACTTGCCATATTAAGGTAACTTAACTTTCGCTTTTTTAGAAGATTGTATTCAAATTAACCGATAATTTGTTTAATTTTTAAATCTTTTTAAACAAAAATTCTTTCAATAGGTCATGAAATAGAGAGAAGAGAAATAAATCTTGTCAATCTTATTTTAAACCTTGCTCAGTTTATTATCTATAGAAACTATATTAGAGAATGTTTTGGAAGTGAAAAGCACAGGATACATGCTGTATGTTTAATAAAAGAATTAAAGGTAGAAATTTGCACCTGTCTTGATATGAAATGTAATCAAAAGAAATTTGATACAAACGAAGTAACAAAAATGTTTTTATTATTTTGGTAAGTGATTATGTCACATTAGTTTCATTTTTTGGTACTATATATGATATGTTACAGTTGCATGAATTCTGTATATAAACACTGTTGCAAATAGCTGTTATTTTATGATATGAACAAATAAAGTCCCTCAAAAGAGAATAAATATTTAAAAAATTAAGGTAGCTTAGCATAATGTGTTTACAGGTAAAACAGTAAGTTTTTTTTCTTCTAATAGAGCACTGCATCTTTAAAAAGGGGCCACATCTTCCCACTCAACATTATTTGGAATTTAACTAGCTGGGCGGGCATGCATGCACAAGAAGAAGTTATTCTGACACAGGTGTACGTCTGTTTTGGTTATAAAGATCCCATATAAGGAAATGAGGAATATTGCCAAGTAAGGAAAAACGGCTACAAAGACAGCTCAATATATCAAAGACAGAAGGAATGAAATTTATTATATGTCAGTGAGCATTTTCAGTGTGAATCTATTTTCTTAAAAGTACTTTCTTGCAATGATCATTACTATAAAATATATAATCATGTAGTAACAACATTTTCTCAATATAGATTAAAAAATTGCTTACAAGAATATTGCAAAAACATTATGCAAAACTTTAAGGATATTCTTTCTCAAAAAAGTGCTTACAAAAATATTGCAAAAACATTATGCAAAACTATAAGGATATTCTTTCTTAACTTAACCGTTTAAAATCCATCGTCAAAAGGTTTAGGGATGTACACTACCATGACTATTCCAATAATTTAGTCTAGATTCATGTTCTAGGGGTGACATACAAACCTGCATCCGACTTTACACCAGTGAACACTGTGACCTCATAGTGACACTTATCATGAGGTTTGTTTCCAATCAGCGGGGTCACTCCAGCCTGACAAGGAGAATAAAAGAGTAACTGTAATTTAGTATCCAACCATCAGCCAGGAGTCAAGAAACTTGTCAAATCATTAAAAGATCTATTTAATTTCTGTTTGTTTTAAATAATGAAGTTATCACTTTCAAATGAATATATGGATAAAAGGCCATTTGAGGATCTGAAATACTTTTTTCCAATTCAGTGAACTTGGAATTCTACTAAATCTAAGTCGTACTAATGTACATGTGCCTGCATGTGTTTACAAACTTCTTCAAATGAATGAAAGTTTTTTCTACAATCATCTTTAGGGCGATGAAAGTGACAAATAATCAAATTTTACATGATAAGAATTTAAAGAACAAACTGAGCAGACATACAAAATACAGGCCAAAGGGTACCATTTGGTAGATGAAGATGCAACACATCGTAATAGCAGTGGACGCTGACTAGGTTGCTTACAACTCATGGTATTAGCCCAAAGGCCCACCAGGGGTCTGTTTCACAAAGCCTTTTTTCAATGACAAATGACAAAAATCAGTGACAAATCTGCTGATAACCAATCAGAAGCAAGGATTTCAGTAGCTTATAACAAAATTGTCATTTGTCACTGATGACAAGTTTTGTGAAACGCCCCCCAGGTTGATGACGCACATGAAGGCAAAGACAAGAGACTACTACTAAGCTCCATAAAACTCGCAATATTGATTTCATTTGAAAGACAACATACCTTCAGTAGGTCCCTTTTGTCAGCTTTCCTTGCCCAGAGAAGGACCACCAGGTAGATGCAGAGGCAACACATCATGAAGGCAAATACCACTGGATTCTCATGGAGCTTGGTGAAGGCTGACTGAGAGAGGTCAATCCGGTTCATGGGTATCTGGAATCCTGCACCAAACATGGTCAGATGGTTGCAGAGGCATGATGTGTGTGTAGCATTACTGGACGGGCTGACCTACACGTTCGTGTATGAAAAGGAAAATGGGATTTGAAGATGTAGGACATTTCATTTTTCACATTATGAGTGGCTTATTATAAGCTTGGTGAGAGCCGACTGGGAGAGTTCAATCCGATTTAAGAGTATCTGGGAGCCTGCACAGAATATGGTCAGATGGTCAATCAATCAATCAACCAATCATTAAATCAATCAATCAATCATGGAGAACAGTATGAATACTGATGAGGCTACCCTGGGTAAACAAGACATATTATTATTATTATTATTATTATTATCATTATCATCATCATCATCATCATCATCATCATCATCATCATCATCATCATCATCATCATTATTATTATTATTAATATTATTATTATTATTATTATTATTATTATTATTATCTATCAAATACTCAATCAATCAACCTACCAACACTCAATAATACAATCATATCATTTCCTCTACCCTAAAAAAAACCCAGCTAAAGCGGCAACCTCTGAATCAATCAATCAATCAATCAAAAAGTCAATCAATCAGATAGTCTTAATACTGACCAAACATCCATCTTTCTTCCAAGCAGCTTCGCTATCCCTTTCCTTAATATAAGAACAGCTGTGCAGTGTGGGGCTGAACGAATAGTGTTTGAATTCAAACGTAGCATTGGGAGTTCTGGCATAGGTCGCGTTCCATTCCACTTCATTGGCTAGCTCTCTCACTCCAACATTTACTGATGCGTATGTACCGTTACCCAGTATCCTATTAAAAATCAATGATAAACCACAAAATAGATGAAACAGATCATTTTTATTACTATTTTCATCCCCTGCTGGACTTAATTGATATAAGCTTGGGTGCTTTCATATCTAGAGTAGATATACAATTCCAAGGAGGTGTTTCACAAAGATCCTAAGTCAAACTTATCTCTAAGTTGGACTTAACAAGTATGGAAAGCCGCTAGCATCTTTGAAAATATTTTGTAAAAGTTATTTTAAAAGGCATAAAATGTTGATTCAAAACATTCATATTTTCTATTATCAAGAAGATTTCATGTTCTTGATGTGGAATTTATGAAAAGTCTAAAATAATTGAATTTTTGCTTTTGAATATATTGTATTTGAAGGCTACAAATGGCTCTCTATAATGTTTAAGTCCAACTTAGAGTTAAGTTTGATTTAGGATTTTTGTGAAACACCCCCCTGATGTGCATAAACATCTAATTGAAGAATATTCATAATACCGGTACAATGATAATGAAATGTCATTTTACCCATTAAAATACTTGTAGTAAACAAGAATACTTTGAAGATTGGCAACAAGTCAACAAGACATCCCAATCGAGGAACTTGGGAATGCAGGATAAATACCACATCAACTGGCACTGATTCAACGTCAGCTTGGTTTTAAAAGCGAGCAATCACGTGCCTTCACTGTGCTTTGTCTAATAATAATAATATACTATTCCGCTTTTATATAACTCTTAATACATCTACGATGTCTCTAAGCGCTTTACAGATATACTATTACCCCGGTCATTGGATTCAATGCTTGCCCGCACACACTGTGTGCACAACCTCCGCTCCCTGGGGAGTATTCCAGCCAGGCGTTACTTGACACTCAAACACTGTTTGACCAAAAATGATGGTCGCATCCTACAGGCAGAAGAAGATTGATAATACTTACTCATTCATGACGTCGTTATCGATGAAGCATCTTGTGTTTCCTTCCACGGATATGAAGTCAGTCTTATTCCAGGGATCAACCAGAGTACTGTTATATAACGGGAAGTCTAACAGCGTGACAGACTGGGCCAAGGTACAGTTCCATGCATTACTTCCTATCAAAATGATGAAATTCATCGAGTTTTATTTACTGCATACAACACTGTGATTCAGAGTATATTTAAGGCCCCACTGCACTACTTATAGCTACTTGCGCCCTCTATATAGCAAACAATGCCTAATCAGTGACCGCTGGTCTCCCATGATCCCCTTTTTCTTATGTTAATTGAGAGCTGATTTGACGAGTTAACCACCTGTCAGTGAACATGCAGGGAGGTCTAATCCCTCCTGGCCAAACTAGTGCAGATAGGTTTTAGAAGGTGCAAAAGGTGTGCCATAAATTTTAAAGATATGCTAATTAATGCCCGCAATTAAATGAATAACACTACTGAGAAGAAGATGTAGTCATTACAATTTCACAACATGTTTCTTATAAAAACATACAGTGCATATGCACATGAATCACCACTTCTGCTGTTTTTTATCTTAATCTTTAAAAAAATGCAGAATGATGTGGGAGATCGAAAATGGAATTCATCAAATACAAAAAGTAAAGATGCATGTAATTGGCAAGACCTATGTCTCAAGTTCAAAAGACATTACAAGAAGGAGATAACAAATAGATGAACAATGCATGTAACTGTGCACATTGGATAATGAATGTAGATTACAATGTTGCTCTATTTTTCCCTGGATAAGTTATGATTTTCAATAATACCTATTTCTGGCAGCCCAGTGGTTGTTATCATGACAATGAGAGTACAGTTGTAAGTATAGTTTGTCTCCATCCCTGTGAAACCCATGCACTTCACTTCAAACTCGGCTCCATTTGAAAATGGGATATCTGAATTGTAAAAAAACAAAAACAAGATAGCATGAGGAATTACTAGAACGTTGATAAGATTATGTTCAAAGCAGTTTGAAAGCAAAGGTTACCTGAATGTTGAAAACTCATCACGTCTCATATGCTCTTAAGTTAACGATGCACATTGTGGAAACTCAGTACCCCAAAGAAACTAATGTCTGTAAAGCATTTTACTTCTGAAGTGGAGAAATCAGCAACAACAAGAAGAAAACTCATATCATCTATCAACAATTCAAAGAAGCTTTCATATTCCCCTCCTTTTATAAGCCCTGCCAAAACCTTTCAATGTGAAAAATTATTTGTAAAAAGGTAATTCAAAATACAAGTCATAGTAGTACAAGGCTAAATTGAGATTTGTTTACAGTGATTGATTACATTTTTCTTATATGGTAGAAGCTGTCTATGGGCGCGTTCATGCTTGATTTTGACGGCCAGAATCAGGCATCTGTTACACGTTTCGTTTAAAACACGATTGCGTTCATGCTCACTTTTGTAGAATCACCGAAAAACGGCGATCACGATCGCCGATTGTAAACTCACAAAAAGATGCATTTACAATTTGTAAACGCGTTTAAATGGGGTCAACGCACTGACCTTTAGTGGGTCTACGTAGCATGCGCACACAGGTTTGCGAATCCAGCTGAAGGCCACCCAAGGAGAATTGCCTGGAGAAGTGAGCATGAACAGTGCACCGTGGAACTGCGATTACGATGAGCGTTTACGATGAGCGTTACAAATCCCTCATTCTGCCTTCAAAATCAAGCATGAACGCGCCCTTAATCCCAAGCTATAAACAGAATCAGACTGTAAAGTGACAAAAGATGCAATATACACTACATGTATACCCAACATCCCTTTTTAAAAGACCTGGAGGTTGTTTCACAAAGATCCTAAGTCAAAGTTATCTCTAAGTTGGACTTAAAAATTATGGAGAGCCATTTGTAGCCTTATAATAAAATATATTCAAAAAGTGAAAATTCAAGTATTTTTGACTTTTTTATAAATTCCAAATCAAGAACATGAAATCTCCTCGATAATAGAAAATATGAATGATTTGAATCAACATTTTATGCCTTTTAAAAAACTTTTACAATATATTTTCATAGATGCTAACGGCTTTCCATAATTGTTAAGTCCAACTTAGGATATTTGTGAAACACCCCCCTGACCAATAATAATAAATGAATTGTACCAACAGTATGAAGAGCAATAGGACCTCCCACTCCATACGTTTGACTGAACGATGTCAATGTCTCGTTATCCAAGGTGATGGTAGGTCCATTGATGCGGGGGATGGTGATGGTGATTGGTAGCATTGTGTTCTTGACCTCAATGACCCCATTGGTTTTAGAGTCAATGAACTGGAAGGATACTGTCTTGCTGTTTATCTCGGCTGCTCCGCTGGCGAAAGGTCGCATGTTGGGTTGGTACATCACAGCCTGAAATGGAAAAAGGTGGCAAAATATGAATTAAACACATTGCCAGAGTGGTCGATCATGACTCTATTAAAATCAATCATTTTGAGGAATCAAACAGGAGACTTTAAGATTTATTTCCTCATGAAAATACATAATGGTTTCTAATATTTTGTATTCATAAAATTGCCGCTTATTTTAAAATAGTTCTCAAACTTCTTTCTCTTGTGGCAACCCTACAGGTGTCTTGCAGCACCCGTTTGAAAAATGCCGCCTGAGACAAGACATTTTTAATATCCAGTTGTCTCTCTCCACCCAGGTCTAAATAGATACTTAATAGGATTCATTGTGCACTAATAACTGCTACCAGAGCTCAAACTAGGATAATAATGTGGTATTGGCTATATAGGACTGCTGACTGGTTTCTTATTATTTATCACTAATTCATGGAAACAAGTCTAAAGTGGCATTTGCTCTTTCAGTGGCAAAGAGGGTGCGTAATGAGTTAATACACATAGACACTGGTACATGCAATTTGCGATAGTAAATGACAACATTTGTATTGAAGACTCTGGTTCTTTGAAAATGCTGACTCTAACAGCTGTGTCTGGTTTCTGGGCAAGCATTACCTTGAATTCAATTCCTCCTGTTGTAGCACTGGTATCAAACATGTTTTGAGCCGGTGGAAAATCAAGATTGCAACCAGGCTCCACTTCAAAGTTACCTGAAATAGTTGCACAATATGAAGAATGAAAGATGTCTCTAGGAATGAACTTCACTTTAACGATTGCATATTCAGACATCTTCAGACATCTTCAATAAATTTAAATAATTTAAACAGAGCAAGTGGGAAATCAAGATTGCAGCCATGCTCCACTATAAAGTTCCCAGAAATAATTGAACAATATGACAAAAACAAGCTGTCTCTTGGAGTAGACTTCACTTGAAAAAATTGCATATTCAAACATCTTCAATAAATTTAAATAATTTAAATAGAGCAGCTAGGAAATCAAGATTGCAGCCAAGCTCCACTTCAAAGTTCCCAAAATCTTATATGAAGAATAAAAGCTGCCTTTTTAGAGTGAACTTCACTTATATTATTTGCATATTACTTACAGACATCTTTAATAAATTTGTAGAGACCAGAAAATAAGTTTACAAATCTTATCACATACATATACTGAATAATAATTGTCAGATGAGAGTCAGAAGGGGGCCCCAACTCATATAATCTTGAAATGAGTTTAGTTTTTTGGCTTCAACAGATACAGATATTATGCACTGTACCCGTTTGCTACTTACTAGAAGAAACGGCCAGTGAATTCACACCTAAATGTTTCATTCCACTGGAGATACGTGTACATGAATATAGAGTTAACAACTATATTATTCATACCCTTACCAAATTTTGAAATATTTTAAGTATATGAAAAGTTGATTCTTCCAATTTGTCTTGATGTATATTGGAGCTTTCATCTCAAAGTATTCAACAAAGGACCACGTACCTTTCAATTCTTGAGTTACAAAAACACAAGAAACATCAAATTTACAAAGGGTATGAATAATTTAGTTGTTAACGGTACATACACTGTAGGAACTCATACTTGTGAATGACTGTAGATCATAACAAGCAAGACGATGAAAATCTTACAAGCAATTTAAAAAAATGTTGGTGGTATCGAGTAAAAAAGTGCTACAAGGTCAACTTGTTGATCCTGAAATTTACCTTCGACATCGTTGCTTTCCGTTTTCTGAACTTTGACCCTGATGTTGCCTGCATCCACGGTAACGGGACCCTCTCCCGTGATCACATTGTTGCTCAGGACCTCGGATACCTTGTCAACGACAGATACAGACCTGACAAGGGTGTTCATTACAGCCGAGTTCTGGAATGAAGTACAAAAGAAAGCAGAAATAGGACTGAAAGTCATCAATACCCCCAACAAATGTGTCAGCACTGTCAATGTCATGACCTTTCCCCCTGCCCATCAAGAAAAGTATTAGTAATGCTATGACATCTACATTTCAGTCTAGAGCATACACTTTCATTAGACTTCTTTTAACACTGGGAGTAATTTGCTTCAAATATGTAACAGCATGGAGTACAATAACAAATATAGCACTTAGTTTTCTGTCAGTTGCTATGGCAACATGAGCAGTCTTTTGCCATTGGTTTTGCTTCAGAAATATAACCATTAATTCTTAAGCCTTGACACTTGTGACAATAAACTGCCCCCCCCCCTCCCCAACCCCTAGAAAAGGAGATGGTAAGTGGGGAGAAAAGAAGACTTAATACGACAAAGGCCTCCATATCAATTCAATAATGGTTTTATTTGACAATTCCTTGCAGCCACAGATTAAATTCTGTACGTGCATGTTCACAACAATGTCTTAATATCAGTTATAACACATTAAAATATGAATTTGCATATATGTTCACTCACCTTCAGCATTGTAACAGAATCTTGTTCGCTTTCTGTATGATCCACTGAATCTATGGCAGCATCTACCACATTATCTGTCACATGGGAAATGAGAAACATATGATAAATAAACATGTAACAAGTGTCAACAAAACGGCTGTAGTTGTTACACTACTGAAACCCAAATCCTTTCCCAATATTCACATGTATTTTTCTCTCTATCTCTCTCTGTTTCTCCATCTCCCTTCTCTCCCTTTAACTCTTCTATTCTTCCCTCTCTTCTTTGTCTTACTTTATTTTTGTATTTTTACTTTTGCTTTCTCTTTTCACATTTCTAACTCTCTCCCTACCTCTTGCACTGATGTACATGTATGAATAAGAATGTCTTACCACAGACTTTAAGAAGTAAGGATACTGATATTTGAAGTCTCTCCACAGCAGTTTCTCAATCTCTCTCACTTTCTCTCTGCCCCCCTCTGTCTCCCTTTTGCTTTTCTCACTCCCCTCTCTTCTTTTTCTTATTTTAAATTTTCACATTTCTCTCTCTCTCTTCCTCTTCCACTGTTGTGTGAATAACAATCGGTCTTACCACAGACTTTAAGGAGTAAGGATGCCGATATTTGAAGTCTCTCCACAGCAGTTCGATCTTCCTCCTGAATACCAACCAATGCACCTGTCAATCTCTCTGTGGCACCTAAGGCTCCCTCCTAGATGATTTGGATGACGTAGAATAAAATGTTATCTATCAAGTTCAACAAAACTCACTTTTAATGTTGAAAACATCTTTGGGATTAAAAAAAAAATGATGCAGTAGGGTAACAGTTTATGTCATACATACATGTACAAATTGTATTATATATAAGGATAATTATTCTAGCCTGTGTAATATATGACTGGTACACAGAAACTAATGTGTGATCACTGCATACTGATATCAGAATGGAACATTAATCAATGGAGTGATTTTTCATCACCATCATCATCATCAACATGATTTTCATTATTATCTTCACCATCACCATCATCATCATCATCAACATCATCATCATCATCAACATCATCATCTCCATCACCATTATCACCATCATCATCACTCATTATCATTACCATCATCATCATCATCACCATCATCATCACCAGTGACCACCATCATCATCATCATCATCATCATCATCATCTTCATCATCATCACCACCATCATCATGATCATCATCATCATCACCACCATCATCATTATCATCATCACTCATTATCATTATCATCATCACCAATACATGTACATCACCATCATCAATCTTTCCTTCTCCCTCTATCTTCATCTTCTCCAGTTCCCCTTTTTTTCTCTGCTTTCCTTCATCTACTATTCATTTCCCTTTTTATTTCTTCTCCTTATCACTTTCTTCTTCCCCAAACATCCCATCCACCAATGACTATAATTACCTGTGTTGTGGTGGAGACCTCACTTGACACAGCAGTTGCTAGGTTCAGTACGGATGAGATTTGGTCCACATCATCGACAGAGATAGAAGATGAGGCAGCAGGCTCTAGAATTGTCACCATCTTTTCCCTTATCTGAACGAATCCAAGTCAGCAAATAGTATAATAATTAGTATCATAATTATCATTATTACATTTTTAGCGTATTACATAATAATAATTTGCAGAACACTTTACATGAGATATATATCTCATAATTATTTTCTTTATATCCCCCCTCTCTCTCTCTCTCTCTCTCTCTCTCTCTCTTCTCCTCCTCCTCCTCCTCCTCCTCCTCCTCCTCCTCCTCCTCCTCCTCCTCCTCCTCCTCCTCCTTCTCCCTCTCCTTCTCCTCCTCCTCCTCCTCCTCCTCCTCCTCCTCCTCCTCCTCCTCCTCCTCCTCCTCCTCCTCCTCCTCCTCACCATTTTCATATTAAAATAGAATATTCATATAAACTTTACCACATGTATAACTATATGAATGCAAAAGATTAGTTTGATGTTTGCCATAATAATAACTCACCCCCATCTTGATTTCTGAACTCAGGGCAGTATTTGATTGAGACTGAGTTGATCCGGATGATGAATCTATGAACAAACCACATGAAAACATTCTTCATAGCATACTAGTAATACCAAATTGGGCTCACATTCATAAAACCTTGTAGGAGGTGTCATGATCGAGTGGATACGTCGCCGGACTGTCGGTCCCAAGCTCCGCAGTTCGAGTCCCCTCGCGACACTAATGTCCTTTGACAATTAAGACATTGATCTACATGTGCCACACTCAACCCAGGTGATGTCAGGCGCGGATCCAGGGGGGGGCCGAGCGGGCCTTGGCCCCCCCCCCCCCCCCCCCCGCAAAAAAAAAAAAAAAAAAAAAAAAAAAAAAGAGAAGAAAGGAAAAGAAGGGAAAGGGAAAAAGGAGAAAAAGAGAAAGAAAGAAGAGGAAGAAGAAAAGAAAAGGGAGAAGAAGGAGATCGGGGGGCCGAAAGGGCCTTGCCTCCAAGGCTGTTAACCCCCCCCCCCCCCCTTACTGGCGTACTGATAGAGGGGGGGGGGGCTTGGCTTGGGGGAAATCAAATTAAAACGTGGTTTATTTCTAATTCCACAACGGTGGATTACAAATAATGCTGAAATGACGGGGATCGAGAGCCTCGAGCTCCCCCCCCCCCCCCCCCACTTTTCTTGAAAAAGTATATTAAAGAGAAATAAAATAGAATGAGAGCAAGAAAGTAAGAATAGTTAACTGCCAGTGTTAACAAAATAATGAGGCATCAAAATATGCTCATCTGACCGAGATTAAATGCCTAAAACCCCTAAAGTTCCGGGGGCTTTGCCCCCTGGATTTTATTTAGGGCCCTACGGCGGGCCCTTAGATGATCATCTGACAGTAAATTAATGCCTAAAACCCCTGATTTTTGGGGGCTCCGCCTCCTGGACCCCACGCCAAATAGTGACCTGCCAGTGTCACAAAATATTAAGTTATACACAAAAATATGCTCATCCGACCCTATAATTAAACGCCTAAAACCCCTGAGCTTCAGGGGCCGGCTCCGCCGCCTCGACACCACCAGGGGCCCTATAAGGCGGGCCCCTGAATGCTTATCTGACCGTCATTTATTGCCTTCAACCCCTGAGCTTGCGGGGCCGGACAAGGTATCAAGATGTGTTTATCTGACCGCAGGCGCGTAGCCAGGGGAGAGGGGGGGCGGTCCCCCCCCCCCCCAATCGGAAGAGGACGTAGGAAGAAAAAGGAGCAGACAAAGAACATCTTTGAAATTCAGACAAGGATTAAGAGTATAGAGAACGGTACAACGCATCGTTTTCTTTCTCTAATAATAAAACGTCAAAGCCTCGCGCAGGAGGGTAGGGGGGGGGACTGAATTCAGACGAGGATTCAGAGGCGAGAACGGTAATACGAATCTTTAATGATTTAATGAAACGAAATTCCGATGAGGATTATTTTCGAGAACTGTACAACGAATCGTCTTCTTTCTCTAATAATTTAATGAAACGTAGAAGCTTCCACGCTTCGCGCAGGAGGGGGAGGGGGGGGGCTGATTTTAGTCAAGGATTAAGAGTCGAGAACTGTACAACGAATCGTTTTCTTCCTCTAATGATTTAATGGTACGTAAAAGCCCTCCGCGCTTCCCGCGGGAGGGGGGGGGGAACTGAAATCAGACGGGGATAAAGGGTCGAGAACGGTACAACGAATCGTCTTCTTTCTTTAATAGTTTAATAAAACGTCAAAGCTTCCGCGCTTCGCGCAGGAGGGGGAGGGGGAGGAACTGAATTTAGACACGGATTAAGATTCGAGAACAGTACACCGAATCGTTTTTTTCCTCTAATGATTTAATGAAACGTAAAAGCTTCCGCGCTTCGCGCGGGAGGGGGGGGGGAAACTAAATTCAGACGAGGATTAAGAGTCGAGAACGGTACAACGAATCGTCTTGTTTCTTTAATAGTTTAATAAAACGTCAAAGCTTGGGAGGGGGAACTCGCCCCCCCCCCCCGCATAGGTAGGGGGGAAACCTGAATTCAAAAGAGGATTAAGAGTCGAGAACTCTACAACGAATCGTCTTCTTGCTCTAATAATTTAACGAATCGTAATAATAAAACGTCAAAGCTTCCACGCTTCGCGCAGGAGGGGGAGGGGAGGACTGAATTTAGACAAGGATTAAGAGCCGAGAACTGTACAACGAATCGTTTTTTTCCTCTAATGATTTAATGAAACGTAAACCTTCCGCGCTTCGCGCGGGAGGGGGGGAAACCTGAATTCAAAAGAGGATTAAGAGTCGAGAACTCTACAACGAATCGTCTTCTTTCTCTAATAATTTAACGAATCGTAAAATTTTCCGCGCTTCGCGCGGGAGGGAAAAAAATGAATTCAGACGAGAATTATTTTCGAGAACGGTAAAACGAATCGTCTTCTTTCTCTAATAATATAATGAAACGTCAAAGCTTGGGAGGGGGAACTCGCCCCCCCCCCCCTGCACTGACCCCCCCCCCCCCGCATTACGTCACTGTTGGTCACCATTACGTACCATTATATGGCTCGCATATTTTCAAATTTGGGCCCCCCCCCCTAAGAAATCCTGGATCCGCGCCTGGGTGATGTACATGGGTACCTGGCAGGAATTAATTCCTTGAAATGGCTGTAATGGCAGCTAAGCTTAAGCCTAGGTAATAATAAATGTGCCTCGCAATAGATAGACAGCGCTATAGAAATGCCTATTATTATTATTATTAACCTTAGTTGTCAACTTACAATGAACAATACCATGTGTAATTAATCGACAACTAGCTTAGCGATGTTTTATGAATGTGGGCCAAGGCGATCACATGAACACCAGAACATGTGACATGTACATGTGACATCCACACCATCATAAATGTCATGAACATTGTCAACACCTTCAACTTCATCACTTTCATTATCACATCCATGATTGCCAGCATCACCACCTTCATCACTATGATGTCATCACCATCTTTTCCTATAGTGATGTTCATGAATTTCTAAACACTTAGGCCTACCTGTATTAAGGATGTCTGAGATGACCCTAGCATAACTGGTAGCGTAGTCAGAGTATCCCGTAGATGCTTCTGAAACCATGCTGTTTGTCAGGTCGGTAAGGGTGTTGGCCAGATCACCAGACAATGCCTCATTGAACGGATGTACCTAAAATATAGGATGATTATCAAACTATTCAGCAATTAGCATACTATCACTAGAATTAAAATATCTGCACACCCTTGATTGAATTTTCATATTTGAATGGTAAAACAAGTCAGAGAATTTAAACCAAGTGTCAAAGCGAGTTGCAAAAGTGTAGATCTGAAAATGCATTACATAATAATGCATTGCATAATAACGGATTGCCATCACTACCACTAATATTATGACAACTATTTTGTACAGCCCTATCTTTGCCCTTTCTCATTTGTTTTCATTATCTTTTTCTTATTTTAATTTCCTCTCACTAGGATCTCCTTCTCATATATTCTGATGAATCTTTTTATTAATTTTACTTGTCCATGCTTTACAAAAAAAAATATTAGTCTACCTTCAAAACCATGTAATTAGTTACATTAATCCTCTTGAAATGTGTTCTCACTACAAAGAGTCTGTAGCTCATTTCTACTCTAAATTAGTACAACATTAAATCTTTTTCTGAAATTCTATCAACTTACTTGTTGTCCTACATGTAGATGCTTATTTTACTACAGTCCATTAATCCTTCATGTAGATGTTGCATTAACTGTACAGTTCCAATCCATTTTCATGAAGGATATACATATACATGTATCCCCCCCCCCCCTTCTCTCTTTAACATTCTATTTAATCAGATGTTATCTATTACCTTAAAGCCCCACTGCATACTTATAGCTACTTGGGCCCTCTATAGAGCAAACAATGCCTAATCGGTGACCATTAGTCCTCCATGATCCTCTTTTACATATGCTAAGTGAGAGCTGATTTAATGAGATAACCACCTGTCAGTGACCTTGCAGGGTGGTCTAATCCCTCCTGTAAACTAGTACAGATGGGCTTTAAGGAACCAATTCTCACCCTGATTTCCATGTTGGAATCCAAGGCATAGGTTCCATAGATATCACTGATCTGCACTTTGACATCAACAATGTAGTCATAGCCGGATAATCCAGTGGAGAAGAATAGATCTGAAGAGGCAGGGCTCGTTCCTGTATATGAGCAAGTGAGCATCAATTTGATGTGAAATTATTGATTTTGATGTCACTAGGAACAGGTACCGATTCATGTTGGAAGCCATATCTTAACCATCCTCTTCCTCGTCCTCATCATCATCAATATCCTCTTCCTCCTCCTCTTCCTCCTCCTCTTCCTCCTTCCATTCCCCTGCTGAGCTCCTCCTGCTCCTCCTGCTCCTTCTTATCTTCTTCCTCCTCATTTTCATCACCATCATTTCCGTCACCGTCACCACTATCATCATCCCCATTCTTATCTCACCACCTACCAGAGTAAATCAGAGGCCAGACATCACTGGTATCCTGGGTACTCAGAGACACCGTCTCCGCGACACCCCTGACCTTCGCCCTTACAGCATAGAGCAGAGGTAAGCAGTCTTGATCTGTCACCATCCAATCCTGACAGGCAAAGGAGTACTTGGTCACCGCCACGGTGCCTTCCAGAGGAGTGATGGAGCAGGTGCCACCGTACGGAGGAGCATTGATGTCAAGGGTCATTGACATATCCGCTGAAAGATGGTAACATTCATTAAAGATATAAAGTGCCAATTGACATTCCGATTAAAATCTCTACCCACATTTGGAGGTTCAATTTTACACGGCAGTATAAAGAAGTATGAATGTAAATATTTAATGGATATATTTTACTGAGAATTTAAAGATAAATGAAAATTCATTCAAATACTTCCAAGTTCAATTGAGCCTGAATCTTTTCAAGCTAAATTCACAAGCCTAAGTGTGAATAAGCAATTGTTTGAGTTTGATTTTGATTAGACAAAACAAATAGAAAAACAAAATCAAGTGTTCACCCTTTCACAAGCCTTGTGAAGCTCTTGATTATGAACATTTTTCACAGTCAACTCAAACATGATTTAGCTCTAAAACGGTGAAAATGGAAACGCACTGAAGTAATATGATGCTTACCTTTGATATTGAAAGTAGGTGAGTAGGAGGCCATTAGACTTATCTCATATTGCTTGCCTTCCTCTAAGAATCCACTCTTGATGGCCAACAAATGGTCAGCCGAGGTCGTGGTCTGGTTGGACAGCGAAGTATAGGGCAGCCATGCATCTGGAGACAACAACTGCTTCATGTTGTTCTGGTATACTGACAGATCCCATCTACAGTTGATAAAAAAAAAAATTAAAAAGAGTTTTTTTTTTTTTTTTGGGGGGGGGGGGTGGTCTTTTGCTGTGGATAAAACAGGCCCTGCAGATATACCAATATATCTGGGCTATACAAGGTAGATTCCTGAGCTCATTTAACTTTCAGGTTTAAATCCGTTCATTACCACAATATGAATCAAAGCACACACAACAGAGACAAGCATATGAATACCAAATGGGGAATAGAATAAAGAAGCAATACAAATCAAAAGGCGGGGGAATTCCAGATGGCTCCACAAACATATTCAAACCATGTTTCCTATCTTGTGCAATTCTATATACCTTTTGGGAGGTGCTGCCTACTAGGATGTATCTCTACCCTGGTCTATCTTGCCTATTTGTTCCAACAACAGTCTCCATGAGTAAGCGTTTAGTGAAGCGTACGCTGTTCATTCTGGAAACATGACCGAACAAGGTCAGTTGGGCTTTAGTTATGCCGGCAAGGATTCACTTCAGTGGAATTTGCGATTTGTTTCTACAGTATTATCATCAAATACATGAGCATAATCTCATAAATTAATGACTTACTTGTAGTAGACAGTTTGGTTGACAACGATATCAGCAGCTGGAGACAAGACTACTCCCATGACCCATCGGTTCTGAGGGTTGACCTTGTCCCTGCAGTTTGCTTTACACCTGAATACATGCATGAATGAAACAAGATTGTAGCATATCAAAGGAATACTCTCTCTCTCTGATCATAATGCCTGAATCTAAATCCCCCCACCCCAGGTCAAAAAAGCTTTTTTGTTTGCAGGATTCGGTGTTGCATGAGCGTGATTTTCTCACAGTGAGATTAAAGTATGTCATTGTTCTGTTCACATTAATGAATGTTTCATATGTATTGTAAATTGTAGGTTTATTTGTAATTTTTTGTTTTGTTTAATATGTAACTGTTCATCTAATAACATTTTGTTTGTTATACCTAGAGACTTTGGTTGTAAGAGCTTTATAAGCACCCTTTTTATAATACCAGCTGAGAGTTCTAATTTCAATTTACCGGAGCATTTTTGAGCTTTCATGGGCTAAATCACCCACCACTCCAGTGTATTGTTTTTGCTGCCCTCCTTTCCCCCCCCCCCCCCCCTCTCAACAAAAAAAAATGATAGTACAATTTCCCTTTACTGATGCCTGTTTTACATATATCTAGGTATAATGAGATCTTTATCCCTGTTAGGAAAAGTTTACTCCAATTATTCTTCACCTTCATTAAAATCTTTCCTGATCCACTTTTCAACAGGAACAGCAAAATATGAGTTCAAAGGAAATGTCATTTATTGTTATTTAAGTGGTTTGGATGTACATTTAGTAAAAAGTGTCATTTTTAAAGCCTACCGGTATATATAATTTTGGTAAGTCATCCCAACCTTATATTTTTCAGAATTCTATGATGCTTATAGTTGATAAATAGCAAGAATTTATATTTCTTGGTGATATTGTGCTTTAGTATACCATGAAGCTAATTAACGTGCATGTACAGTGAACTAAACTCCTATTTTCCTTTTTTGGTGTTGATTATTTTTGAAGACCCAAACATGCAACATAAACAAGCATTGAACATACTTCAGATAGACATCAGGTATGAAGCCATCCACTACGTAGAGGGTTTGAAGAGCAGTGGCACTCCTGGATCCATCAGACACATAGAGCTTGAACTCATACTCCATGTTGGGGTAGAGGTAGTGTGTATCCACAGTGAAGATTCCTGACCGGACTGATAGCAGACCTATGTATGGAAATAATTGGATAGATTCATGATTATCCTGTCTTGCAAGATCATTCTAAAAACAATATCGAAATCCTACCGAGTACGGTATCTTAGTTTGAGCATTGTTAAATCATTGAATACAGAGTCCAGGGGGGCGTTTCACAAAACTTGTCATCAGTGACAGATGACAGTTTTTGTTATAAGCTACTGAAATCCTTGCTTCTGATTGGTTATCAACAGATTTGTCACTGATTTTTGTCATTTTTCATTGGAAAAAGGCTTTTTGAAACGGGTCCCAGGATAACTCAGGATTAAAACCAGCAATATGTATGACACATATTGAAGGACAATGGAATTGTTTCCAAGGGGTTACGATAGTAAAAGGCAAATTGTGCTTATACTTTGCTTTACTTTGCAAATTATAACGTATACCTATTTTTTAATCACTGAACTTTTATTAGAAATACAGGTTATACTTTATAAGAATATTTACATATGATTTGCAAAAGGAAGCTGCAGAACTTTAACACAGCACATACATGTAAATGTGTTTACAGGTATAATTATCTGCAGAGTATCTAAATGAGAAACTCAGATTCATGAACACTGATCACTGACTCACCTCCCGGCAAAGATGCATTAGAAGGTCCTCCATTACGTCCAAAGCACCCTCCAACGTCAGATGCTTCCTTCTGAAAGTCAGGATTGACCACACTGTCAGACCGGAGCATGGAGAAGTCCTCATTCCACTGCTGAAAGGTCTCAAGATTGTCGATGCTTGTGCCATTGGCGAGGGTGTAGCTCTTCCTTCTGCACTGCCAGGTGAACATCCATTCCGAGTGATCCTGTGGGTCCTTGTCAGGGTCAGAGGATAATGAACCATCCACATAGAAACTCTGTGTTGTCAAGGCCTCCGTGGCTGGATCATCCACCTGGTAGGACACGATCCGTTGATCACCCCCATTGATCTTTGCCACAAGATCACTTGCAGCAATCGATGCATTTGTGGTGGCAATGGTCGCCAATCCTGGCTCATCCTGAATTGAGACAGTGACAGATATCACATGGGTCCCAGGAGTGAGTGTGCGAGCAGGGATCACAATCTTTGACAGTGTAGCACCTTCTGAAGCAACAAAAGAAGGAAGTGCCACTTCCTCTAGAGTGCCATTGTCCCAAAGAAAGAACACCTGCCACATGTAGTAAACCAGGTTGGATGATGTACAGTTGATTGATAATGTTGTCTGGACGCTAAATCTTTGAGATACCAGGTTGGAGAGGTCACCAGTATGTCCAAAAGTGACAACTGGAGGATAGCATCCAGGACTCCTGATAACCTGTTCAATGGAAGTTTGTTCTTGTGATACAATGTTTTGAACAAGGACCTTCACGACGAAGGACCCTGTGGCACCAAATTCATTGTACACATCAATAGATGTCTGGTCATCATTCCACATTTGCATAAGATCAAGTATCTGAAGTGGCCTGTCATCGAGGGTGTTTGCCAAGCGGGCATCCACAGTGGCACAACTAGAATCACCAGCTCCTGCCAAATACGATGGTCTTGATGACAGGTCTTGAAAGTCCAACAAGACACATGCTTCTGTAGGTAGACTCGAGAAACGCAGTGTAAACAACAACGATTTATTGGCAACATCGATACCTGGTCCTTCAACAGAAAGACCAGACACTTTGGACTGAGCAACCACTGTAACAGATTTCTCTACCCAACTGACAGCATTAGAAACGTTGACTGAAACCAGGTAGGAACCTGGCCTTCTGAACTTCCAGAAGTTGCGAGGGGACTCCCCTTTCCAATAACTGGGCGGAAGCTCAAGGAGAGCAGAGTCATTGTCAGTTCCAAAAGACCATTCATAGAATAAGTTTGTACCACCTGTTGTCAAAACTTGGACAACAACAGCAGCATCAAGAGGTACATGGTCACCACCAGTTCCCAAGGCAGTCTCATCCATGGCTTCATCGGTGACATCTCCATTGTTGAAGTAAAAATCAACCCTTGGGTTGGACACCTCTTCGAACACTTCAACAAGGATCTCGCATTCCTGAAAGACTGCGGAAGAGTTGAATACAAAGGTGACGTTGAATGCTCCAGGGGATGTGAACGACTTCCAGACAGTAACAAGATGGGTGGCTGTGCTGGTGTCCAAAGACGGGGAGTTTTCAAAGGTCAAATGAAGTTCCCGCTCTCCAACACCATCATCAAAGTCCGCAAGGTACAGAACACCATCAGGCACAGAAAAGTTTTTTGCATGGAAGAGAAGGAATGGTACCTGGACGATCTGATACGGTGGGGCAGAAATCCCAAAGGGACTGTCATTGACAACAGAAAACATTGCTGGAATGACAGTGAGAGTGATGGTTTCTTCAGCCATACTCATGTTGTTTTTCACACTAAGGATGACCTCAAAATCCTGTGTCCAACAAGCTGAAAATACATGGCTGAACTTCATCTGAAGTTCATTGGTAATGTTGCTAGACTGGATGATTGAACCGTCCCCAAAGTCAACAGTGTAGATCAAATCTGTTCCGGCTACAAGGGCAATGGTAAAATTGACCGTCTCACCAGACCAAACTGTTAGACTGTTGACATTAAATGTTGCATTCTGTATCCGAGAACCAGCAGTGATTTCCCCTGTTGATGCAACATAGCTCACATTGTTGAAGAGGAAGTACTCATACAAAAAGATTCCACTTGAAAAGAAGGGAATTTGGAAAGTCACTGGAAAAGGGCTATCTTCTGATACTGCAAAGTCAAGTGTACTTGATGAATTGTCGGCTGTATTGATCAGAGTGACATTCAATTTAACTTCCACAGGTTGCAGAGCAGGTAGGCCTTCGTAATCTATTGTTACAACAGCATACCCCATGTGAGAAGCATTGAGAATGACCTGTTCTTGGACATTGATGATCAGGGTATAGACTGGAGCCATTACAACGACCATCTCAACGACACTATCCTGGCTGATCTCATTCTTTGCTGTAACAACTAAAGATAACCTCCCTTGTACAGGGAACTGATGTACTGTTGTCTGGCATGAAGAGTTAGTGGACAAACGATCAGTAGTTCCTGTCAGGTTTGTCCCATCCGAGATCTGGATGATATACTTAACAGAGCTTCCCTGATCTCCATAGACGCAGATGGGTACATCTTGGTCAGGCTCTACCAGGTTATCCACCTGGACCCTCAAGTTTTCAATCTTCATCTCGACTGTGAAATTCACTGACGATTCATACACTGGAGAGAATTCGTTGCTCACTTCCACTCTGAGGTTGTAGGTCCCGAGCTCCAAGTCCGACACCTTCAGGACACATCTGGCCCTGCGGTCAAGCACTAGCCAATCAAAACAGGTGCTTGTGATGTTGGCATCGTTTAAAGAGATATTGACAATGATTCCTCTGCCATCTATAATCTCAATATCAATGATCATATCTTCATCATGTGCCACAAATCGATCTTCTCCTACTTCACTGAAATTGGCAGTTACATTGATGATTGGACTCTCTGTGATAGCCTCAAGAATGTACAAGTCAAGTAATAGAGTGTCGTTGCCAAATGCATTCTGGGATACTATGGAAACTGGTAGCGTGCACGATGACGATGAAAAAATACTCAATGTTGCACCCCAATCTGGAAATCAAAATAAGTAAGGAAAATAAAAACAAATCATATTGTTAGTTTATACTCTCTACCCAGAAATATTGGGTAATTCTATGTTAAAATATCAAATGAAACACTGTCATTTTTACTTGTTCCATAAAAGTGTACAACATAGGAATGGCTGAAGGTATTGAGTTTTCTGATTTTCTTTAAATTCTGTATGTCTGAATGTATTTTAAACTCAAGTTGATGATATATATATATATATATATATATATATATATATACATATATATAGGATTTTATTGACAACAAAAACCAAGAGCAAACAGTCCGAAGACTGACATCTGTCTTGGGTACAAAATAAAATTTAAATCAAATATACATAATAAAATAGCAGTAATTAATAAATACATAAGTTAAAATATCAAAACTATCATCACTAAACATTGCCAAAAAAGCATTTATTTACCTTCATGTTTGAGAGTGATGTTGATGAGATCCCCACAGATCCCCACAGAAGCAGATGCTACAGTGACCTCTGATGACCCTTCCCAAACTGCCATGGAAACCTCAGAAGCATTCCCTAGACTAACTTCATAAGTGACATTGGTAGCTGTAAAGAAATGAATGGAATTAATACAGGAAGGAGTATATATTTCATGATTAAATTTGCACTACATGATAACAAATCAAATTTGTTTGTACACTGTGCAGTTAATAAATTTCAGAACATGAGCATTTCAAAATAATCAAAGAGAACTTTTTGTTTTGTCCAGTTGGTGCTTATTCAAAAGTAGATATTATATTTGTGTATGTTTTCATGATTCTTAATCAGATCAATATGCATATATGTGTACAATCTGATTCAAATTCAAACTTCAGGGGGTGTTTCACAAAGACCCTAAGTCAAAGTTATCTAAGTTGGACTTAAATATTATGAACAGCAATTTTTTTAGCCTTAAAATAAAATAAATTCAAAAGCAAAAGTTAAAGTATTTTAGACTTTCTATAAATTCCACATCAAGAACATGAAATCTCCTTGATGATAGAAAATATGAATGATTTGAATCAACATTTTATGCCTTTTAAAACAACTTTTACAAAATATTTTCAAAGATGCTAATGGCTTTCCATAATTGTTAGGTCCAACTTAAAGCGAAGTTTAACTTAGGATCTTTGTGAAACACCCCTCATGTCTCTAAATTTTAAGACCAATGATATAAAAGCCTTGCACATTCTTCAGTGAATAAAATAAATTTGCATAGAGTTCAATGCAAAACAAATTTTAGAGTGTTATTTTTATGCAGGCAAGCTTGAAAAGTAGCCCCCGAAAAATAAATATTAATTTTTTCCCTGACATTCTTTAAGAATTTTATGATATAGAGATGAGAAAGGGGTTACCAGTAAGCTTTGAATGAAGTCCCCAAAAATGATACTCATTTCAAAGTGTCTTCTGGTATTCCAACATACTTTCTTCTACCACTTGTCTGTTGCTATGAAGCACAATAATTTAGAAAGATTGATCTCTGTTGCTGTCAGACACAGATACGGTAGACAAACTAAGTGTCCATGACAGACTAAGTGGTCTGTTTTTTTTTTCTTCTTCCATACAGAGAGATTCCTCACATCCTTCTGGTAAATCTAAAACATGTTGCAATACTTGCAGTTTTTCAGACAATTTTTGAAACATTGAAAGAAATCTACATGTGTGTACAATGGTAATCCATTCCTTGCCATGATTAATACAAGAAGGTGCATACAGCAACTTAGCTCTGTGATGAAGAAGAGCTGACATGGAAAAAATAAGCTCAGTACTGCAGGTACATCTAAATTTAACAATAGCCAAACCAAAATGAGCTCATATAAACAAGGAAATATTTTTATAGGAAACAGAAGTATTTTATACAGTGACCTCTGGAGATTAGTAAAGGGGAATTCCCATCCCTGGGTGTAGGGCCTTTCCCTTTTTTCACTTACCTTCATAGTTGACATGCCATGACAAAGACACATCTCCTGATACTTTCAGAGAACCATCATCATCATATTCTTGAGAAGAACCTGTGTCATTCAGAGTGATGTTGGGCAATGGAGGATTGTGGGTCACAAGGAAGGTTGTCTGATTGATGGAGATAAAAAATCTTAAAATGTACAAAAAGTCTTTCAGCTTTTAAACGAACATATACAAATCATCTTTTAAATTTATGTTAATTTGCCTTCTCCCTTCCTCTCCCATTCCTTTTCCCCACCCATTTTGTTTTTATTATTGTAGTTGCTGTTGTTGAATAAAAGAGTAAATAAGAAAGATGTCCCCTTGAAATTGCTCTTATCCATTTCTGTTCAGAGATTGTTATGATTACAATTCATGGTGTGTCAAAGTAGAGTGGAATATCATAGAAGATCTTTTAATTCTTTATCTTTTAATTCATTTGTAATCATTAAAAAGGAAAGAATGGTAATTTCAACCATGTCACTCAATACATAATCAATAATTCCATTCCTAACATGCAAATGCAAATGCAAAACAACTGTAAAATCATATATGCACATCTAAACATACATACCGTACAGTATGCCCTTGCTTATAGGCTCTTACAAAGAACATGAATATTCTTCCAATTCATCAGGGGTGATAGTGGGCACTTTTTTAACAAATACAAAAAATTAAAGGGTTCAGAGAAAAAATGGCATCTAACAACATTTCCCCCTTTTGAGTAAGAAAATTGGAAAAAATCAGAGAAAAAAAATCAGGTGATTATCATTATGCTATTGGTACAAATATTTTTCCTTGGTTAAAACTTACCGTCAAAATGCCAGAACCTTGGGGGGTCTTCCCCTCTACGGTGACATTGTACAGTCCAGGCTCAGTCCAGGTGTGGTACACCACGTTGCATAGGTTCATCAAGGTCTCTTCACCATCTCCAAAGCTCCAATAAAACTTGTCCAGTTGTAAGTCAAAGATGGCCTCAAGAAAGATGTTATCACCAACCAAGCCTTTGATATGAATGACATTTACAGGGATGTGACAATTACTATACATAAACCTTCTTTCTGTCAACCCCACAGTATCATAATCTTATGAAATATCATAATACCATTCTGATGAATATTAGAAACTCATTATCTACAGAATTGCATCCCCATAATCATCATCATCATCATCATCATCATCATCATCATCATCACCACCACCATGAAGATAAAGGTCTGATGAAAGTACAGCATTTAATACCAAATTTGCATGTTAGGTCATTGTGTAATACTTGCAATGCAAATTTGTTACTTTCAATTTTAATTCAAAGCAATGAAATAGTGAGTATGTAACAATGATATTCCATTTTCCACCTCTGTATCTACATTCTTCTTCATACACTGCCATATACATTAATCTCCAACAGCAATACGATAAGACTAATATACATGTATATGTATAAGCAGTACAAAGAAAGAGAAATATTATGAGAATTACTCACCATAAGGTGGTGTGACAATTTCTATCCCTGGGTACGGTGCCGGAGCCAGAGCGGACATCATCTTCTCTCCTAGAGGGTTTGTCAAGGTCACGTTCACCCAGGAGGTATCCCACATCCCGACGTTGGTGTTCCTGACCCAGATACGAGATGGCAGCACCACCAAAGCCCTCCACTGATGTTCCCCAGGCACAGACGTGACACCATCATACTCCAAGATGCTATCCCCTGTGAGTCTGCCGTTGACAGGGGACAACTCCCGGTCCGCTGCTGTTGCCCGCCTGACGATCGCTGCCGACTTGGGGATCAGCGCCAGGAGGTCTCCTCTGCGGACTTCTAACCTGTCCTGCTCGTCCAGAGACACAAAGTATCTTCCGAGGGACGGAAGGGTCACGTTAAAACTGATCACCGATCTGTAGGTTGTCAGGAGAGTCGGTAGAGTGGCATCAGGAGTGGGGTTAATGCATGCTCTCTTTGTGAAGCTGAAACCTCCTTGGTTCTGGCAGCTGTAGCTTGTCGACACTGGCAGAACTGCTCCATCAGGTTTTGTATTGTTCTCGCATTTCATGCTCTCATTTGCCAGTGGGCGAAAAACCTGTATGAATTCAATATCATAATTCATATCATCACTGTGCTAAACACTTTTTCATTGTCAAAGATCATTTTGTATTTCTTTTTTACTGCCAACAATGAAAACTTGCTTGATTCCAAATTTTCACTTCACATTATTGTCACAATAAGGAGTTACCGGTAAGTCTTTTTCCATTCATTTTCACTAATTCAATACTCATCTGAACATTAATGTCAAATAATATCTGGCTTCAACATTTTTCAAGTATATTTTCTTTTATCAGAAACTGCAAGGGCAAATCCAAACTATTTTGTCCCACAGGTTACTATATAAGCACATCTAAGATAACAAAATTACCCATAAATTTGTTAAGTAAATTGCCCTACCAGAGTTTGGATTAGACTGAATTTTGATTAAAGTGATAAAGTGAGAGAGATTTTATGTTTATTTCATATGTTCAAAGCTCTGTTATACTTTGCATTTAGTAACACATGGGACACCAAATAGCAAGTTGTATTTGCCAGTAAACAATTTTCCTATCCCATTAACATACATGTAGCATTTGGTTTAATTCTTTTCCCTTACAATTACAAAGTGCTTACAATTTGGGCTCCCCTAATCTATGAGCCAATTTTTCTTATAAATTTTGATAGGGTCACTTCAAAATCTTTTGTTTTACCTCAAGGACAACATTTCCTGAAACTTGTACATCGAAATCGAATCCAACCAGCAAGCCATCTTTAAGGACGGGATCCTTGGCCTTAATGTAACGTTCATCCACAGGTACAGGACTCAACGGCTCTCCAAATGATTGAGTAGGAGGTGCAAGAGTCATCTTTGATCGTGTTGTAGAAGAATCATCAGGGGCGAAGGCATTCACTCCAACATACTCAACTTGAGAATCTGAAGAAGATCCATAAATATCATATATCAGAAATTATACAGGTATATCAAAAAAGATACATTCTTTGAAGACATAATAATATTTTATGAGCAGGAGATGTAAGAGTCAACTTCTTCTTCCAGTGTAAGTGCTGGTTAAAGGTGATGAAGATAACTGTGATCATATTGTTGAAGAATCACCAGGGGCAACGTTATCAACTCCAACATACTTACTTGAGAATCTGAAGTAAGTTCCTAACAGTGCTAATAAACTAATAAACACTAAGATACAATTTTTATTTAAAAAAGTAAGATTACAATGTCATTCTTTGAAGTAACATGTGTGATATCATTTTCTGAATATATGAATCAAACTTTCTTTGGTTTATTTCTCTACTCTATGTAAATGCAGACTAAGAATGGAAGAGGTTTTGTCATCAAGATTTTGATACAAATACTGATGATTAAATGAACTGCATTTAAATGTTATTATAGAACATAAATGCAACAATTATTTTCTGTAATACTTGTGCAGCATAAGATAAAAACTAATAGTATTTAAAATCGAAAGAAGAAAATTGAATTCATTTCACTGCAGAGACAATCAACAAAGATATGCAACAACATTAAATTAAAACCTTCAATATTGGAACATTTTCATGCTTATAACAAAATGTTAAGAAGTAATAGAATCAATGATTGAAAATCATTCTGTAACTAAGATAAGCTTACACAGATGTACCTTTGAACATAGATCTTTATTCCATCCTATAATATCCATCTTACATTTTTTTTAACTGGCTTTTTTTAGCAGGGAGGAAGGGGTGTCAAGATAAAAGAAAAGTAATCAATAAAAACATAGTCTTGCTGCCTCAATAAAGGTATTAGATCTGTAAATATGCTTGGGTCAAGGACCATCCATCCATATGTAACTAAATGGTAAGCTCTCCCGCAGAAGATAACATCAATAAAATCAATTTCTGGATTGTAAACAGGTACATGAAGGTCCTCTGCTGATAAAAACATCTTTTCTGGCAGTTTTATAACCACTGTCTATATTATTGTTCATTTCTGAAATCCTAACAACTAAATTATTCAAGTTTGTAATATTTTAAGTATGTGAAGAATCGCTTTGTCCCGATTTTATGTTTCATGAGAATGTGACATATTAAAGCTTACATCTAAAAGTATTAAACAGAAGCCCTGATTCAACCAGTCAACCTTTCATTCCTGAGTTACGAAAAAACACCCCCAAAAACATCAAATGGACAAGTGGTATGAACAATATAGTTGTTAACATTATAGGGCCTCCACAGAAAACAGTATTTAACTACTGATGAAGCCACCCTAATAAAAAAATTAAAAAATAACAAATAGAATACACTGTACATGTCATATCTGCCCCAACATTTGATCAATATATACACATACACTCACATCCTATCAACAAAGAAATTAATTTTATTTTATGTGAGGGAATATTTATATTTACTGGTCATATAACCTTTAATGAATATGTACATGTGCATGACTGATTTTCAATAATTATCTAACACGAAGCTCAAGACCCAAATAGCTTATTTTATGTTTTAAGTTTAAATAAATTGACATCATCCTTGAGCATTCTTGCATGACTGACAAGTTTTGCAGCTGCTATTTTCTCATCACCTGACACGTTGAAACTATCCAACACCGCATCCTCCTCGAAGTAGGCCGACATCTGCATGCCGCTTCCCATAGCAACGGTGATGTCACAGTCGTAGCTCTGTATCCCCGGGTTACGGTTGGGACAGGCGATGGAGACGTCACTGATGGGGATGTGGATGGACACTGGTTGGACCCAGTCGGTTCCTGGTCCAGCTTGGAGCAGACTGAAGTGTATGGCATGTATACCTGGTTCCCTGTAAAGAACATCACAGATGTTTAAGATGTACATGCAACCATATTGGAATAAAGGAGCCTGGGGCCGGTTACTCAAAACCGTCTGAAGTCTAACTTCATGGACATCCCATAGAAACATTTGTTGATTCTATAGCACAGCTTTCAGTAGGGTGTCAAAGAGGTTAGACTTATGATGGTTTAGAGAAACGGCCCCTGATTACTAGCAGGTTTGATGTAAATAGTGTAAATATGTAAATAATCACAATTCATTTCCAGTTTTCAAGTTAGCAAAGTTTCCTTACAAGAATCATAAAGGGCTTCATTTCCAATTAGAAACCAACGTTAAGCAGACACACAAAAGCAAACGTTGTAATGTGTACACTGTACATAAAACATACTTTTTTCACTAAATGAGAACAAAATATTGCACAACGTGCAACTCATAAATGAATTTGTAAGTGGTCAATTTAGATAATCATACATGAACATGTACAAGAAAAAAATAGACTCGATAGAGTTACATTACCAGTATTGTATCAATTTCATTCTACAACTATACTGTAGCTTTTCACTTCACATACAAGTATAAAAACTAACATAAGGGATTTCTACCGCACAGTCTGAATTGGAAGAATGAATATAGTTCGCCACGACTTACGTAAAGGTATGTTCAAATTGTATGTCCTCACGCCACTGCCCCTTGAAGTGATACGGATAGTCATCATCAAAGCTGACATCGATGGTTACGGTCTGGTTGTCGGTTTGGTTCCAGGTGGCCGGGTTGGTGAGGGTGAAGGTCACAGGTTCAAACGCAGGAAAAGCTGAATGTCAGATAGGAAAAAATACAGTCAGCCACACCTGTCTTAAAGCCTATCTGCACTAGTTTGGCCTGGAGGGATTAGAGCTCTCTGCATGGTCACTGACAGGTGGTTATCTCATCAAATCAGATCTCAATGAACAAAAGAAAAAGGGGACCGTGGGGGACTAATGGTCACCGATTAGGCATTGTTTGCTATAAAGAGGGCACAAGTAGTTAAGTAGTGCAGTGGGGCTTTAATAGTGGCCACCTCTCTACAAAGGCCACCTGTCTACAGTGGCCATGCATTTTGTCTCCCTCGAGAAAGAATTGTGTGTTGTAGAAGCTGTATAGAAAGGCCACCCGTCTGACCATCTGTCATCTTTCCCTTGGGTATATAGCCTCCGTAGAAAGGTTTGATGTATCACAATTTTATCAGAAAAATGAATATTTACTAACATGTATGAAGCAATAACCCTACATGTATGTGTCTTTGGTTTACATCCCAATTCATGACAAGCATCACATTCTGAATTTTGTTAATCTTGTAAAGGATTGGTTTTTATTGGGGGAATCATGATTTGATAAAGTGATTGTAATCAATAAATCAGCATTGATGAAACTGCCAACCATAATGATAATATATATAATGTATGTCCATATAAATTATTATTAAAGTATAAAGAAATGTTGCATATAGTTTCAAGAGTCATGTTGTTTGGGGAAGGTGATTTAAGATGATCCATTGTTTGACCTTTGAAAAAAAAAAGAAAAAAAAAAATTTGTATACCGCATAATACTCATTGGCATAATTGAATGTCTCTATTATATGCTCTTTACAGAACAGAATACAGAAGGAGTGGAAATGGTGCATTTGGATCATAACTGTGAGATTATACAAAGGGCTAGATAAATATGTTTTCAAATTACTTCTGAACTTTTCTTATGATTCTATATTTCTTAGGTATTCCGGCAAATCATTCCATAAAACTGTGGCTGCATATGAAAATGACCTTTCCCCATAATATTTGTCATAGTCTGTGGGACTTTTTACTGCATCTACAACAAATTCTGGGATATCTTCTCCAAAAAGAAATCTAGAAAGAAATAATTTTACCAGTCTGATTCTGAAGTTCTTGAATCTGGACTCCATCCAGCCTCAAGGGTGCGTCGTAAACCGACACCAGTCTGTCTCCTCCGCATGACTGAGACGGGGACGAGTCACATGACTGGTCACATGATGAGGTGTTGTGGCTGGAGCCAAGCTCATCCAATGGTGAACCCTGCAGACAGAAGCAGGCATTGCCAGACTTCAGGACTGCGTGGCTGGGGGTTTAAAAGATTTTTCATCAAATCATTATTTTGACTGTCTTTTCCAGTTGGGCAAGATACAGTATGTTACGCTGTGTTAAGTTACAAAATCAAAATTACAGTTTGTTACAAATAAATGAATAAATCAACTTAATCTAACTTAAATTGTGCTAAACATGACTTATTTCATAACAAATAGAAGTACAACATCATACTTTGAAAGTGGATGTAGAAGGAGTATTTTGAATGTAGGACAGGAGGCTCTTCCACAACTCGGGGGCAGCTACAGAAAGCGCTCTATCCCGTATCTTGTTCCAGATGCATCTTTTTTATGCCAATACAGTATGTCACTATAAAGCTACGTAAATAATGTAAATCTACCTGTAATTTGTAGAGTCACAGAGGGCGACACACAGGTCAGGGGTCACACTATTCCGGTCATATTCACCGGGATTGATGTAGGGAGTAGGACAGGTGCCATTGAAGCTAGGGATAGGATCATCATAGCAACCAGGAAAAGCTTACAAAAGAAAAACAAAGTATTAGAAATTTAACTTACAAACAAAAGTGAGTTGATAATACTATATTGTAGGCAAACCAGGTAAACCTTTATACAAGTCTTATTTATCTTTAAATTAAGTAAATATCACTGAAATCATAAGACATAATAAACAATAAACAGCTAAATTAGTCACACCCTTATCAAGTTTTGTAATTTTGTCGGTATGTGAAAAATAAATTTTTCCCATACCAACAAATTTATGTTTCTTGAAAATGTGACAAATAAAAGCTTATATCTAAAAGAGTTCAACAAATGCTTTAATTCAACCAGTACACCTTTTATTCTTGATTTACAAAAAAAAACCCATCAAATTTACGATGGATATGAACAATTTAGTTGTTAACTGTAGTTGTAGTTTGTCCCTAAATTTCAGCAGAATATACATTCTGTATTACTGTTGCTCATTTCTTTCAACAAAATAGAACATTTCTAACAAAACTGAAGCAGCCCATGCTGGTGACATCATGTACTCTTGATGATGGTCATCCTGGGGCAAAACTAATGACAATTCAATGATTATGCAATTAATAGGCATTTCATGAGTACAAATCATGAAACTAATTCTAGATATAGAATTGGATTTTGAGTTTTTACTATCATAATATGACCAGGTATATGTACTTATTTATTTAATCAACTTCCAGATCATGATTCATATCAAACTAGCTTCGAAAAAACAAACTCGCTCACCAGCCTCTTGTTCTGTCAATGGGATGAAAATTAGAGATACCTGCGAATAAAATAAGTTTATTTATTGTGCTATTAAATCAATTTATGATATACAAATTGTAAAACATTTTAACAAAAAATACAAGTTCACAAACCCACATTTTCAAATATGGCTGTTGAAGTTATGAAATTCAATGTCATTAAAAGTACTAACCAAATCTAACACATTGATAAATGATATAGTTCTTAAATACTTACTAATACAACCCTGTTACAGACCAATAAGAATATGAAACTGGAAACAAAAGCTGGAAACGAGATAGGCATTCTTTATTCTTTATTGAGAGTACATGTGCATGAAGATTTTGCCAAAAAATATATTCCCCTAGTTAATAAAGGCATTTTAACACTATTTTCATTTTCATGTATATATGCATGCACATTGCTATATTTTTGTTACCACAGATCCTCACAAACAATGAATTACATGTAAATCAGCTTCTAAATTGTACTCGGATCAATAGATTAAAATACTTACCACAGCGATAACAAATATAGTCCATTTGTTCTCCATCGTGCTTTCAGAGTGGTTCAACCACGATTCATCTCATCTTTCTCATCATAAACAGAATACATCCATAACCAAGATGTTTGGTATTTCAGCTTTCTCCAAGTTCATTGATTTACCCTTGGAAAAAAAATCAATCTCTTTCCATATTTCTTCCAAAATATCCCTCTAATTAATTCTTGATTCATTGTCATTTCCATAGCAAAACACAATAACAAATTGATTGTTGGGAGAGGCAGGGTAGTGATCAATAGTTTCGGTGGCAGTTTTTTAGCCAGGTAGAAAATAATTATTGATCTTAAGAGCTAAGGGAGCTAATTACATGTTTAGTATGATTACCAATATTTCATTTACTCTCTTTTTGTCTGTTTGTCCATGTGTCTGTCTGTCTCTCTCTCTCTCTTTCACTCCCTCTCTCTGTCTTGTTCTTGTTTTGTGCACTCTGTTCTTCTGTCTCCGTTTCCCCCTTCTCTATCTTCCTATCTCCCTTTCTCTCGATCTCTGTCTTGCTCTCTTATTTTGTGTGTACTCTCTTCATCTGTCTGCGTCCCCCTTCTCTACTACCCACCCATCCCCTTCTATATCTCTCTCTCTTCCTCTCTCTCTCCATCTCTCTCTTTCTTTCTTACTCTCTCTCTCTCTCTCTCTCTCTCTCTCTCTCTTTCTTTCTTACTCTCTCTCTCTCTCTCTCTCTCTCTTAACTCTATTTTAACAACCTTCCATCCAATCTCACATACATATGAACGTTATATACACTCAAAAATCATTTCTAAAGCTGAATTAGGAATTTGTTTTCTGACAGATGAAGCTTTGTAATTAATAATTTTGTTGTGTCAATTCGAGGTCAAATATCCAACTACAAAATTCAGAGACATAAAAATGTTTTTCCTTAATGCTATAATTGTATTAAAGGGAGCGTTATTGAACCAAATACTCGCATGTCACTATGTATTTTCACAGCTATACAGCATTAATGCTACTTGAAAGGCTACTTAAATGATGCAGCAGTTGATTGTCCAAATTAAAATGTATGAAAATATATTTTATTATTAAGTATTAAAAAAACTACCACAAAGTATATAAAGATATTAGAAAGACATAATTACATCATTATTTCTTAAATAACTCTATTCAAAACTAAATTTAAATAACATATTTTGTCATAGTTTTACATAAATTGAATATGTTCACATAAATTAATCTTTCAACTAGTCTAGTAGTAGTACTTTAAAAAGTATTAAATATAAACATGTATGTTTAATATTTTTAAATCCGGCTACATTAAATTCAACTTGATAATTCTCAAAAAGGAAAGACACATTTGGACTAAAATGTCATGCAAATTATTATTTTTGTTATTGTGGAAAATAACATTTTGCCATGTAAGACATTGAAATGACGAATCATTTCTTTTTTAATAGATTTATTTGATTTTTTTTAAAACCAAGGACATGTGCAAATCAAACTTGTTCACCTAGCAAATAACTGTAAAGTACCCTACTATTGAGAGTAAGAAACCAGTAATATTGGTATAAAAAGATTAAAATGAGGTTCAAAATTGTATTGATTTGTTAATGAGATTATCAAATAACTTGAAATTTCCCTGCAAATTTAGAACCCTTTTTTTTTTTAGAGTAAAGATCACATTGTTTACAAATATTTCAACTTCTGTTTTCAAATAATACATTTCGTGCGTGAAAATTGACTTGTGAATAATGAAACAATGAATTAAACATTTATTACACCATTATAGCATAAAATATTGCAATACAGGAGCTGTACAATATATATGAATATTGCAGTTTGAAGACTCTTACTTTAACAAACCCTGCTAAATGTGGTAAAAAGATTTATTTTTTTTTAAAAGAGGTAAATGGATCAACAATGCAACACAAAATTAATACTAAAACAAAACAATGTACCCAAAGTTAGTCAACTAAGTCCAAAGATAAAATTGGTTCAAAATGTAGTCATACATAGGGCTACCGTTTAAATGTGCAAATTGACAACTCTATACCAATCAGTCAGCAATACATACATGATAAAAAAAGGGAGATTTTCCATAATACATACAACATAAGCCATAAAATGTAAAAGTCCACATAATTTGGAGAATGAAATGACCAATGAGAATGTTAAATAGAGCATGCTTTGTTGATGACTTTCTGTAATAAATTCTCAATATATGCGATTACATTATTTATGAGGGAAACAAAATCCAAGAACAATCTCATCAGTAATACTGCAAACAATGAGGTCAGAGATTTATGAGAAAATTTATTGAAAGATTTTAATTACCTTCAATTCGTGGTATTTCCATATCATATGTTATCTTGATTTCTCATTTGTTATTATCATGTAATGAATTTACCATTTTTAACACCAATGTAAATATTTCATTATGTGATACTTTTCATATATCCTGTGTTATCTTGATTCCTCTTGTGTTTTTATAATTATTGTATTGAATTTGGCATTTTTTATATGATTGTTGATATGCTCAGTTTTATTCACTGGACTAAAATGTAAAATAGTGAATCGTAACTGATCTGGTTAATCTAAATTAAGATTATTTGAATAAATAAATCGAATTTAGAAATCATTAATTAAATAGACAAAGAAAGAAAGATTGGAGAAGAAGGCCAGTAGGAAGAATAAACTTCTTGTTGCCTTCGTTTGTTTACGTTTTGAACATAATGAGGCACAGGGCTCTAAAAACCAGACAAGACCCCACATTTACAGCAAATGTGGGCTCAGATATAATGCAGTTCATGAAAGTGACAAAAGTGGGTTAGGGGCAACAGTATGTGATGGGAAATCTAAACCCAATTTTGTGAAAACCATGCCAGATGTCCCATAAGATCAGGTGGAATGTATTAAACCTTCCATCTGTGTCTAGGATTTGTCCACAAACAAATTGAAGGACTGTAAGAGTAGAAATCTGATGTAAAAGCTAAACGGAACCCTGATGACAGCTACACAACAGAAAAGAGTAAACAATTCATCAAATCACGCCGAGAAGGCGAGAAGCTAACTTTGACTGTGAATCAATCAAATCTAGTCCTCAATGTACAAAAGACAAAGGAAATCATTTTTGATTTTCGTCACCAACAGCACGCAACAAAGCACAGCCCTCTCCAGGACAGCGTTCACGCTTTTGGGAGAGTAATTCTTCAAGGTTCAAGGTCACTCTTCACATTCTCATGTGCCTATTACTATTCACGGACATCCCATAGAGCAGGTCCCAGAATACAAATGTCTAGGGACAATCATCGACAACAAACTGAATTGGAATTCAAATTCACAAGTACTCGCAGGAAAAGCTAATCAAAGGTTGTATTTCCTAAGGAAATTAAGGGAATTCCGAGTTGACAATACCATCCTGGTACTATTCTACCAAAGTTTGATACAAAGTATCCTTACTTTCAGTCTCATGTGTATGTATGGGAACCTGTCAAATTGAATGTCAAATTGAGCTTTTTGTTTAAATAGTAAGGATTTATCCAAGAGGAAGCAGTGGCTGTGAAGAGGAAATTAAATCAATTGAAGAATCTAAAGGATGAAGAAAAAAAACTTTTCTTTTAACCGGACAGACTGGCTTACAGCGATGCAGCAGGTGTGTGTGTGTGTGTATTGGGTTTTTACAGACGTGTATCAATCAGATATGATTATTTACGTCTGGGACCGACCTTTAAACGTCACCATCCGAAAGACGTGACTCAGTTTCGAACCTGCGTCCTCGGCTGAATCAGTTTGTAACTTCCACTTTTTAGCTGGATTACAGGCGCACGCCACAACGCCTAGCAGGGATGCTGCCAATTGTCACTGATATATGCACATGATGGAGTGAGCAAGTATATAGTCAACACAGTTATGTCATTGACAACTTAGTTTGATTTGTCATAATGAGTCTTGGACTACCCATTTTCACCTATCATATGTGCACAAATGATCCCATTGATCGAAAATTCAGATACCAGCATCTTCAAACGAGATGTATCGAACACTTACATGTATTAACATTTGTAGTGACTAAACTCGCTACACCAGTTCGCCAAACCAGATCTGGACGACACGTCCATTTTCCCAAACGATATACATGTATTGAAGTTTGTGGTTAGATTTGTTAATGCTTTATCTCACTGGTTAGTGATACATGTATTGTAATAAATATTGTATCATAATAAGTAACGCCTGGCTGGAATGCTCCCCAGGGAGTGGAGATTGTGCATACAGTGTGTGCTGGAAAGCACTCAAATCATATGACCAGGGTAATAGTTGATCTGTAAAGCGCTTAGAGATCGACGTCTGAGATGTATTCAGCACTATATACAAGCTGAATATTATTATCATTGATATGTAAATTTTCGTAAGTAAGTGATTTGTCATGACTTCCTTACTAAGGGGGGGTTTAATGGAGTGACCAAACTCATTTTTACCTTTTCACATTCATGATATATGCATAGAAGACTTACAGATTCTTGCAAGAAGCTAGAGAACACACTACAATACTGAATGCATTGCTGACTGAATCACTTGATCTCACAGATTCAAACTGACCTAAATAGTTTAAACATGAGTGAAAACACCCATGGAGATCTTCAAATGCCAAATACTGTAAAAGATGTTATTTTTGATGTGCGCTGGGCTGCTCAAACTTGTGTGTACGTGTACTTACATGTACTGAGTCTGTGGGTGCGTAGGTAAACGCCATCAACCGCGGACCACTCCATAGAAAACTACCTCAAACCGCGGACGTACCTGCAATGGGGGACCGTCCACGGTTGCGATACCGGTTCCGCCGTATCAAATTTACGACGTAGGGGGCGTTTGAATATTAGATGTCACAGCGTGTAGGCAACATCGATTGGATCAGTCCGATGTGTATCGCGAAATGTCACAGCGCCCCCTTTGATGACTGCGCGGGAGAGGCGCGCTACCTGCTATCATCCAATAGCAGGTACGTCCGCGGTTTGATGTAGTTTTCTATGGAGTGGTCCGCGGTTGCTGGCAATTACCTACGCTCACACACACAAGTACTAAACTTGGTCCACGGTTGACGCCATAAACGTGTAGTGGTGTGTATGTGTGTGTGTGTGTAGGTATATGCTGACGTGAGAATTTGTGAATATGTCATGCCCATTCATTAATTCTGCTGTGTACTAGCTGATCGGGAAAGTTAGTGATGATGTCACCCCATTCACAAATACAACTACAATCTTTGTAGTACTACTACTAGTACTGTGTGTGCATTGCGTGCATTGTTTCAGGGACTTAGATTTGATTTCTCTTTCAATCAACTGTGAACACCAATGCTGAGGATAACATGGGAGAGACACCACTGCACGCATTTTTTAATGTCCGCTGCCACATGTTATTTACAGGAATGTGATCATACATGTACAACTTATCGAGGCATATACTTGTAATGTGTCAGTAACACATAGATATGTTGATGTGCATGTAAATAGATATAGGCATGTGAATGTATTTGTTCATTCAGGCTTGCATATTTTTGTCACACAACACATATTGTAAGCAAGTTGCAAAGACGGAACATGTAATGTAAAGTAGAGGATAACTCTGTTATAAAGGAAAAGCACGGTGAATCAGTCTGCATTTTATCTTTATTGAATGAGTAGCTTTCAAAATCCATTGAATTCAGTCATAACTGAGTTTGAATTAAAGAGATGCAATTCCTCAGTTGCCCAAATTATGACATTTGCCTAACATTGGATCCATGATTTTAACAAAATATTCTGCATTTATTTTTCTGATGAACAGCTCCTGATTCAGAATAGGTCTACTCAGATCGACGCTAAGACCAAGGCTGGATTCACCCCTAGGATCATCGCTGTCAGACTGCACTTTGGAACACTATCCCATCACATATGAAGGAAGCATACGCAATTTATAAGTTTGAAACTCTCCTTAAAACACGCTCGTTTAAACAGCATTTTTTAATGACTTACAGTTGGGCATTTACAGCACCCATTTCTCTCTTTTACATCTTTCTAACAACCTCAAATGGAAAAGTAAGCCTATTCAAAGAACTCGATTTTGGTTTTTTCCAGAGCTCTAAATCCCAAGCTCACTATACAGCTACAATGCTCTCCACTTTTGTGTATTTTCTACTCATATGAAGTAATTTGAAATATATTACTTTGAACTATAAAAAGATTACAAAATATCATTTCCAATTTGTGATTAAATACAACCATACATATATGTAAATAGCTGTCTGCTATAAATTCGTCTCTAATTTTTAGAAATCATTACTCACAACCTTTAATACTGGAAGAACGACCTAGCTGCATTAAGTATTAAAGCCTGTTTAAAGGAACATGATGCCTTAAATATGTCTATTTCAATTTTCCACAAGTTCTTTACAAGCTTTCTAACGCTACACATATATCGCTTTCCAATATTGTTAATTTTTTTTCTCCTCTATATAATCTTAAGATACATTTTAGTTTTATGACAATTGCATCAATTCCCATTCATTATTTAACTGCATCCGCACAAATCAAGCATTAACAAACATGATATACTGGCATTGAAACTGGTTTTCTACTATCAAACCCTGTCTACCTCTTAGAAATAAGTACTCACAACCATATTGAACGAACAAACTCACATGAAGAACGAACAAACTCACATGAAGAACAAACAAACTCACATGAAGAACGAACAAACTCACATGAAGAACGAACACCTTATTGGAAGAAATAAGCCTGTTCAAAGAAACTTGACGACTGAGATAGGTCGATCGGTTGGTAGTTGTAGATCAAGAACTTGGCCATCTCTTCGGCGGAGCTGAACTGGTGCTGATTCTTCCGTGCTGGATGATAGGATGGAGAAGAAAGCAAGAGGTGAAAAAACATATTGAAATTAACATTCTTAAACAACTCTGTAACATTCCTGCTCGTCACAGCTGAGGGAATCTTTCTGTGACATTTTATGAACCATTCTCCCAAATGAATTTGGAAAAGACTTTTTCTTCATTTAAATTCTGTGCTTCACTGCCGGAAATTGATTAAAATTAATGGAAGTGCCTGGCCACAATACAAAAGGGTTGATACCTCTCATCCAAGATGCTATGAGAAGTATTGATATTGAATCTTACATGTATTACCCATAATCCTAATCTTAATATGTAAGTATAGCACCATTTCTATGGAATTCCCTCCCAAACTCATTACGTTGTCTATCCAATATTGAAACATTCATATCTGAACTAAAAACTCATCTCTTCAAATTAGCACATCAATAGTATTTCAGGATAAGTAATGTTATAATTTTTCTTTTTGTAAGCACTTCATTGTTTTCTAAATATGTTTTTGTTTCATCTTCCTTTTATGGTCGTGTTATATTTTAAATAATTATGTATATTGTAAAATTGTAAAGCGCATTGAAATGTCAACAGACATGAAATGCGCTATAAAAGAACAAATTATTATTATTATTATTAAGTGAACCCAATTACAAAAAAACATATATATATATATATATATTTGAATGGCATGACTAATCACAGCAGCTTTTTACGTTCATTTCTACAAATAGCAAAATACTGAAGCCTAGTGTAAGCTAAAGAATCACTATGTCTCACCGAACATACCATAAAATCACTATTTATACATAAAAAACTTGTACACTTTCAAAAATTCCAAGGGGTATGATCAGCACCTACACGTAGATGAAGGGTACAAAATTGAGTGAGCTGTCTAACCATTAAATAAATGACAAAAATGACAAACGAATTGGGGACAAGAACCTTATACCCGAGTCTCACAGAACTGTTGGGCACAAGACCGTTAAAGGGATCGGGTAACTTTGTCTTAGATCCTTTAGAAATAATCCTTGATTTAGCTCATGCTGCAATGATAATTAAAAACCTTTAGGTCAGTAAGGAACTCCATGAATATTACAAGCCGATCGCCTTTCTGACTATCACGATATTAATGATTGGAATTACAAATTACGGTTTTCATAACACTACAGTCTATTGGGGAAAACGAGTATGGTAAAACCGGTCACTCAAAGATTTTTACTTTTTTGAGGCACTTCTTGATCATTTTGAAGCGCGATTTATTTAGGGCTTCAATATTACACCATATCACAGACACTGGTAACATGATGTAGGACCGTGTATCTCAGATTTAACATATTTAACAGATTTAAAGGTAAAGACCAGTATTGGAAACGCCCCAATTTCAAAAATGAAATGGAAGCTCTCATTACCAATCATGTGAAAGAATATGTTTTGACTAATACATGATGATAAAAAAATTGCCGGGAAACCGCCTACTAATTCATATATTTGGTAAATTTGTTTCTCTCATGGTCTGTGAGAGATATAGGTTATTGTCCCATATACATCTTTCTGTGTATAGTGCTTGTAACTTTACGAAGAATGGGCCAAATTTCTTATCATTTTGATGATTCCAGAACCTTGCAGATGCTAGATGCTAGATGATCAACCTTTTATGATCGATTTCACAACGTTTCTTTCACAATGCAATCGAATGACCATAACTGGTCTTTACCTTTAAACAATCCCTTTAATATACCAGCAAATGAACAAATTCATTGCCCTGAACAGCCATAAATCAGCTGATTTTGGAGTTGTTTTATCAATCTGTTTGGCGATTGGATTGAGGTACTACTAAAGACTGTTATGGCTCCTAATCCTACCTTCTTCTACAAAGAAGTTTGCCAAGAACTGCATGAGCTCCACACATTCTTTGGAGTGACAGGAATTCACTTTCCACTCAAAGGCGTTCTTCTCAGGATGCCACTGGGTGCCGTAGAATGGAAAATCATAGGCTGAAAAAGAAAAACAGAAAGGGTCCATGATTTGCTGTACCAATCTGTAAATATTCAGTTGCGAAACAATGTACGACTGTTTCATTGGCACGCCTAAACAAGAATTATTAACCTCCATTAAACACAATGATTTATGATATTTAATCTTCTAGTGTAAAAGGGTTCTTTGACCTCTAGAACCAAAAATTGATGTCGTTCTGTTTTTCTGCTCATATAAACTCCAGCCAAGTTTGGTAGAAATCATTGCAACGGGCCTCAAATTATCCCCTGAACAAGAAGTGGGACAGATAGAAATCTGGATGGAAAATAAGAAGGCGTATGTGCTTAAAGGTAAAGACCAGTACTGGAAACGCCCCAATTTCCAAAAATGAAATGGAAGCTCTCATTACCAATAATGTAAAAGAATATGTTTTGACTAATACATGATGATAAAAAATTTGCCGGGAAACCGCCTACTAATTCATATATTTGGTAAATTTGTTTCTCTCATGGTCTGTGAGAGATATAGGGTAGTCCCATATACATCTTTCTGTATATAGTGCTTGTAACTTTACGAAGAATGGGCCAAATTTCTTATCATTTTGATGATTCCAGAACCTTGCAGATGCTAGATGCTAGATGATCAACCTTTTCAGATCGATTCCACAACGTTTCTTTCACAATGCAATCGCATGACCATAACTGGTCTTTACCTTTAATATAGATGTCATACAATGAAAGGGCTTTCAACAAACTACATGTATCCCATGATGTGTTATCAAAATCTTTTATCCAACCACAATTGATGCACTCAAGCCTGTCTACAATTGGGCCAGTGAGGGAAACAGTGAAAAATAGCTGTAAACAAGGTGGCCTTTCTACACAGCAGGTCCTACAATGAAATTTCCTCCCAGGGGCAGACAACATAATTGACCATTATAGAGAGCATTGGCAGAACAAAAGTAATAACAAACAATAAACAACAACAACAAAATATTTCATGTTTATACCTTCCACAGTTGAGATGAACTTAACACCATTCAAATCGTGGTTGGTGGAAAGAACTCGGAAGAATGATGACAAGGCAGGAAATTTGGTAAAATTCTGTATAAAAAAAAATAAAAAAATTAATGTGAAATCAACAAACTAATTGGCTCTCCAATCATCATCATCATCATCACAGGCATTATTTAGTTATCATCAAATCCCACTGATGCTAAACTTTCTTGGAAATACAGAAATTAAACGTCAAACTTCCAATTAATATGTAACAGGGCCAACCAGGGCTCAACTCAAAAAATAAATTGAAAAAGCATGCAAGACATGCTCACAAATTTCACAACTGGTTTGGATTTGCGAAAGTTTCTTGCCACAGGTAATTGAATTATAACTTAGTTACACAACAATGAATTGTTTGCAGGTTGGAAAAAAAAAATTTTTAATGAAAATTAAAAAATCCATGGCATGAAAGTTTGCAGTACAGGAAATTGGAGACCCCTTAACTTTCACCCAAAAACCTAATAGCAAAGCTACCCCATGCATACATATCCTCATTATCTTGCTCGAGACCGCAGAGAAGAAAAGATTTGTGGGTGGGGATCCCTAATTGAGATGTGTATTTAAGGAAGAAACAGACAAGTGGCCTTGGCAAAAATGATAAGACATCACATTTCTAATATCATGGCCTCTTATAAAGTAAACACTGTTCTGAAGAAATATTTGGAATATACAGTTGATCTTCTACATACAGTGCTGTACTTCTATAATTCTATAAGTGTTTTGTGAATGACAGAACATGCACTAAATGGACAAATATGTGAGGTACATAGATATCTAAATGCACAAACAATATCTATTTATTACTAAATTTGTTTTAATGCAGGCTGGATTCCCATCCAATATTAAAGCACCTCTGCACTACTTTTAGCTACTTGCGCCCTATATATAGCAAACAATGCCTAAGTGGTGATCGTTGGTCCACTATGATCCCCTTTTTCTTCTGTTAATTGAGAGCTGATTTGATGAGATAACCACCTGTCAGTGACCATGCAGGGAGGTAGAATCCCTCCTGACCAAACTAGTGCAGATGAGCTTTAAGCAAGGGAGAAAAACGATTTTAATTGTGTTGATGGTGACCGATGGTCCACTATGATCCCCTTTTTCTTATGTTAATTGAGAGCTGATTTGATGAGATAACCACCTATCAGTGACCATGCAGGGAGGTAGAATCCCTCCTGGCCAAACTAGTGCAGATGGGCTTTAAGCAAGGGAGAAAAACAATTTTAATCTACTAATAAATTTCTTTTCTATAATGGCTGGATTCCCATCCCATAAAGAGATGTCTACAAAAAAGCTGTTGATTGCAAGTCCTCCAATCAATCACAAATTTGCAAACTCAAATAATCTCTGTAGCAGAGTTGTGGCTGATATCAGCTAGTTATGATCCATTCAATTTCAATTGCAAATGCTGGGGAACATTATGATTTGTATACTTACTGCTGGTGTTACTCCCATGGAATGAGAGTTAAGAGTTGAATTGACAGTAGTCAATGTATGGATGATGCTAGGTGGTGTAGTCTTCTTATTCAGCAATCTACTATCTTCAAAACCTAGAAGCAAACCACATAGATATGATGTTTAATATTGGAACACAAGAATTCCCCCCTCAACATCAAAACAATCATACACAAACATGTACAGTATCATATTTCAAGCATTATGGACCATTTATTTCCATTAGATTAAAGGGGAAGTCTACCCTGATATTAAGTTGGTTTTACCAGAGGCAGAAAAATGAAGGGAACATGTCAGTGTATGTTTGAGTAAATTCTGATTGAATGATAAATTTATGAATTTTTAAACTGGCGATCGATCAAACAAAAATTGGCAACTCTATGATTTATCTTGTGAGGTCCCCTCCCACTCGATCTGTACTACCGGTATACAAAAAATCTGAAATTTTGATTTTCACTCAAGAGGATTTTTAATCATACATTGACCCTAAATATGATTATTGCAAATATGTTTCGATATGACCCCTGTATGGAAAAAAACCTATTCTGTCATCAATAACAAAGAAAATGAAAGTTTATGAAATTTTATGTATAGAGTAAACTGGAGATGAACTTGCAAAATATGTCAGTGTTACCAATATATGTCTTTGATTGATCGCAACTTTTATTATTTTTACTCAGAATTAGCTCCAACTTTCACTGACCTGTTCCTCTTATTTTTCTGTTTCTATTATTACCAAATTAATATCAGGGTGGACTTCCCCTTCAAACACTCTTCTCAATCCTGTTGATATACAATATTATTTTACCTACATGATATTTCAAATGGAGGAAATGAGTAACCAGCGGACCTACAGCCTTTTAAGCCCTCTCCGAGGGACTTGAGTATCAAGAACTCATGCTTCATCAAAGGTCACTACTCACTAGCATAGTCAGAAATTTATTCTCAATATTCTGAGAAATTCTCTTCTCAACCCATGATATCCTTAAGTAATCAGTAGCTGCATCTACACTGCAAGCAAAAATCATTAGATTTTTCTCACATTCTGGTGTTTTACCGGAAGTTGCTAGAAAAATCCACCTCGGGAGTGTGGTTTTGTTAAGCAACGGCAAAAATTTCACTGGTTATTGCAGTTTCAATGTTTGCTTTCAAAAGCGACAAGTAAAGCATGTGCACAACTTCACCAAAAACCAGAGTTATCAAACACTGATGGTTTCTTATGGGTATTTCCAGTTGAGTAAATGGCAGTTTTAAAAAACCTAGTTTTCAAAATGGTTTAGGGGCTTTGTGAATGGGCTGTGTAAAATAGGCCTTGTGATGCTATTTTAAAGAAGGAATGAGTAACCAGTGGACCTACAACCGTATTCATATCCAAGGGACTTGGAGAGCAAGGATAAATGCCTCATTAAAGGGCGATAGAAAATAGATAAACCTGAATCAATGACCCCCGACCCACCCCCCCCCCCCTCCCCCAGTTGTGAGACCTCTAATTCAAATCACAACACAACTCATCAGTTGCCTTGAAAGAAAAAAATAATTCTAAAACAACAACAAAAGATTTTGTTTGTTTGTGAGAACACAGATTATAAACCACTCAAATTTAATATAGTATCACATGGGTTAAATCAACGTTTCACTTCCTTTTTATCTATGGTCAAATTAACCTTGACCTTACAAAGGGCATACCACAAAATGACTGACCTTTAACAGTTTATTTTCAACTCGCAAAAATTTAAATCTAGTCAGCACTTCATTTAATGACCAAAATACTTTCCCATAATATGCATGTATACATTAAAACAAACTGTGTTTTTACCACTTTGAACATGTACCTAGCATTTTATTTCAAATGATCATCCCCCCCCCCCCCCTCCCCACCCAAGAAAAGAAAAGAAACTCCACTTCACTGATCTTTAAAAATGGAGAGGTCCATATTTGTGCATCTTAGGATAATAACTCTAAATGTGATAGAGGTGATTCATGAATAGCTGTTGCCTCCCCTTTGGAATAAAATAGTCCTCCTTGTGTATCACGGAATGTATCGTTGGTGCATAAAATACTGATTACAGAACTTCATTTATAACTCATCAGCATGTTTCCCGTAATTTGTCTCAATAGGTTTGTGACCTTAACCTGCTTATGCACAGATTCTATTTACATCTACAAACTGGCAACTACCATCAAATTATCATTATATGATAAGGAAGATAAAGAGCAACTGACAAAGCACACATCACAAGACTAATATATCAACTCAACACTTCCTTTCATTTAGGATAATATTGACCCAATGCAAGGACATAGCATAGAGTGACTGAACTTTATCTCTTTTAATCTTGCAACAAAATAAAATATAAAGCTGAAAACGGTCCCCTTACCCAATGTTTTTATTCAATTTCTTTAATCCTTTGATGCACAATACTTTTTTTTCTAGACATCCCACTGTTAAATGTATCAAATGCAATGACATATAATTCAATAAAATGGCATTGTCACTGTAACATTTTCATTCAGAATTAAGAACAATTATTAGAAAGGAGCATCTTGCAAATATTTCTGACACTTCCTATAACTTTCACCCTCATTAAAGTATGATTTCTGCGTTCTATCATATCTGGTTCCAGCTGTACAGTGTAACAAATGTTAGATGCCTTGATTCCTCTTAGCAGTTTCGATACATACTGTATAAAACAAACATGATCAAACTAATAGAATAGAGCATCTTGCAAATATTTTGGGCAATTTCTATGACACTTGCCTTCGGTAAAACACATGGGGTGGTATTCTCGAAAGCGAACTAAATTTAGTCCATGGTTTAATCCACCCTATGGCCGATTGTCCACATGGATATATTTTAAATTACTATGATAACATAATTATATCATAGTTATATTGTTGTTTATTCATTATGTTATTACATTTTATTTCAGTTTAGTGACAGATTAAATTATTCAAAAACATATTCATATTAACACTTGGCATTCCATACTTAGGTGGATTAAACCATGGACTAAAGTTAGTCCGCTTTCGAGAATAGTACCCCATGATTTCTATTATCAAGCATACCTGGTTCCAGATGTATGGGGAAACTAACGTTGTGTGCCTCGATGCCTTCTATGAGGACATCTGTCCCTGCAGTCTGAATCATGAGCTCCTCAAATCCAAGGCATATTCCCCAGAGTGGAAAGAAGTCCCCTTGTTTGTTAGCCTAAAGTGCAACAGACATTTGGAAAATTATTAATATATTCTTTGTGTGACAAGCACGCATTGGATAAGCAACAGGCCACACAGCCTCATCAGGCATTTCCAGTGTAAAAAATACCTTGTTCATTTTTTATCAGTCTTTTTTGCTAGAAATTTAATCATATTTCACAGCAGTCATAATAATTTGGAGTGTTTTTTTTTTCTTCTTTTTTTCCACCTAAGCTTTATTTGTTTATAAATTCCAAGCTATTTGGGAGCCTTCCTGGGCTGAATTGCTCATTTCCACCAAGTCTTTTTCTTTTCACTTTATGATACTACTTGCAACATGAAAAAAGTTTGAGCTACTTTTATTGCTTGTAACATTGAGCCATATCCTACTTGCCTTGTTTTGACTTCATATGCCCATCTCACTGGCCCTTAAACTGACAACTCTAAGAGCCTGTCACATTTACTCTACAAGTGTCTGAATATGCAATACTTGTTTTGTATTCATCACACTGAAAAAATACTTTCATTTAATAACATAAGCTCCATTTTTTTCATTTTTCATTTTATTTTGGTGGGATACGTGTGTGTACTAGGTTTCTACATGTAGATGTTTCATTCTTAACAATGGCTTGAGCATATTTCCTCAACCAACTCTTCTGCAAGTTTAAATATGAGTGACACTACCAAAAAAAAGGAGATGTGTAAAGTTACAAAATGTATTCATTTTCAATAAAATAATGATAGTTAAGAACTGAGGTACATGTTCCCTTTGGGAATTTCTCACAGAATCTCACCTGAACTGCTAGATGATAGAGAATATGCGCTGCTCCTGAATAACCTACTCTCGAGACATCATCCACAATATCAGCCCCTCCTCCTGGAAACAATATTCTGACGAGAAAAGTATTTTGGAAAAAGTTTACCCACGTAAAAGCGAATGAGAGTATCATAGAAAGAAAAGGAAAAAGACTCAAGCTCACAATAACAAATATTTTGAGCTGATTTTACAATAAGAAGAAAGTTGACATTTACAGCAAATGCAAAACAAAGTACTTTGGTTGAAAATGATGCCTGCAGCTTACGAAGTCACTTGAGTAATTTGCTTTTGTAAAGAATGTAAATTTTGTGGGATACTATTTCTTAAAGTAGATATTCATTAATTTTAAAAACTAACTTCATTCTCATTATTGCAAAGTTGAAACTTTGATTCGACAAGGTTATCAAAATTTGATGCTTGGAAACATTTGAAGAATTGATTATTATAAATTACAAAACGCTTAAGTACAGCCCCGGCATAGCACCTGAAGAGCTCTCCGAACGATGCTGAGATGTGTGAGATCACAGTATGGACATGATCTGCACAAGCAGACGATGTCCCATGACATCTCACACATTTTCAGTGCCTGTGTTTTCATCTTCTCTTGAGTTCTTTCTCTTACTTCACTACCGTCAGGTTAAATGTATAATCTTTTGCCTCACTCTAAACCCCGCGCATGGTTTTATTTTGATTACAAATGCAGCGATACAAAAATAAAGGAATCTTTCGCTTGTAAACAAAATAAGACGCCATTGTATATTCAGCTGCACACACCGTGGTATGTTCGGCGTTTCAAGAGGGAACAAATGCTGTCCTTAATATCATTCCAGGGGCTTTTCAATTTGAAAGTCTGGTTTCTTTGATTGTTAATTAACCCCTTTCCTGTGTATTTAAATGCATAAGATGTTAGTTATCAGAATCGGGTCATATCCCCCTTTGAATGGTTTGACATGCCATTACATTTATATACACTAAACTCATTATAATTTGACAAATAATAGCTTCGCAATTATGTTCATTCTTTATGGGATGTCGTCTGCTTGGGCAGTACTGGTCCATATAGTGACGTCATTAAAACTTTGTTATGTTTCCGGCAAATCTCTCATATATCCCAGCTGCTATGGAGGTGGTTGTATTTGTATTTTCATAAATCACCCGATATGTAGTTGACCTAAAACTTGTACGATGGCCATCTGTTAGCTTACCAGTTTCTAGTGATACATTAGTTGACATATTTGTGATTTTATTTGAATTTCACCTTTAAATCAGTAAATTAGATTGATGCTGTGGAAGTGATGTCCTAATCAAATCTGACTTGATTTATTGATTCATGAACTACCATCACTCCCCATTTGTTATTGACTTTATTGTTTGCCTTTTAGTTTAGCAGGACACTACACCTCAGTTACATTGACACCTCAGTTACACTGACATGACCAGAGCTGCCAACCTTGTGCGACCAAAAAAAGGAATTTCAAGCAAAAAAAAGGATTTCATGGAAACAAAACTTACAACCACCCGCGACACACTTCCAATGCAGAAATGTTCATTCATCATGCTGTTTTTTCCATACTAGCAGGTAATTTTTTTGGTGGTTATTTTGGTATTATCGGCATTTCATTTTTTTTTTAGAATATTTTTCTCTTCAGGTATGTTTTAAAATTAGTTTTCTATTGAATTTGTGATCAAATCACCATTTTAGGGCAGTTTTTTGACGTGCGGTATGTAAAAAAAAATAAAAAATAAATAAAAAATTTAAACAAATTATAAAAATTATTAAAAAACGTATTTTATGAAGAAAAAACGTAATACCGTAATTTGGAGGAAAAAACAGAGTAATTCCGGCAAAAACGGAATGGTTGGCAGCTCTGCATAATCCATGTTACATCTACCTAACCGACAACAGACTGAACTCAAAATTACAAGCCCAAATGGCCAACTTATCAGTCGGTTTGTTGGTGTGACTGCATGAGCTCATCTTCTTCTTCTTCTTCTGGAAATCTTTAAAAGGCTATATGCATCCTATCATAAGATGAAGTAAAGATTTCAAGCGGTGTGAGGAAGACAAATAATTATGATGGGATATAAAGACATAGACCAGTAGTTGTAAAATTTCGGTTCAAGGGTTTTGGGTGCAAAATATCCATTCAATATTGTTTGAATATTGCCTTCAGATGTTTACAAGGCAAGACTTCAACCTAAATTTGCAAAACGCAGAAATATATGCCCAAATGTTCAATGTTGAAGTGAATTTGCAATATCTATCCAGGCCGGATCAATAAATCATATTCTTTCACACGATTGGTAATAAGAGCTTCCATTTCATTTCTTGAGAGGGGGGCATTTTCAAAACTGGTCTATACCTTTAAAAGCCTCAGGAGTAGCCTCCCTGGAAGTTCTCTGGTCTGTCAGTGTACACTAAATTTGCTGGAAGGCTGTTCCATTCTTACCCATTAACTGACTTGAAAATGTTGCCATAGTATTCGTCAGTCTGATTGACAAGGATGGGGACCACTCTAGCGCCGGCAGATTCTAGAAACTTTATGTAGGATGCAGCGATGTAAGACGAGCCATACTTCTTAATCGACGATGAACTGCCTTGTGCCAGGACACCTGTATGAGGTTTTGAAAAGCAAAGAAAAATTGTATTTCTGATATTTGCAAGCTTTTTTTTCAACCGACTGGTACATCTTTAATCTGAAAGATCATTTTTAAAATTAATTTTTAGATTTAACTTGTCTTGATATGACTGAACCAGCAAAGCTAGAGTGCTAGACTATATGTAGTTCTAGAATTAGTTGAAGTTGCTTTGGTATTTAATGCTATTGCTGCAGTATAATCAATAATTGTTTCCACCACATACATGTACTCATCAAGAGCTCTTTGGGGCTCACAATACAGCATACAGGGCTCAACTTTACGGGTGCCAGGGACACTACATTTAGCTTGGGCCCTCATAATGTATCCAGACCCCTAAATGTTGAACATTATACATAGGGCTTTAAATACATACAACACAATCCAGCCCCTTTTCAATAAGGTTAGCCTGGAGCTCTACAGTATGACTGAAGGGAGCACATAGTTACAACCCTCCCTCCTCCCCCACCTCCCCCCTCCAAGTGGTGAAAAAATAGAAAGAAAGAAAAAGTGATAAAGGAGAGAAAGGGAAAGAGAGAGGAGGGAATGAGATGAGAAAAGATGCCTAGATCAAAAAGCAATTATTTTTAACAGGTGTATGGCACGTTTGTTTGAATGCTCACTTATGTTTACTTGACTGATAAAGAGTGTTTACTTTTAGTGCTTGCATGTTTGTTCAATTTCATCCATGTTTGTTTCATTTCAGTGTGTAAACATACTACATGTACTGTATTGCTTCAGATCATCTGAAAACACAGCAGCCCTACACTCTTCAAAGAAAGAAGAATGCAGAGCCAGACAAGAACTATTCACTTTTGACCTAGCTTAAAGGTAAAGACCAGTATTGGAAACGCCCCAATTTCAAAATATGAAATAGAAGCTCTTATTACCAATCATGTGAAAGAATATGTTTTGAATAATACATGATGGTAAAAATGTTGACAGGAAACCGCCTACTAATTGATATATTTGGTAAATTAGTGTATCTCTTGCCTGTTGAGAGATACAAATGCACGTGTTGCGCACATGTGTGTAGTCCCATATACATCTTTCTGTGTACAGTGATTCTAACTTTATGAAGACTTGGCCAAATTTCTTATCATTTTGATGATTCCAGAACCTTGCAGTACATCTATGCTAGATGATCAACCTTTTCTGATTGATTTCACGATGCAATCGCATGACCATAACTGGTCTTTAGTTTTAAGCTTTATATACCTCTGTGTTTTTTTTTATGTACTGCACATTCCATGATAGACCGAAAGCTTCAGTCTCTATACCGTCGGTTGTTCCACTGAGACTACGTCTGGCTCTACTAGACCTCCGGTTATAGAGACTGAACGATCGCCTATGCCAGCCTATGTTGAAGATATCACGGCTAGATTTTAGCCGTTAGGCCCCTCCCACAAACATGAACAAACTTGCCACGGCCGTATTGTTATGCCCCCAAAATCCCCCAAAATGTCATTTTACCTTGTGCATATCCAATTTTACATTAGGCCTAGCTAGGCTATAACACATCGGTTCCACTTACTAACTCGATTGAAATAATCCGTTTAATGGTCCCTTTGAAGGAAATTATGGGTCAAAATCGACATCCATGTTGAAAATCTTGCAAGCCGTGTTAAACTCTCGCTGCCGTCAATCTCATCCCTTCTAGTCTACGCCGAAGGCAAAATGATTATGAAGGAAAAACTGTGCGCCATCTGCACGTTCTTTAATGGCGTTATCACAGTTTTTCCTTCATAATCATTTTTGCCTTCGGCGTAGACTAGAAGGGATGAGATTGACGGCAGCGAGAGTTTAACACGGCTTGCAAGATTTTCAACATGGATGTCGATTTTGACCCATAATTTCCTTCAAAGGGACCATTAAACGGATTATTTCCATCAAGTTAGTAAGTGGACCCGATGTATTATAGCCTAGGCCTAATGTAAAATTGGATATGCACGAGGTAAAATGACATTTTGGGGGATTTTGGGGGCATAACAATACGGCCGTGGCAAGTTTGTTCATGTTTGTGGGAGGGGCCTAACGGCTAAAATCTAGCCGTGATATCTTCAACATAGGCTGGCATAGGCGATCGTTCTGTCTCTATAACCGGAGGTCTAGTGGAGCCAGACGTAGTCTCAGTGGAACAACCGACGGTATAGAGACTGAAGCTTTCGGTCTAATTCCATGACTGAAAATCATTAACAATATAGGGTATCATTTTAAAGAGGAAAAAACAGTTTCTAATAATACTAGACATAGCAATGATTATATGCCATGAAAAGTGAGATACATTTATTAATATTAGATCAAACTCAATTTTTCGACTAAAAAATTGAGGTGTTTTATTTAGAACTTTAGACCCAAGCATAAAGCTAGTCATTTAATAAATACAAATTATCCCCATACTTCAATTATAGACCTTGGCTTTATTCTACAATTTCTAGCTAGACCTATAGATCTAGGCAAGCCTCCATCACTTAACTTATCAGTATCAAATAAAAATATTATTTCAATAATTAAGAGCTAAATAAAGTCTAGACTAAATTAGTTTTTTTTAAAGACTTTGACTAGACTAGTAAGAATCTTAATTTGGGGGACAAGACAAACACAGGATATCCTTACACTCCCATAATCCATATAGGTCTAGATCTAGATGATGATGATGATGATGATTACCAAATTATCAGTACCACATCACATCATTCATTATTCAGGCACATTTCAGCATGCTCAGGCAAAAAATTTAAAAAATACATCAACCTCTCAACTCCTAATAGTAATAATAATATATTCTCGATCATCAATTCATAAATCATCTAGATCTAGATCTAGATCTAGTCTAGCCATAGACCGAATTTTCCGTCTCTTTCGTTCGTTAGCCTCTTATTGGGGTAGGGTCGGCCGGCTCTCTCTTTAGTTTAGAGACGGAAGCCGTTTATACACATGTCCTTGCTAACGCCACGGCCAGTCCTGGTCGTAGCGTTTTGCCCCCAAAATCCCCCAAAATGTCATTTTACCTCGAGCATGTTATATTGTAAATTAGGCCTAGGCTATAATAAATCAGTTCCACTTACCAACTTGACTGAAATAATCAGTTTAGGTCTAATAGTCCCTTTTTAGGAAATTATGGGTCAAAATCGGAATCCATGTTGAAAAAGATTTTCAAAATGGATTTCGATTTTGACCCATAATTTCCTAAAAAGGGACTATTAAACTGATTATTTCAGTCAAGTTGGTAAGTGGAACTGATTTATTATAGCCTAGATCTAGGCCTAATTTACAATATAACATGCTCGAGGTAAAATGACATTTTGGGGGATTTTGGGGGCAAAACGCTACGACCAGGACTGGCCGTGGCGTTAGCAAGGACATGTGCATAAACGGCTTCCGTCTCTAAAGAGAGAGCCGGCCCTACCCCAATAAGAGGCTAACGAACGAAAGAGACGGAAAATTCGGTCTAGTCTAGCCATAGGACGGCAAGTTTATGTGGCAAAAGTGAATTAAAACCTAGAGTTTAGTCTAGGTTAGGACTAAGGTACGGAACTTAACTAGGCATAGACTTATGTGATTTTCACTGGTTACAGACTCTAATTCGTCGTTAGCGATCGGACACTAATTATCGTAATACAAAACAAAAACTGAAAGATAGGGCACGCGGGCAGCAGGCCTTGCTAACACCAAGCCCGCGGCCGGGCCCCGCGCTCCGGGCGGCGGCACAGATGGAGTTCTCGTAGGTCTAGTCTACGCCTACGGTACGAGTACGAGCGACATCGGTTTTCAAAAAATGGCATTAAATATGTATTTATTTTAAAGACATACCATATCTTACCTATTATTGGGCGAAGCGGTAGAGCATATGTGCATATTGCTGACCCTAAAATGTACAGTAACGGTAAACTAAAGACAAAAATATTCATAGTGAAAAGAGAGATACGCGATGTCGTCTGCAACAGGCCCCATGCACTCGTACTCTATCTAGCGAAAGTTGAACAACAAATGCTCTCGTCACGTGATATGGACATGTGATGATCGTGATGAAAGCAACGAACGCATGCGCATTTGTTGTGTTGTTCAACGTTGCGTTATAATATATGGCAATCAGTCAAAATTGACTACAGTATTTGTTTTTTTGTTTTTTGTTGGTATTATGGGCGTTTCGGACTATTGTCAGCAACATTTTTTTTTAAAGTATGAACTTTAATTATTATAGATTAATTTACCTCGATCTCTCTTTCATCTTTTTGTATGTCCCTGCATCTTTGTCAGCTAGGGTTTTTATTGAAATTTTTATACCAAATCATATGATCCGCGCAACAATTAACCCAAGCTTCAAAGTCGTATCCCAGCAGAAGCTGTGCCTGATTGGAATTAGCCACAAGCTATTATAAATAAATCACCCCTCTGATTAGTATCATGAGCATATCTGTATGTACTTCCAGTGCCATCTATACAACTGCTTCATCATCATCTCTCTCTCTCTCTCTCTCTCTCTCTCTCTCTCTCTCCCCCTCATGCAGTTTCTCCTTTTCTTCCTCAGTATCCCCCCTTCCTCCTCCTCCTCCTTATAATGGTTGCACACAAGCAAAAAAAGCTAAACAAGTACAACACATCAAAATCACAGAAAAAATCACATATGCACAAGCATCACAAATATGGACAAATAAACAAAATACCCCTCAAACTAACATTGTCACACAAACCTCCGAATGAGGAAAGAGGAACAAGAAAACACACAAATTAAACCACGAGATACGATACCTGGCTCATATGCCATCGCTGCAACCACACAAAACGTACCTCCCGTAACCACCAGCACCCAACAAACTCAAAATGTCTTACCACCTCGAACAACCTCAAAACATCCTTCGAAAATCCCTCGAAAAATCCCACAAAATCCTTCGACAACATCAACAAACTCCACAACAATCACTTCAAAAAAAGACAATGAAAAGAAAGAAAATCCTTCTGTAACCACGAACTTTATAGCTACAGCAAATGATGATCAGATAATTGACTTTATATGTCAATTGATCCTCTCACTCACAGAGGGCAAAACTCTTAAAGAAATAAATAATTTAGTTCTGGTCGCAGCGAAAAGATCGCTGCAGCAAATAAGTAGTGCTAACAATGTTGATAACGATACTTAAAACATTGATGATACTGTTTTCCATACTACAATGGAATGCACAGGGATTACTAGGGCATGGAAAAGAACTTATAAAGTATTTGAACACACACAAACATTGCTATGATTTGATATGTATACAAGAAACATGGTTTCAGGAAAATAGAGTTCTTCAAATTCCTGAATACACATGTCTCCCAAGAAATAGGGAAAATCAGGCGAGGGGAGGATGTGCGATATACGTTCATAATAAAATCAAGTATGAAGGTCCAATGAATGATGTAAATTTAGAAATGCAGCAAGTAAACATACACGCAGGAAATGAAAAGTTATCAATTGTGAACTTTTATAATCCTTGTAAGAAATTAAATGAATATATTATGAATGTGCTATTAAAAGACGTTAATAAAAATGATAAAGTTATTATAGTAGGCGATTTTAACGCTCATGGTACCATGTGGGGAAGTGACAAAACAGACAAGAATGGACAAGTGATAGAACAATTCGTGAATCATCATAATCTAACTGTTTTGAATGATGGCGAAGGAACCAGACTGGATCCACGAACAGGAAAACTGTCATGCTTAGATTTATGTATAACCACTCCTTCACTGGCATGTAGAAGTACTTGGAGAGTCATGGAAAGCCTTTTTGGAAGTGATCACTTCCCAATAAATATCCAAACAACTTTAGACGGGAAAAGCTCTGAATATAAAGATGCTTCAATAAGAAGTGCAGATGATTTTATCTCCTTTAAACATATAAATTTGAAAAAATTTGCTAAGAAATGTGAAGAGATGATTACAAATGATCTCATACTTATAAATAATGATATACAGGAAATATATGATAATTTCATGAAATATTTAAAACTGTGTATAAAAGAAACTGTACCGAAAAGGAGAAATGTCTCTAAAAATCCGGTGCCTTGGTGGACCAAAGAATGTACAGAGAAAATCAAAGAGAGAAATAGAATGTGTAATAAGATGTCACGGAAAATAACTTTTGAAAAGGTAGATGAGTACTTAAAAAAGAAAGCAGAAGCACAGCGTGTGCTCCGCCAAGCAGAACGAAATTACTGGCGAGCATTTTGCACAAAGCTTGATCAGTATATGCCAGAATCTAAGATCTGGGCTTGTATAAAACGGCTGAATGGTGTACTAATAAAAAAAATAAAAAAATATGTCAACATTGATTGTAAATAGTAAAGATATTGTCTCCGATCAGGAGAAAGCAAATGCCTTTGGAAATTACTTTCAAAAAATAGGAATAAAAGACAGGGATACTAATAAGGAATTACCGAAGGCACCAAATAATGACATTCATATTTTAAATGTAGATCATGTTATAAATGAACCCTTTTTTTATAACAGAATTTGAAAAGGCAGTGCAATCGCGAAAAAAGACTGCCCCAGGAAAAGATAATATACCTTACGTTGTTTATGAAAATCTGCCAAAAGCAAACAAGGAAATCATGCTGAACATCATTAACTTAATATGGAAAACCGGGGAAATTCCAATTCAACTAAAGCATTCTATAATAATCCCTATTCTCAAACATGGAAAAGATCCCAGAAATACATCGTCATATAGACCAATCTCTTTAACATCATGTTTTGCCAAAATAATTGAACGAATGATAAAAGAAAGATTACAATGGTATGTTGAAAAGCATGAATTATTACCCAATTTTTTAAGTGGATTTAGGAAAGGTCGTAGTGTGACGGACAATATTGTACAATTAGAAAATGACATCCAAAAGAGTATAAATTGTAATGAACATGTAATAGCGGTTTTCTTGGATGTCGAAAAGGCTTTCGATACAGTTTGGATAAAGGGTCTGGTTTTTAAATTAGCAAAAAATGGAATAGAAGGGAACATGCTGAGATATATAGAAAATTATCTAACAGCACGAACTTTTCAAGTACGAATTGGAAATACAGAATCTAAAACTTATAAAACGCATAACGGGTTACCACAAGGGAGTGTTTTAAGTCCTCTTTTATATAATATAATGATGGGTGATATACCTACAGACCAAGATGTAAGCATATCTATGTATGCAGATGACTGCGCAATATGGATATCAGGCAGGAACATTGTACATATTACTGAAAAAATACAGAAATATTTGAATCTTTTAAATCGTTGGTTTGAAGAGTGGGGGTTTCGACTCTCACCTGTCAAAACAGTGCCCGTACTTTTTACGAAAAGCTGGAATGCCGTTCTACCGCCTGATATAGAACTGAATGGAAATGTGTTAATGTACGAAAAATCTCATCGCTTTTTAGGGGTTATATTTGATAAAAGATTAACTTGGCAACCACATATCGAAAATGTAATCACGAGAAGTAAAAGAAAATTAAATATCTTAAGATGTCTAACTGGAACAAACTGGGGAAGTTCCTCGAAATCACTTATCATGGTGTACAGAGCAATTATAAGGTCTCTCTTTGATTACGGATGTGAGGCGTATGACAGTGCAGCTGCTACCACCAAAAAAGCCATTGACTCTGTCCAATACCAAGCACTGAGGATATGCGCAGGTGGGCTGCCATTAACCTCCTTAGAATCACTACAGGTGGAAATGGGGGAAATGCCTTTGGATATAAGAAGACAAATGCTTTCAAGTAAATATAGACAAAACATCGAAAGATGGGCGAATCATCCGTTGTTAAAAAACATTGAACCATGTTGGCATTTTGAATACTTGAAGGGGAAAAACGTAAACAAACCTTTTGGATATAGAATACAAAGCAAGCTGGGAAAACGTATAGAAACGATAACCTACTCCCCATTTCCACCATGGTTATTCTACCCTCCGGCAGTGTCAACGGAATTAAGTACTCGAATAAAGAAAACAGATCATCCTACACAACAAAAACAAAGCAGCCTGGAAATCATACATACTAAATGGGCGACTCAATTACATATATACACCGATGGATCAAAAGTACCTAAAAGAGGGACCTCTGCAGCTGCTTTTTACGTCCCTTACTATTCTGTACATCGGAGCAAAAGGTTAGCAAATTTCACCTCTTCGTACAGGGCTGAATTGGCTGCCATCATTCTTGCTCTCAGATGGGTAGATGAATTAGACATTTATGTGGGGGTTGTTATTTTTAGTGATTCACTGAGTGCACTTATTGCATTACAACAACAGAAGGACGAATCTTTTATTCTGGAAATTCTCACCATGACTACTCACTTAAAGAATAAAGGAGTTGATATATATGTAGAGTGGATACCTGGACATTGTGGAATAAAAGGGAACGAGATGGCGGATTTCCACGCAAAGGCCGCATTAGTAAAGAAAATAGAAGTCAATAATAACCTAAATATGTCAGAAATGAAAAGCTTAATTACTACAAGTTCCAAACTCCTTTGGCAAGAAAGGTGGAACAAAACCAACTCGTATTTGAAAACATATCAAAAAGATGTTAATAAACCATATATATGCTCATTAGAGAGACAACATTCAACAATAATACATCGACTCCGCTTTGGAGTCCTTGGACTTAACCAGGATCTCCTCAGATTGGGAATTCATGCTACTGGTTTCTGTAATAGATGCCCCAGTGAAATAGAGACTGTAAAACATTTTTTAGTACATTGCTCTAACTATATTATAGAAAGGGCTATGTTTCTAACAGAAATTAACGAATCCCAACCTGAAAAAATTATGGAATACTTAAAAAAGAGTGAGTCCAGTATACAAAAAGCTATTGTACGGTTCTTTCTCAGAACGAAACGGTTCCCTATCAGGAAGTAATACCTCCCTTGATGAACAGTAAAATATAATACAATATTATAAATATGCTAAATTACACTCAGTACATTAAAAATATAATAACATAATGTAATAAGAAAATAAAATAAGAACAGTAAAGCATAATACAATATTATAAATATGTTAAATTACACTCAGTACATTAAAAATATAATAACATAATGTAATAAGAAAATAAAATAAGAATAGTAAAACATTATACAATATTATAATATGCTAAATTACACTCAGTACATTAAAAATATAATAACAATCATAATGTAATAAGAAAAGAAAATAAGAACAGTAAAACATAATACGATATTATAAATATGTTAAATTACACTCAGTACATTAAAAATATAATAACATAATGTATTAAGAAAATAAAATAAGAAAAAGTAACAACAATGATAAAAGGTATGATAAGATTACTGAATATAGAAGCTTGTGTAGGTGCTATCTTATATACATATTTATGTATGGTGTGTATGTGATATAACAAATAATCTGCACGTACTGTTAAGAAACACTAACAAAGCCCATGAATGTTTTGCTTACGATATTATTTTACGATACTATCTTAAAAGATAGATAAATATAAAACGAAATAAATGTATTTTTAAAAAAATCCAAAATTGAGAGATATAACACGTGCCGTAAAGTAATTTGGCGACAATAGTCAAATCACTGACTAATCGCCAATAACTCAAAACACAACAACAACAACAACAACCTCCTCTCTCTTTCTCTCTCTCTCTATTTCTTTGCCCCCCCCCCCCTATTCTCTCCTTTTTCCTCCTACAGTTTCATTATTTATCCCTTAGTATGCCCCTCCCCCTCTCTCTCTCTCTCTCTCTCTCTCTCTCTCTCATTTCTCAAACACATATTCTTTTACACAGGTTTTTTTTTCTCTAAAGAAACAGAAATGTGTCACCACCTGCACTACTAGCATGAATAATTGTATTTTACACAAATGATGTAACAAGCTAATCAATAATCACCTCTGTGTAACATTTTCTTTTATTATCCAGGAATAAAGTTAATATTTTCACAATGAAATTTAAATATTGGACAGGGTAACTTAAAAAGCATTTTCAAAAGTTGAGTGTATGACACTTTTTTGTCATGTGCATGTAAAAATAAAATAAAATAAAGGAATTAAAACATTGGCAAACATCTGTTTTGTTTTTACTCGGCTTCATATTTAACTTCATATTTGGTTTGATCAAAGATCTAGTGGAGCTCTTTAACTAGCTACAATTATTTACAATAAAATATTTGCTTTGGTTTGGGAGTGCAATGAATGCGACAAAATAGTTGAACAAGGTTCGGTATCAATTCCTTTTGTCAATTTCTCGTGTCATGGTCCTACATATTTTGATTCAATGAGACATTTGACCTTTGGCATTTGACCCTTGATATAAACTAAAGAAATTAATCTTAAAACATGATCTAAATTAAAATTGTCTTACTGTCGGACATTATATCCCTTGATGCAGTTTAAGATTATGATGCATTTAACACACTTGACCTTTTACACTTTCAACAGGCATTCAACTGAATTCTGCATTATGGAATGCATTGCATTATTTTATATTACTTGAATAAATAACAATGCAATGATAGAACAAAGCCTCCATTACATATAATATATAAATACAATAGCCTGTATATATTTTGGATACAAGTAACAAAAAATTGGTTTACATTATCCAGCTTTACACTTCTTTTTCATGTTAGCACCTCCCTTTGATCAAAACCTATTTAGATCTAGATACCAGTAACATATTAATACATGTGGTAGGATATTTATGGTAGTATATTGTATAAAACTTCAAATATTGTACATGATTAAAAGAATTAAAAGACATTGTCGCTATTATACAAAATTCCTGTCATCTGTGCATATTGTAAAAACTAAGCAAAGGTGCCTAGCAGATTTAAAAGATGAACTTAGATTTAGTGTGGTATTAAGATGTTTAACCGTCAGTTTACCAACCACAACACACCAAACCCCATTATTTTGCTTAGGTATGACTGACCATTATCATAAACATAATAATAAAATTTGGATCATATGAGACTGAAGCCACTATGGCAGACAGTAGTATTGAAAAAGTACTAAAATGTTGGCAGTTTTTCTGCAAGAACTGTCTGCTACTTTGGATCAAGCCCTACACACCGGTAATTGAATTTTATTAGTACGTTATTTATATTTTTGGTTCAACTTTCACCGCCAAGTTTTACATGACGGTTATACAGAATAAAAATAAATGAGATGTAACAGCACAACTCAATTTAGTGTTTAGAACTAGAAAGAGAACTGGGGTATCAATCTTCAATGCAAGTGGCTCATATTTCATCCATCTTACAGGCCACATATGATACTGGCTGTTTTGAATTATGAGATTTAGATTGAGATTTTCAGAAACATTTCTCATTTGCTGTGAACCACTTTTCGTCTCAATGATGGTTACATCATTTCCATAAATTCCTTTTTTTTTAAAGCCAAAAGAAAAACACGGTTCACACATGGACGGTTTAAACATGCAACAGATCTCCACATGGGTTTCACGTATTTTGATCATCATAACATACCAACATTTTGATTTCACTCAGTATAGTATGACCATGAATCCAGACAGTATTAAAGCCAGCCCACGACTCAGCCAGCTGCTGAATAAGCCGGGGGGGAGGCGGGTAAGAGGACTTTTTTTCTTCTTTTTTTTTGTCTCGAAATTTGAAAATTTGACATTTTGTTCCGTTGGGGGGGGGGGGGGGTAAGGTCACCTTTTTTAGGTCAGCCATTGGCATAATTTTTTTTTTATAATTTGAAAAAAAAAAGAAAAAAAAAACTCAAAAGGGGGGAGGGGGTTTTCAAAAAAACATACATATAACATACACATAAAAAAACTCAAGGGGGGGGGGGTTTAACCCCCCCCCCCCCCTGCGTACGCGCCTGTCAGTATCCATGTGTATTGTATCATAATTCGCTGACACCAGATTGGGTTGAATTACCAAATAATGTGTTTGTGCGTGCAAAGGTGTCTGAAGCAGCAAAACTGATGTACGACCAAAATATACTCCTACTTGCCTTCATATCTCGAGGGTAAGGAATCATGATGACAAATCTTTAAGTTGGCAGACTAGGGCACAGTGCATTACTGAAGTCCAATCTTTGTGCCTGACAACATTTGTTAATGGGTAAACACCACAATGGTGTCAATTCCCCATAAAAACCTACTACTATGAGCCTGTAAGATCAGTGGTTACTGAAGGTCTCCCTGCTGCAGAGGTTAAAAGAGACCATTCTACAGTTGTTGTCGTACAATTGTGAAAAATATCTATTTTCTACATAAAAGAAAATAATTGGATTATTCAAAGGTAAAGACCAGTATTGGAAACGCCCCAATTTCAAAAAAATGAAATGGAAGCTCTTTATTACCAATCATGTGAAAGAATATGTTTTGACTAATTCGTGATGATAAAAATTTTGCCGGGAAACAGCCTACTAATTGATATATTTGGTAAATTAGTTTATCTATTGGACTGTGAGAGATAAACGCATGTGTCGCGCACGTGTGCGTAGTCCCATCTACATCTTTCTGTGTACAGTTCTTGTAACTTTACGAAGACTGGACCAAATTTCTTATCATTTCGATGATTCCAGAACCTTGCAGTACACACCAATAGTTATATGCTAGATGATCAACGTTTTCTGATCGATTCCACAACGTTTCTTTCACAATGCAATCGCATGACCATAACTGGTCTTTATCTTTAAGATACAACAGAGAGGGAAATGTTGTTTGTCCTTGACCCCAGTGCTCACTGTACAATAGGACTGTGATCCACTTCCTGAATTGTGGCACTTTCATTAGTTATGACTTTGAAAAAAGAAGTCTTCTTGATTTAGGTTCCTAACTGTAATGATTAGCAAAGTCATGCAGCATACAGTGGGCTTTCCATTATGCAAAGAAATGCCTGATTTATAAGCAGCAAATCGGAGTGACATTAGACCACTCATAGTCATAACTGTCCTAATTTGACGGCAATATAGCTTTTTCTCAACCTCACCATGCAATGTAGAGTTTGCTAATAATATAACCAGTAGGAATATCAAACAGTAAGAATTCATAATGTTGAAATTACATTTCCAACATTACTTTCTTTTTTCAAAGTCAAGATCGGTGTTGGATCGTACAGCGAGCAGCAGGCTTTGCAATCAAATGTTTTATACAATTTAAAATTTCTTCTCTTTTTTAGTCATGATCGCTATTGGATCGTACAGTGGGCAAGAGACTGTACAATCAAAATGTTATAAGGCCACATGGCCATTCCTTGGAAAATGTTATCCTAAAGACATGATCCATTCTGCATTATCTTCATTTTCGGTAGCATGAACACCTCAATATAATCTATAGCCATGCTCTATAATTTCGTATATACTCCGACTAATACCGGTTTGAAGTTCTTATATTACATCCAAAAGTAAAAATTACATGTAACACTTTCGATGTCTAGAGTTCAGACATCTTCCTCAGACGTGAATTGTCAATCTAAACTCTAGACATCAAAACTGTTACAGGTTATCTTTACTTTTTGGATGTGACATAAGAACTTCAAACCAGTATTACAACCATCGTGAAGAAACTCTTTCATAATTTAGATTGCAAATGTTTTAGAGTCCACAGCCACATGTTTCGTTGCTCATATATATCCCTGAATCTGAAGTATAAATATCTATAAGTCTGCAATCTCAAGGCAATAGGTCAAAATTCAGCGCATAAGTCAGCGCACATGACTTCAATTCTCCCCTGATTTAGCCGGAATCTAGCTGCTTCGTCGTCCCTGCCTGCTCTGCATTGCTGCCCTCTGTGTCAAGGTTTAAAGCATCGCCAGCGGCGGTTGTAGCCGTCAGCAAGCCCTTCTCTCTTTGCTCTGCCTCCCACCGATCTGACTTGAGCTTCTTGGTTGCGAAGAGCAAGTGGTGGCCTTGGAAAAAGCAAAATGTTTTAATTTCATTAAACTTAATTGAATTGATTTGACAGTTTTATTAAGATTTTGTTGCAGCCACTGACCGAAATATGACAGATTTACAACATCGATTTTAGGAGCTACCTACTTTCTTTGGGGATCAAAGAAAATTTCCCTGATTTTTTACCCCTGATTTCAGTGGGTGTTTTTATCTCAATTTCTTTGATGTTACACCGACTTGAAAAAACATGTGTGCAATGATTATTATTTTTGTGTGCATGTGTCAAAATATATTTCATTTTATAGAAAATTAACATTTAAGAATTTGATAGTACAGACCAAATGGGAGAGCTCCTAGAAATGTATGCGACACAGTTGCCACTTAGCATTTGATCATTTAAACATTAACAATTCCTTACTTTCTTATTTTCATCACATTTTCCTGAACCCTTTTACCAATCTGTTTCCCTCATTTTTTGTTTTGTTTCAAAGATTAAAACCAACTTGATAAATGGGTGGGCTTCCCCTTTAAACTTACCAGGACAATCGGCTACTGCTTTATGTGCTGTATGTTTACAGCAAGCTCTACATTCACTAAACACACACTTTAGACCCCTGGGATTGGGACACTTAGCACACTTCTCGTACTGCCTGACTGCTGCTCGGGAAGAAAAAAAGTTTGATCAGATAACAAGTCATACATTCATAGATTGTTTTTAATTGGCTGGGAATTAAAGAGAAGGTTGAGTTCTGGGTAGAGGTGAAAAATAATTTGTGAGCGTTATCATTGTTATTATACAAGTGTGGAAGAACATCAGAGAAAAAATACTCCCTGAAAAGCATGGCTCTTCAAATGCCTTAATATTCTAAATATGGCATGTAACATCAAATCAGGGCATTCGATTTTACAAACTAATGATAATGCAATCACAAGCTATTTTTGCATACATAATGATCCCCATGACCCTAAAATCTAAATCAGTTCATTGGTTCTGCAAGATCCATACATGACCCAAGTTTGGCGGGAATCTATCTATCAGTTCTTGAGATAATGCAATCACAAGAACAGTACGTACGGACAGACAGACACACTGAAAACATAATGCCTCCGGCTACTTCACTGCAGAGGCATAACAAAATACCCAGAAGAGAAAAGAAGTTCAGAATGCTGAATAGACTTCCAAGATTTTCCTTTGAAAGCATTTGTCTGAACCCTAGTAGTCATCTTCTGTAAAGATCACGAAATGCAGACACAATCAACTCTTACGTCTATGGAATATAACGCTGGGATTGCGCACTCTCTTCTTAATCTGACTCTTTGACAGGCCTTCGTTGTTCAGATCGTCGATGATCATCGAGAGAGGGCGCTTTCGATTCTTCTCCGCCCGCTTAGCCTCAGCCTCTTTTGGACTATATAAGAAAGAGAAGAAGACTATTAAAAATAACTCCTAGTGGGTTTATCTTCAGCATAGTTATCTATTCATACACACTTACATTTTTATGAATTTGGCTAAGAATTTTTTTTGTAATCGTAATCTTCTAAGAACTAAATAAAGAAGCAAGAGTACATAAACTAATATATTTTAATTGCCATACGGCTCGTCGATTTCCTATAATTTAAAATTTGTGTAATTTTTTGCTATGTTATCTGATTTTGAAAACACTGATGCATGCAATATAAATAAATTCTCTCTTATAAGTCTTGTCACAAAATAATATTGTTTGATTGACTGTTGTCTGTAGACGAAATCATGGATTTGGACAGAGAGTGATCCGACATGTTCTATTTACCATTGCTCCAGGCCATATTTCATGTAAGGTTTAGGTTTAGGTTTAGATTTAGGTTTCGGATTAGGGTTACACAAAGTGTTGGGTCAAGTGCTGAAGGTCAGAATTTTGGATAGTCTAGAACATTCACACAGAGCGATTGTTGCAGGAGCAAGAGATGTACAACAGGACATAGAGAGGACCTCACCTGGGCCTGAAATAAGGCTGGCAGAGCCAATGGGGCAGCTTGCCGTCTTCTGGTTTCGTAGGAGCATCAGGCTTGGCAGCATCTTCCTCACAGCGACCCCGGAGTGTTTTGCAGATCTCCTCACAGTCACCTATAGACTTTGCCCTGGCAAGGTCTATCCTCAGATCAATGTGAACCATGAGGCTGCAGAGAGTGGGAGGATGGAGGAGTTGAAAGAAGAAAAATCCAAACAACTATAGAGTGGTGAAGTGTGACGACATCAAAAATCTATTTTTAGAATTTCTCAATTTTTTCTTCTTTTTTTGAAAGAGCTTCAAAAATAATGTCCATATGTCGAAAACCAATTGAATATATTAGGTATTGGCTGAGATATGACCATCTGAATAAATATATGTCCTATGGGAACTCAGTGTTATAGTGCTCTGGTTCATAAAATTAGGAATCAGAGCACTATTTTATGATGTCACAGCTTCGGCAATCTATAACCAGAAAGTTTAAGGAATTGTTAAGAACAACCATTTCCACGGCAAGGAAGTTTTGCGAATTGCACAATTGTGATTCAATAATTTCACGGCATGAAACTGTTGTGAATCTGAAGCACTGGTGCAATTCTTGAACATTTCATGCATACAAAAGTTTGGGGCTTTCTGGTTTTCATTGCAACTTTATAGCAAGGTCCCTGATTCGGGTCATCTAGTAAATGTAAATAATGAAATCCTGCTTATAATGACGTTGGTGTTTCTTTTAAACTAGTGCAGTGGTGAATGATCAACATAATCCTACATAGGCTTAAAGTTTACCAATCACCAAAACAGGTTTTACTCTTGCTGTATTCAGAGGTTCCATTTAGTTATATATGAGCTTCAAATATCATTTCTACAAAGAGATATTGCAATTTAACTACATTCTCAGTGAACAGTAAAAGGTCTTGTTGAGCAGACTAGTTAACGCATGCAAACATACTAGGAAAGAATAGGAAGGGCTCGGAGCCCTAGGCTGACTTGGTTACCGTGTTAGCATTATACGCATGTTCTATGGGTTCTTGTTTTTTTCTTCATACTCTTTAACCGTTTACCTATAGAATGCCAAGTCAAGTTTCCAGAGGTTGATTTTATACATTTAGCTATACACACATTATTTGTTCAGGTGATTGATACACTTTAAAGGGATCGATTAACAATGTTAAATCTGATATGCACGGCCCTTCTTGTTATCAGTGTCTGCGATATGGTGTTATATTGAAACCCTAAAAAAATTGCGCTTCAAAATGATCAAGAAGTGCCTCAAAAAAGTAACAAGGGAAACGCTCTCGGCGGTCTCGCCTGCATAACGCAATTCAATATGATAAACCAGAACGTCAATGATGTAGCGCTCATCCGCATCTCACAACAACAAATATCGTAAATTTTATGTGGTACACTTTTGAACTGGTCAAAAAATAGAAATTTGATGCCCTGGAAGGGACATAATTTCATTTCATTTGCATAAAGTACCATAAATAATCAATGGAGCAAAATCTCACAATTCCGTGTAGAAGTTTATTGTTCCAAATTTAGCTCTACCAGATAAGGCAAAATCGGTCAAGAAATGAGGGAAAAGAAGCAATTTTTGTTATTTTTGGAATAAATTTGCATAAATTACCATAATTAATTAATGGAGAACAATTTCAAAATTCTGTGTAGAAGTTTAGTGTACCAAAGTTAGCTCTACGATGTAAACCAAACCAAATCAAAATCGGTCGAGAAATGAAGGAGAAGAAGCCTTTTTTTGTGATTTCGAATAAATTTGCATAAATTAGCATAGATAATGAATTTCACGATTCTGTGTAGAATTTTAAATCCCCTCCTAGCCCTATCATATGAAACAATCAGAATCAAAATCGGTTGAAAAATAACGAAGAAGAAGCATTTTGAAAATCTTAATGTTGATGCCACAACAAAGTCTAAGTTTGTTGACCTTAAATGGCCTTTGACCTTAACTTAGTGACCTGAAATTCTACTCACATGATTGGGGAGACTTGATAACCCTATAGTCCAAGTTTCATTGACTAAGAACTTATACTTTCAAAATTATATCAAAAATTCAAGATGCTACAGTATAGTCCAAGTCTGTTGACCTGAAATGACCTTTGACCTTGACTTTGTGATCTGAAATTCTACTCACATGATTGGGGATACTTGATTACCCTATAGTCAAAGTTTCATTGACTAAGAACTTATACTTTAAAAATTATACCAAAAATTCAAAAACTTACCCTTAAGTTAAGTTTTTGTTGTTGACGCCGCCGCCGTCACCGGAAAAGCGGCGCCTATGTCTCGCTTTTTGCTACGCAGGCGAGACAAAAACCTTTGAGTGACCAGTTTTATCATACTCGTTTTCCCCAATAGACTGTAGACTGTAGTGTAATGAAAGGTTTGGCGAACGCAAAATTTGATTTCGATTTTCAATCATAAATATCTTGATAATCAGACAGGCAATCGGCTTGTAAAAGTCATGGAGTTCCTGACTGACCTAAAGGTTTATAATTATCATTGCAGCATGAGCTAAATCCAGGATTTTGTTTCAGAATCTGAGACAAAGTTACCGGATCCCTTAAAGCCTGTGAGTGGGTAAGGTTACCTGTGATGCAAGATTTTGAAGAGATGTGCTCTGACAGCAGAAAGTGGAGTAGGGTAAGTTTTGACAAGGTCAATGTATTCATCAGTGATGTCCCAGACCTTGGGGTGGGTTCCTTCAAAGAGGGCGGGGTTGTGTAGGTTCCCCTCGGCGGTCATCACCCCGTCCACGCCCGTCTCCTCCATGCATCGATGCACATCCTGGAGGGACTGGATGTTGCCGTTGGCAAAGACAGGGATCTTGACAGCAGCTCTGCAGGGAAAAGAGAACTGGGAGATTTAAAGCCTATCTGCATTAGTTTGACCAGGAGGGATTAGACCTCCCTGCCTGGTGACTGGCAGGTGGTTATCTCATCAAATCAGCTCTCAATTAACATAAGAAAAAGGGGACCATGGGGGATCAACATGTACCACTCAGGGATTGTTGTCTGTATAGAGGGCATAAGAAGCTATAAGTAGTGCAGTCCCGCTTTAATACCTCAGTGACACAAACAAGACTAACCCTGGACCGACAACAGAGGAAACCAAAAGAATGGTCAAAAATTTGTCACTTTGGATTCTGTTTAAGCGGTGTGACTGAGATATAACTTCCTGAACTGGATTGAGGCTCATTTCCTTACAGGGTTAAGGGGTTATCAATTGACCATGTCAGTCTAGTTAATTGCACATCTGTATGGTCTCTCAGGGAAGCAACAAAATCTATGCAGAGAAGTTGTTTAACAATGTAACACCGCTGGCTTCTGAAGTAAATAATTTAAGTGGGTGGGTTATCTATTTTAATAGGCATTGTTGTTTGTTGACAAAAGATATCAACAAATTTCTCCTTTTTACAAGTGGAAATATACTCTGATTCTCAAAATGAATTGAAATAAACTAATACAGAAATGATACTGTATTGGCTATTTATGATTTCACTAAAACACGATGTTCAGTTCACCCTTGCAAACATATATTTAGAGTTTACAGGCTATTGAAAGAGAGTGGGATCATTATATCTATGGCTTCAAACTTTTGCAAATGGTTAAGGATGGCCATTCTTAAAACAAGAAACTTTCATGAATGGCAAAAATACTATGTTGAATCACTTATTATTCAATTATTTCAAGGTATGAAACTTTCACAAATCTAAACTGCTCTCAAAATTCACAAACATTTCATGCAGGATTTAAGGTAATTTCATAACATATGAACCACCAAGCCAATGGAAGTCCCTAGTCTCTGTCATGAGCTAGTGAAGTATTAAAGTACAGTCAAACCTGCTTTAGTGACCACCTGTCTACAAAGACCACATTTTTTGTTTCCCTTAAAAATGGTTTCTCATTGAAACATGTACTAAAGAAACCTGTAAATAAAAACCACCTGTCGGTAAAGACCACCTTCCTTGTCTCCCTTGGGTGATCTTTATAGACAGGTTTCAGTGTAGATCCAAATAGGGACCCATACATGCTACAGAGCTAGTCTTCCTTACTTGACGGCCTTGATGGCAGACCAATCAGCCATTCCCGTCACGGGCCCTCTCATGTCCCTTGTCCTCCCGTGGACCGTGAGCAGTTGACAGCCAGCCTTCTCAAGCATCTGAGCATAGCGCACTGTCTTCTCCACGCTCGGGAAGATGCGAATCTTGCACGTGATGGGTACTGAAAGCTTCTCGTGGGCAAGGCTCACTGGAGGATAGATGAGAATGTGTAGAAAGAGAGTTTGAAAGGAAAATTTGGCTGTCCTACTTTGGCTGGGAGGGATTAGACCACACAGCGTGGTCAATGACGGATGGCTATCTCATCAACTCAGCTCTCAATTAACATTAAAAAAAGAGGATCATGGGGGACCAATGGTCACCAATTAGGCATTGTTTTCTATATACCGGTAGAGGGAGCAAGTAGCAAGTAGGACAGTGGGGCTTTAAAAAATAGTCCCCATTTTTTTTCTTCAACACACAAAATTACTATTAAAAAAAAAATCCAAATCCAAACTCAGGAGGGTCTTTTCCTTTTAGAGGACCTATAAGAATATGGTATCCATAATATGTTTTGAGTAGTGCCCCACTGGAGAAGGTACTTAGGAGAAAAATAGCAATCCACTATATTTTTGTTCAAGACAAACAGGAGACTTGTCCATGACTATGTCATAATCCATTTACCAATTTGCCAATTTGAGATTCACAAAGATTTAGTGATCTCATATTTTACACATTCAATGCTCTCTTACAATTGGTCCAATTTATGTCAAACTTTCGTCATTCTGTTCAACATGTTCAACAGGAGTTCAACATAAACTTATTACGAAGGTTGGATGGCCATTTGAAGGGCTGATCAAACCTCAAAGATAAACTATGCATGTATAATGCAACAATAATGATTATGCTGAAAATGGTGACGCCTGAATGATAAAATCCTTAGGGTTCTGTCAAACAACATTATGGACACGGACTGCATGGCTCTTCATGGCCCCTTTCTAACACAAGACTCAAAATGCACTTGATAACTGTAACTTTTTTATTAATTTTCTTGTCAAAATCTGTCTTTTACATCCTCTTACCTATTTGACTGATCAGTTCCCATTTGTCCTGAAGATACGCCCCATACTGACCTGGTGAACGTAAGAATAAAATGAAATATAGATGAATTATTGATAATAGTGGGTTCTTATATAGCACTTATTTCAGTTGTGCCTGGACATTTCTGGGGCTCCAATAGGCTAATATCACCCCAGCTTCAGAATGGCTGCTCATAGTCATACTGTGCTCTGCCAAGTACCTATTTATCACACCTGGGTAGAGTGTAGCAAATATAGATCATTTCTAACCAAAGGACGTAATGATGTAGCAGGGCCTCGAACCCTTTGCCTGTGATCTATGATCCATATTCCAGTGACTACAGCACCCATATTGATAGGTAGGATGCGACCCTCATTGTTGATGAAATAGTTTTTGAGCGTCAAGTAACGCCTGGCTGGAATACTCCCCAGGGGCCCAGGGAGTGGAGATTGTGCACACAGTATTTGCGGGCAAGTATAGAATCCAATGACCGGGGTAATAGTATATCTGTAAAGTACTTAGAGACATCGTAGATGTATTAAGCGCTATATACAAGTGGAATATTATTATTATTATTAATGAAAATCATCATTGACAGATCATATGAATAAATAAATAATTTTATCTCATTTTATTGCAGATATTGAAATGAGCCCCTGTGCATACAAAGTCTGTGTTTACTACATATCTTACTAACTGTACTAACTATAACAAGAAACAAAAAAGTTAAACAGATTAAAAAGATAAACAGGTAGATTCTAGCAGATTTAGCTGTATTTATAATACATGTAACCTTTATTGAAAAATACATGTAAAGACTATTCAAGGGTGACAGATAAACAGGTGATCTTTATTTACAGGTTCCATTCACAGTTTTCATACATATATTGAAATGGGAAATTTGATGCAAGGGTAACAAACAAACAATAAGGTCTTTATAGATTGGTAGTCTTTCTGTCCAGGTTAATATCACTTAATAAGCAGATTTTACGGCACCTCTCTTTGCAATGGACTGTGGACATCCTAGGTTGAGATCGATGGCATCACAGTGATCCTGAGCTAGCATGGCAGCTTCTAAAAACACCTCTGGATTATTGCCGCAGAACTTCATGGAGAATGCAATGGTACAAACAAATTATGATGATAATAATATTAATAATAATAATAATGGTAATAATATCAATAATGATGATGATAATAATAATAGTGACTCTTGTAATCATTGTAATAATATGTTTTCTAATCACTTTACATTGAAATTATCATTAACCGTCATTGTATTCACATGCTAGTGCACATGCTCCGCTCCTTGGGGAGAATTCATGTTCAAGGCCCATAGGTACAATTTGTTTGTAAACTCTTGTCAACTCTTCGATATTTGTTTAACAGAAACTTCAATTGATAAATACTACAACATTTTATGTATCAAATTTGCTCACATCCAATTAAATTCAACAATTTCAGTAGCTTATACAACAGTTACAGTAACTTGTTATTGATTTTAAGTTTTATAAAACTGGGACTAGAACAGCTAAACGTAGATCTTTACTGCAAGAAACTTTCATGAAGTGCAAAAAGAGTGTTGAGTCAACTGTGATAAATTTATCTATGGTAGGAAAATGAATCACTCTTTTGATTGGGCAACTTACAACAAAATTATTCTACCGTATATGACAGAATTGTTTCAACCATTTCTTTTATGAACAAAATCAAAGAGTCTTGATATGAATAAATACTGATCATTCATTTTCTGGTACCACTTCTTATACTCAACATAATTAAGACACGTGATCAAGAGATTTTCATTTTTTAATGAATTCATAGATTTATACAGACTGTTTACTTACACAACTCACTTAGACCCCGTTCTCACTCACTTCGTTGGAGCGCTCTGGAGCGCTCTAACTAAGACCCGCTCCTCAGGAGCGGTTCTTAGGTGAGTGAGAACGCTCAAAGTGGTCCAGGAAGCGGACTTCTGGACCGCTCCAGAAGTCCATCTTCCGAGGTGGTCTTGAGGAGCGGGTCTTATTAAGAGCGCTCCAGAGCGCTCTAACGTGCAATGTGAACGGAAAGCGTACTTTGAACGGAAGTGAGCTAGTGACCTTCGGTGCGAAACATGTAGTACGGTACATACGGTTTGGATTCCGCGCGCGAAAAAATTGACCCGCCTACCTGAGCTGCCATAGCAACAAGACCACTTTGACTCGTGGAGCGATTTGAGCCATAAAAACTGCTCGGAGTGTCTAACGCTCGCAAACCGTTCCTCAAGACCCGTTCCTCTGGAGTGGTCTGGAGCGGTCTAACTAAGACCACTTTCAAAGTGAGTGAGAACGGGGTCTTACACACACAATGCTGATAAGGAAATTAACTGAAGGATAAAATCTCCCATCATTTCTATGAACATGAATGTTTATGTCTAAATATATAATAGTCCATCTTCATTAAGCTAACCTGAACAATGAGGGGGCTGTCTTCCTCACACGATGCCAATGCTTCTTTCCTGTAGCGCGGGTTTTTCGTGAAGACGGAGGAATGGAACATGGGTGTGTAGCATAATTCTGCCTTGTGTCGTCTGCTCAAAATTCGCCATGGTAGCTCACTCTGTTCCACCATAGGAGCGACGATGAAGCGAGGTTTGCCCAGGGTTTTCTCCCAGAACTCATAGCCCTCCAGCTTTGGCATGATGTTTGATAGGATTGTTCTGCATCAAGTAAAAAATAACAGTATAAAAATTCTTTAAATTGCTTCACCAAAGACATTTTTTACACATGTGTGTGTGTGTGTGTGTATTGGGTTTTTTACAGACGTGTATCAATCAGATATGATTATTTACGTCTGGGGACCGACCTTTAAACGTCACCATCCAAAAGACGTGACTCAGTTTCGACCCTGCGTCCTCGCCTGAATCAGTTTGTAACTTCCACTGTTAGCTGGATTACAGGCTCACGCCACAATCGCTAATACTAGCGTAGCCTTAGTCCTAGGGATCACAGTATATATTTGCCAAATTTCAATGTATTTCTCTTCAAAATGAAGAATGACTCCAGCTGTCAAATCACAAATGACCATCAAATTCATATAATATTCAACTTGTACCATCGATCACTCTGAATGATGAGGCAATGATTGCAACGAATAATACTTCATCTCTCACATTAAACAATGTCAATATGCCGATCCCCCTGTCCCCACCAAAAAGGGATTCTTGCTGTCTGCTGCCTCAATGTGAGATCACTGGAGCGAAGAAAGGTAACAACTTACATTACCTTTCTTCGCTCCAGTGATCTTGAGGCAGCAGACAGCAAGGAATTGTGTAAATAATAAAAGGTCCACGGGAGTGATTGTTATAAGCTTTAACTACATACAAATCACATTCTCTCCGACCTACAACAAAAGGTTCTCGTGGGAGTTGGGAACCACTTCTATACGGATGGGATGCAGGGGGGGGGGTAGGGGCTTCACTGGGAGACTAGCTTAAAGGTAAAGACCAGTTTTGGAAATGCCCAATTTCAAAAAATGAAATGGAAGCTCTTATTACCAATCATGTGAAAGAATATGTTTTGACTAATACATGATGTTAAAATTTTTGCAAATTTTGTAAATTAGTTATCTATTGGTATGTGAGAGATACACGCACGTGTCGTGCACGTGTTCGTAGTCCCATATACATCTTTCTCAGTGTGTACAGTGCTCGTAACTTTACGAAGACTGGGCCAAATTTCTGATCATTTTGATGATTCCAGAACCTTGCAGTACACACCAATACTTATATGCTAGATGATCAACCTTTTCTGATCGATTCCACAACGTTTCTTTCACAATGCAATCGCATGAGGCATAACCACGATAACTGGTCTTTATCTTTAAATTTAAAAAAGGATACATCCTTCACTGGATAGGGATTTGTGTTATACGTCACAAACAGGTTCCATATTAAACCATTCAAGTGTTCCAAGAAAAAGTTAAGCAAACTTTGTCCTTGGATAATGGATGTTATTTCATAATATAAGCACTAGCTAGCTCTCCAAATTGGAGTCCATTAATCCAGTCTAGACATAGACTGTAGACAGTCCACAGTAAACTCATCACAGGCAGTTTCATTGGAATTAATCGAGAAATTCCCCTCCCTAGACTGCTAGAGTGTAAATTAAAAAATATGGACGCCAGCATCCCCCCCCCCCCCCACCCCCGGCCCCCATCACGACAGAATCTTACAAAGAACTTCGTAGGTTTACCATGAAAAACATGCATTACGTTATCTTTTATCATTGCACCATAAACATGTATATATTTCGGCACAAATTTACACAAGCCGTCCACCGTCGGCAGAAGATCACCCTTGTCTAGATGCTGAACAGGCTTTGACAAGTAGTAGAATAGAAGTATAGAAGTAGAAGTAATACGGTACACGCATTACATTACATGCAGCTGCAGCTCAGCTAGCGCGCTAGCCACGGTCGAGCCGAGACGGCGGAGCTGCTTGCAGCTCGCGAGGTCTGACTGCATGCATGCACTGTATAGACTGTCAGCTAGCCATATCAAACGCGCCGGTGTTGTGCATGCAAGCAATTATAAATACAGTGTCAATGTCTCCAGTGTGCGGCACACAGTACAAATTTCTTTACCTTTTTCAGCGATTTCAGATATTTTCCAAAATAAAAATGCTCCAGAGCCGATACTAAATATTTCTGCCAAGTTAAGTCCCAAAAATCATGTATCAAGCTTGATGATCTGCGCAGCATGTACACTTACAAAGCTAAGACCTTCATGTATCAAGACAATTTGCCTTGTCTTACTTCCGTAGTACTCGATCTCGGCAACGGAGATCGTCGCGCCGTGTGAAGGGAACGTAATCCAAACACACGTTTTAACTAAACTCGGTAGAATTATGTACAGGTGTGCTGCAAGCTTGTCTACCACAATCTGCTCGCGTGCTTCGTTTCGGGACTAGCCACTCTTCGCTAGTTAATACTCTTTGCTTGTACTTTGCTGGTATTTCATAATGTCCAGATGTCCGTGGGCGTGCTGGCGCCTGATGATGAAATCGATTGACATGGCATATTAAAGCAATATCATTCTTTTTATATATTTTATGATGAATAATTGTCTTCGGGGATAATTTTCCAAATTTCGAAAGGTTTTTTAAAAGAACGTATAAAGATTCTTACGATATCCAAATAAAAATTGAGTATTTCTCGATGCCCCCCCCCCCCCACTCCCCCCACACGAACGCTGTGTGAAGTAATGTTGGTGTGTTTGGTGTGTTGCATTGTAATGTTGACATTGCGGTCACATATTCCCTCCGCCACCAAGATCCACATGTATACAGGAAAATAACGTGCGGGGGATGGATAATGCAGGATGTAAGCGAATGGATTAATTTCTTACCAAATTTACGAAACGCTTTTACTAGCGTCAATGGTAATCGTAGCGCATATCGACATACAACGTCACAATGTAAAAATGCGTCACAAGTAACTTTCAACCAGTCAGAAGCGCATATATCGACAACGTCACAATGCATATGCGTGTAACAGGTAACTTTCAACCAATCAGAAGGCAATGAATTGCGTGCCGTGACGTAACAATGCTTTGACCCTGACCTCTATCAGCTTCGTTTCCGAGATATACTAGTAGCGCATATCGACAACGTCACAATGCATAGGCGCGTCACGAGTAACGTTCAACCAATCAGAAGGCAATGAATTGCGTGTCGTGATGTAACAATCCCGGCCCCCCCACTCAGGTTTCAAAATGACCGCATGCGTGTTGCCAAAATGTCCTTTTCGTAACAAAAGAAAAAGGTCGAGCCGTATTGACTTTACACACCGGACTTTTGCTGAAAAGGGGGGGTCCGGAAAAAGGCTCGTATACAAAAGAAAAAGGTCGAGCCGTATTGACTTTACACACCGGACTTTTGCTGAAAAGGGGGGTCGGTTGGAACACGCATATGCGTACCCTAAATAACACTGAGTGGGGGGGCCGGGGTAACAATGCTTTGACCCTGACCTATATCAGCTTCGTTTCAGAGATATAAAACATTGCGTTCCTAACCAAATCTTACCATTATATATCCGTACACTTGACAACTACGCGTTGTGGCGTGCGCCTGTAATCCAGCTAAAAAGTGGAAGTTACAAACTGATTCAGCCGAGGACGCAGGTTCGAAACTGAGTCACGTCTTTCGGATGGTGACGTTTAAAGGTCGGTCCCAGACGTAAATAATCATATCTGATTGATACACGTCTGTAAAAACCCAATACACACACACACACACGAACGTAAAATGGGGAATCATCTTACGAAGGTGAGTCCCGTACGTTGTGCTGCTGTCGTTCACAAAAAGGTAGAGTGTCGGACGTATTTGTCTCTTAAAAAGTACTAACTAGTACTATAAGGCTAGAATTATAAAATTAATAATAATAATAATAATGATAATATCAAAGCCAGTGTACTAGTATTTCATGAAGGGTGGATGAACTAGAGCAGAGTCGAGTTCGTAAGAAGTGATTTTTTTTTTTTTGGGGGGGGGGGTGTCATTATTAATGTTGTTTGTTCTAGAGGATAAATATTTGATAAAACAATTGCTATTACGATATGATTTTGTGTCCTGTTTATTTCCAAAGTTCAGAATACATATGCATAATAACAATTTGTTTGTTCTTTCGGCTAAATATTTGATAAAAATCCTCTTTGCGATATTTTTGTTTTTGTTTTTTATTTACCGAGTGTGTGTTTTTTTTTTTTTTACTTGGTTGGTTACTCTTATCCAAATTCCGTTCAAAAATAACAAAGCTTAAAAAAATTTACCGAAAAAATAACATTTGATACAAGTAGCCCGAGTCATTACGGGTTTTGCCGAACCCGGGTTTGACTTGAAAATTTCGGGCGGGGACCAGGTCCCCGAACGGGAATTTTCACCACACCAAAAATTATGTGCATGCAGCAGCGGGAGTTAAGATTAAAATGCTGAACTAATAATGCGACGGTAATGATAGTTGCTGCTTTAAAAACAATTGAATAAACAATTCAGTGGGAACAAAAATTTTCGGAAGTAAATAAAATTATGTAGATGGCAGCTATTTTTTCCCGTTTCTAAAATTAAGGAATGCAATGAAGTATTCAAGATTAGGGATACCAAACGTGTTCAAATACGGAAGTCAAAATATGACTCACTGAAGACTGAGATAACCAAAATGCTGATCAGACTATAACAACTTAAATGTAATACTTTAGCAATTAAATTAATGCCTATTGTATTTTGATTTTATTAGTCCGATCAGCATTTTGGTCTTGTGTGTGGTACTATCGATCGTCACTTGCTCAGTCTTCGGCAAGTATTTTTTTACTTCCGTTTCTGAACACATTGGAGAAAGAAGACATTTCGTTGTACTGTTTTCGACTCTTACTTCTTGTCTGAGCCCAGTTCCCCCCCCCCCCTCCCGCGCGAAGCACAGAAGCTTTGACGTTTTATTAAATTATTAGAAAGAAGAAGATTCGTTGTACCGTTTTCTACTCTTAATCCTTGTCTGAATTCAGTTTCCCCCTCTCGCGCAAAGCGTGGAAGCTTTTCACGTTTCATTAAATTATTAGAGAAAGAAGACGATTCGTTGTACCGACTCTTTATTATTGTCGGAGTTTTCAAAAATGTTTCTTTGTCCGATAAAAAGTCACAGTTCGTAGGGAGAAAAAAAATTGCAGGCCGACTGCACGTTATACGTCTCGCCGACTTCAAACTTCTGCATTGATGTAGTACACGAGGATCGAGCAAGAATACCGACACAGCGGACCTGACACAGCAACATAATTATCTATGCGTATCTTTCTTGCCCCCTCGACGTGGTGACTCCATCAAACATCCCCCTCTCTCTTACTCCCACCCCTCTTCTCCCAGGCTCTTACCCCCTCACCCCACCCCTCTTCTCTCACGCTCTTACTCCCTCACCCCCCCCCCCCCCTCTTCCTCTCCTCCCTTCATTCCCTGTTTTTTATGATTCCTTTTTCTCTTCTATTATTCCTTTTCTCCTTTCCTTTCTTTGCTTTCTTTCTTTCCTCTACTTCCCTTTTTTTTCTTCTCTTCTCTTCCTTTATTTCCCTCTTATTTTCCCCTCCCCCTTTTCTATTTTTTCCCGACTGCAGCGCAATTTTACCGACAATATCCTGACAAATGGGGGGTGTCACACCCCCTCCCCCCCACACACACACACACACACCCCCGTTTAGCGACGCCCCTGGTTGTTATCCCATTATTCTGTTAAAAGAAATGCCATTCCTTATCCTCTTGCACCTCTCTTCTATCTTGTTTAATTCTCTTTCATTTTTCCTTTCTCCTTAAAGTCACAAAAATTCCCCCCTCTCCTTCCCCTTTTTCCCATCGCTTTTTGTTTTGTTCTTCTTGTGCTTTTTTCTAGAGGGGGGCTGCACGCCTGGCAAAAGGGACCCATATTTTGCACACTGCAAAATTTTGTCACCCCCCCCCCCCCCCCCACCCCTTTCCCGGTAAGAAAACATTCTTATAATATCATCCCCCTTTCTTTCTTTTCCATTCTCATTATTCTCCTTTTCCCCTTTTTCTCTCCTCTGTCTTTTCCCTTTCTTCCTTTCCCCCTCCTTTTTCTCCTCTCCCCTTTTCTCTCCTCCCTCTTTTCTTCTTCATTCTCTCTTCCCTTTTCTTTCTTTTTCCCCTCCTTTTTCTTTCTCCCTCCTTCTTCTCTTTTCTCCCTTTTTCTTCCCCCCCCCCTTCCCCCTTTTTTTACCAGGGGGGACCGTGCCCCCTGCGCCCCCACTAATTCCGCCACTGTTAATACCTTGAGGCATTACGTTTTGGGGTTGTCCCGTTCTCTTGATTGCGTTATCTCAAGAGGTGATTGACAGATTACCATCAAACTCAAGACATGTACCGAATCTTGCAGATATTTTGAGAACCTGTTAATGGATTTCGATCAAATTTGAACTTAAAATTCCTTTGCTTTGGTTTGTAAAATCGCTCTATGACGAAGGCATCACTTTTGACTGCGTGCAGTCGAAGATCCATCATGTTTTTTATTCATTTAGGCTGTTCCGAACCGCCGCAATACTTTCCATGTATAAAGCCATTCAATGCAATCATCAGAGAATATCTCTTTGAAGAGTGAAACATTACCAAAAACCCTAACAGTGTTTACATCTTATGCCAACATTCATATAAATGCTGTTGTGGGCTATAACCTAAACACAGGAGATATTCAACAATCACAGAATTTGACATAATGTTCAGGTACAAATGATATTAATAGACATCCCATATATTATGCGCAAAACATGAGACCTATTGTTCTTGCCCCAAAACTAACCACACATGCAGGGGCGGCGATTTCTTTTCATGACCGGGGGGGGGGGGGACGAAATGCGGGGAATGCGGGAGGAGTGACATAATGAGCAAAAACGTTTTTTGGGGGGAGAAAAAAATCTGCATCATCACCGCTCTTACATGTTACATGCAGGCCCCGTTTTTCAAAGTGGGAGTGGGGGAGGGGGGGACTAAAGTATTTGCGATCAGATAGAGGAAAGTACGTGGGGCATAAATTGGCGTGGGGTCCAGGGGCAAAGCCCCGGCGGGGGTCAAGGGGCGGAACCCCATGAAGCTCAGAGTTTTTAGGCATTTAATAAGGGTCAGACGAGCATATTTTGATACCTTATTTGTGACACTTGCATGCAGGTCACTAATCGGAGAGGGGTCCAGGGGGCGAAGCCCCCAGAAGCTCATCGGTTTTAGGCATTAAATTACGATCAGATGAGTATCCAGGGGCCGCCTTAGGGCCCTTGATGGGGTCTAGGGGCGGAGCCCCTGGAAGCTTAGGGTTTTAGGCTTTTGAATATGGTCAGATGGGCATCTAATCTAGTGGCCCGCTTAGGGCCCTGGTGGGGTCCAGGGGGCGGAGCCCCGGAAGGTCAGGTGTTTTAGGCATTTAATTATGGTCAGCTGAGCAACCAGGGGCCCCGCCTTAGGGTCCTTGGTTTGGTATAGGGGCGGAGCCCCTGGAAGCTAAGGGTTTTAGGCTTTTGAATATGGTCAGATGGGCTTCTAATCTAGTGGCCCGCTTAGGGCCCTGGTGGGGTCCAGGGGGCGGAGCCCGGAAGGTCAGGTGTTTTAGGCATTTGATTATGGTCAGCCGAGCAACCAGGGGCCCCGCCTTAGGGCCCTTGGTGGGGTATAGGGAGCAGAGCCCCCGGAAGCTCAGGGAAAATCATGCCATTTCAGCAACATTAATTTTGTAAATTAGTCACTGGTATCGAATTAGAAATAAACCACGTTTGAATTTTATCGGGAGGGGTGGGGACTGCCCCAAGCCCGAGTGAGTGAGCATAGTAAATGAGAGGGGTGAAGGTGACGAAAGTGACTACCCCTTCACAGGTTTTGAAGTTTTGTTGTGAAAACAAACAATGTACTTTTTCACACTTCACTTTTTTACAATATTTAATTGTATATTTTGAAGGATATTATGCGAGGGAGCATAGCCCCTGAGCCAGATGATTTTTGCATGTTTATTTGTCTAACCGCTGCACTCTTGGGCCCTCCAAAGCCTTATAGTGTGATGCAGTCTTTAGTCAGTATTTTGCTGTACATTATTTTTTTGCACTTTTTCAAATTTCCGGGGGGGAAGATCCCCCCCTTTCAAAAATCGAGGGGGGGACGTGTCCCCCCCCCCCCCCGGGATCGCCGCCCCTGCACATATGATTAACTGAAATTGTATTGTTTTTGTTCTTTTCTTTAAGAAATTTCTTTAGAAAATCATTTACAAACAAAATTTACATTAATATTAAAAATCCACTTCCAGTTTACCACTTAATAAGTATTCTGTACTTCTAATTCAGTTTCAAAATCAGACAACCTTGTGAAAGGAGTCCACGAAATGTTCAAGGAGACAGAGGAGAAGCTCCAGCAAGATCCAGACACATTTGCTGAGTCTTTCAAGGCAATGTTGAAATCGTATGGGCAGCTGAAAACAAAAAACATCTTTATCCAGCCATCAGAATGTTTGGCCGATATGCATTAATCTTGACAGGTGCAAGGTCAAGCCCAAGGTAGCGGGAAAGCTACAAGTGTGTGGTACAAGCATTGGTGTGCAGCCCACAGCCATTGGACTAAGAAAATTGGGGGAGGAGACGCTTGAAAGGGGGACGACAGACCAAACAAGCAGCTGCTGTGGAACAGGGATATGCCAGAGCTTCCTCATCCTCTCAGCTTCCCTGTAAAAAGCATGCAGCTACACCACATTCCCTCAACCATGCTGTCACAATGTGCCAATCTCTAGGGAAGACACATAGTGCAAAATGATTCATATCAGTTCTAATGATGTGATCGCAAACTACTTTGCATACATAATGAGCCCTGCGACCTTTGATCTTAACCTTGTGACCCCAAAATCTTGTCAGTTTATTGGCTTTGTAAGATACATACATGGCCCAAGTTTGGCAGGAATCCATCAATCGGTTCTTGAGATAACGCGATCACGAGAATGGACAGACGGATGGGCAGCCCGAAAACATAATAACTCTGGGCACTTTGTAGCTGAGGCATAAAAAATGTTGGTATTTATTTTGCTCTTGCAATTGGATATGAGGGCAGAAAACATTAAGCGACACCAGTGCAGCATGAACGTACTGCCCACAGCCATGTAGTAACATCACCCATCGTCGACACATATGCAGTACATCATCATTATACAAGTACATTCGTACATACATGTTTGAAATAAAGTCTGGACTCTTTGCAAGCGGTTTCATTGGAATTACCGGTAATCAAGAAATTCCTCTCGCTAGCGTGTAAAAAAAATATAGTATATACATGTAGCTGAACCTAGTTCATGGCCCAGTTCGAATATCCCGGTAACCTGACTTTGAAAAATTAATAACCAGACTCTACCAAGACACTCATCAAAAAATGATTACCCTTTTTTACTTTGCTCTTTGATAATTCTCTCAAATTTGAACTTGGCAACATGCATCGAAACTGAGGGATGCTACCGAGAGGGTACTGATGGTGATAACAGAGGAAAAAACAAAATTGCAAGTCCCTTTGTCATTTGGGAGACTTACACAACCATAGGCATGCTATTCAAGAGTAGTGTTCTATCATATATGAATACAGAGATTATGCAAACACAATGAAATTATTTGAGTAAAATTATAACTTCACTACTAGAAAGGCAGTTGTGTAATTTTATTTTATTTATTTGAGTCCATAAAAAAATTTGATTTTGAAAAAGTAGAGACAAATGATTAGAAAGCAGATTACCATACCTAGGAACCACAGTTGGAGTGCCTTGTAAGGATTCATCACCTGGTACGGAAGACCTGTCAACATGTGAAATGGATGACACAAATTAAAAACAACTTCATAACAAGGCAATATTCAGGGATTATCAAACCTTTCAGAAATTACTGTGGCCAGTTAACAGTTCAAAATACAGATAAGAATGGACTTGCAAGAACTTTGTTTCCACCAATAAAGCATGTATTATAAAACGGTAATTACTATGAAATACACTATAACAAGAAAAACAGTTCCAAAAAAAATAAAGTACAATTATACGTACATGTACACTGCTCCACCGCTTGATTCAGCAGAATTCCTGTCAGGAAGAGGTGGGAAATTGGCAGGGCCTGAACTCATTGGAGGGTCAAAATGTGATGTACCATGACTGTAAGAAAAAGAGAATTTAAGATGAGATTACTTGCATCAACTTCATTACAGAATACAGATATGAACTTTTTTGGACTTAATCACAACTCATGGAAATATCGAATTTTGGGAGAAGTGACTGATCTCTTTGTGCCACTGCACTTGGCAGTGTTGTAATGAATTGCATCTCTCCTATAACATTGAATGCAAGGGTTGAATACCTAAATGATTTTGACTTTCTGACAAGTAAAAAATTAAGTTCATTTTTTTTTTTGCAGTTACAGTTGCAATTAATCTCACATCTTTCTGCTACCTGGTAAAGGTAATCGGAGTCACATATCCTGTAAGAGGTACTTTCATTAAAGGTATTACAAAGTTTTGGGAAATTTTGAAAAATGGGTGGATAGTGATTCTTTACAATTTAAATATATTTGGATGCCCCTGTGGATCTATTAAAAACACTAGCAATTTTAGCCCTTAAAACATTTCTGCTTTCGAGAAAAATTGAATATAAACATTTACCGGTGCTCCCGGTAAATTTTGATAAATTTCAAATAGCTCCTACGGCCTTACAATGGTAGCTGCGACCATGAAAATCTCAGACTATGTAGTTGAGGTATATAATTTCCGAACAAGAATAGCTAATCGGTCGATTTTAGTCAATAGACATTGTTTTATAGCTTAATTAATATCTTGACCTTGAGAGGGAGCTATTCAACAAAAAATGTTTATTATTTACAATTTCATAACTTTAGAGTCGATTTCGACCGCGACAACGATCTCTGAATATCGTAGGATCATATATGCTTCCAATATGTTCATTTGAACCAAATTCATGACCCCATACCAAAACTTTGTATAACCTTTAACATTCCACTACCCCCATTTAGTGCCCACCAAAGGGCACTAGCGCATCGACTTGGTTTTGAACCTGGTTCACCGGATTACGAGACCACTGCTCTACCGACTGAGCTATCGCGCCTACTGGGTACTTTTCCTATGTAAAAAGGACACTTTGGGGAACTTAAAAATGTGTACATGTTTACCTCATTTTAGGATCCACAGAAGCTGACGGCAAAGAAACCTCTGATTGCTGGGCGGCCAATGAGGTCTGTTCTGGTCTGATTTCTGATGAGCCTGGTCTGGAAGATCAGAGAGTATAATTATAATTTCCATTATCAGCTGCAGTGTTTCCTTCTATTGAAAAAAGAGCTGCACTGTCAAACACACAACTACAGGTGCACTAACAAAAACAGTAGGTCTGTCAGAGGCAGCACCCACCCCCCCCCCCCCCCACTTTTTCAAGTTCCCAAAAAGTGCCCTTTTTACATAGGAAAAGAGCCCATTTAACTTTTAAAAATGCCCCTTCCCCTTTCCTCCTCTGATAAGTGCCCCTTTTATTTAGACACGTACCCCCTTTCCTTTGACAAGTTCCCATTTTCCTTTGCAATAAGTGTCCATTTCCATTCTCGTACATGCTCTTTTAATCTCTTTTTACTTTTGAAAAGTGCCCCTTTCACCTCTGATAATTACTCTACCGGAATCTGAGAGGTGCCCCTTTTGCTTTGACAAGTGCCCCTTTTCCTTTGTAAGAAGTGTCCCTTCCCCTTTTAATAACTACCCATATTTAACTTGGATAAGCACACCTTATACTTTCACAGGTGCCCCCTTTCCTTTCTAATAAGTGCCCCTTTTCTTTATGACAGGTGCTCCCATTTAAAGAAGAGCCCCTTCCCCTTCTCATAAATGCCCCTTTTCACCTATAAAAATAGTTCCTTTTCATTCTCATTAGTGGCAGTGCCCCTTTTAATCTCTTCTAAATGACCTAATTGGTATTCAGTTCTGAGAGATACTTGTTTTACTTTGACAAGTGCACCTTCCTTCCTGATAAGTGCTCTTTTCATCTCCAATAAATGCCCCTTTTATTTTGACACATTCCCAATTTCCTTCCTAATAAATGCTCTTTTTCTTTCTGATAAGTGCCCCTTGAATTGATCCCCTTCTCACAATTACCCATTTTTATCTCTGATAAGTGCCCCGTTTATTTTAACATGTTCCTCTTTTTCTTTTTAATAAGAGCCGATTACCCCCTTCTCATAAAAGCCCCCTTTCACCTCCAATAAATACCCCTATTAAAATCTGATCGGTGCCCCTTTTCTTTCAACAAATGCACATTTCTCTTTATCATTAGTGCTTCTTTTTCATTCTCATAAGTCATAAGTGCCTCTTTTCATGTATGGTCTGTGCCCCTTTTAACCTCTGATAATCACCCCTCTAACAATGATACATTCCCCTTTTCCTTTCTAATAAGGATCAAACCTACCCCTTTTTCACAAATGCCCCTATCAAAATCTGATGGGTGCCTCTTAATTTCCGTCGAAAAACGGCCATTTCCCATTCTCATAAGTGCCTTTTTCATCCCTGGTGATCGTGAGTGCCTCTCTTTTTAGGTGTAATAAGTGCCCCATTTTCACCTCTGATAATTAGCCTTTGTACTTTGACACATGCTCTTTTTCTTTTCTAATAAGTGTCCCCTATTCCTCTCATTTCTGACAAAAATGTTACTAAGACTGATGAGTATGCAAATGGCACTCAGATTCCTTGTGGTTGAATGGCTAGGTATATATTTACGTGTGGTAGTGTGTGCAAATGTAATGATAGTTATATTATTAGGGCCTACACCAGATCTGGCCTACACTAATTTAAAAACCTCCAGATATTTTACTCACTTTGAATCGAGCCCGAGGAGATTAGAGCCTTCCGCCGCATCCAGCAACACCACGGCCAGATCACGGGGAGCAACATGCATTCGCTTGGCGAGCGCGAGCCATCGGTCGTGTACTTCCAACTCCAACAATAGAGCTTTATGATGAGTTCGGTAGTCCTTCTGCCTCTCCAATCTTCTCTGCCTTTTGATATTGCTTGGCACCGAAGGTCTCCCGATTTTTCTTTTGCCAGCAGTCATATCTATCCGATTTTGAGGGATCCGAGTACTGGTACTTTCTCCGTTCTCCATATTGGTTGACTGTGTCGATCAAGGGAGATCCCCTGCATTTATATCGCGTACCGCGTACCGATGCCACTGTATGTACGGGGTACCTGCACTGCACACACATTCTACATGATCGAATCTCTTTGTATCATAAAATGAGACATAACTCACATGCCCTGGTCTGATCACGAATCGAATTAAACGAGCGCGATTCGACAACTAACGGTCGTTATTTTCACACAAAGGGAAGTTCTAAATTAGTATTATCTTTCAATGCCATTGGAATTTAACTTTTCCATTTTTAGGCCTGCACAAAATGTAATAATATATTCTGAACGTGCCCCTTCGAAATTGCATGGCTACAATAAAGAGTTAAATCTGTCTTCAATATCTGTAGTTTTCTCTTTTTTTACTTGAAAAATAGTATTTTCATCAACATTTTTAGTATTGTTTTATTTCCTCTTAGACTGTGACTGAAGACTTGTGCAAAAAACATATCAGATCGAGCCATGTATATAGAGAAAGTGAAATAAAAGGACAGAGAGAGAAAAAGAGAGAGAGAGGGAGAGAGACAGAGAGAGAGAGAGAGAGAGAGAGGAGGAGAGGAGTGGAGGGGAGAAATGACGAGAAAAGTCAAGCACACCCCTCCCCCTCGTTTTATGGTCATATTTTTAATTATTAACAACCTCAAGTACGGTTTCCCAACAATCCGTAGCATCATTATGAACACATACTCTTCAACTTTCTTCCAATCCTTTATTACGTAAGTCGTTCCTAATTTAATGCTCCCTTGTCAACATACTTTGTTGTCCTGCAAGTTATGTACTGTTTCACCAAAACAAATAAGTTGTGCCTTACATACTGAATAACTCATGTAATGGTCACTCATACCATTATGGATCACTCCATAGGCCTACACGTTACTTTATCCGGAATCATTTTATTAGCATGTGAGCTACGAATGAACTAGTTCCTCTAGAAAAAATACTATCGTTGATTTTTTTTTTTCAAACCATAAACATTATTAATTTGGTAGTAAATATCTGTGTTACCTTGAAACGTTATATTTTTCTTCTTCATAGGCCTACTATCACAATTCATATATCACCCATCATGAAAAAATGATCCTCAAATCCATTTACAAAAAAATAAAAAATCGTCATGTCGGTCAAAAAGATTATTTGTGGAAGTAGGCGGCCTGTACCAGTTCAAAAATAATCTTGAATTCGATTTTTTTAAAGTATTCGTATATGGATGATCCTTCTAAACCTGCAAGCTAGAGACTCATGAGCAATCATATTGCAGAGTTTGGTGCACATAAATCGCCACACCGCGGAAAAATGTGGTATGTAAACTTTTGCATCTGAGACAGTATCGTCCAATGTAGTTTCATTTGCAGCAAGAACGTGTATTTCTTTATCATTCAAAATTTCTTTAATTTTTCATGATTTTTCAAATAGTTTTTAAATATACAACAACAACAAATATACCTTTTTCCAGTTAATTGATCATATGCAGCAAGCTTATTTAAATATTATACGTATTCAATAGCATATTACGTACTGTGTGATTTACTTGCTGCACATTCTGCATTTATATAATGTGAACTTGGTGATGAAAAAGACATGTTGTGCACTCCCAACAAAAAAGGCACGTTCTGGAGAAAAAAAATGTTCTGGAGAAAAAAAAAGGGGGGCACCTTTAAAGGAAAAAAACCTAAAAAGCAAAAATATACAATTTTTTAAAAACATTGGTATACCCCTACCAGTGATTGCATTATCTGGAATGCTTTCAATATTTGTTTCTCTTTATACATCATACAAGATAATTGTTTGAGCGTCATACATTGCAGTTGGGTGTGATGATCCGAATATGCATTTGCGAGCAAGCGAAGCGAGCGAGGAAAATTGTTAAGGTTTGTGAGGTTGTTCGATAAATTACAATTTATAAAGAGGGTAAAATCCAATCCTGAAAAGTTTATAAGCACATTCTCATAACGGAAGACTGAAAAGATCGTTGAAACTAAGTAACACTAATTAAAACATCTATACAAGATACAAGCAAGGTGTGGGGGAATTGCTCTTAGTCGCTTCAAATTAGGGGCACGTGTAATGATGAGAGGAACTACAGGGGACACTTATCGAAAGGAATGACACTACACTTATTAGATAAGAAAAGAAGCACGTGTCAAAGTACAAAGTGTAATTATTAAAGGTGAAAAGGGGCACTTATCGCAGCTAAAAAGGGGGTACTGACCAGAAATGAAAAGGGGCACTTATAATACAGGAACATGTGCAATTTTTGAAAGATATAGTTTAATAGGAGCTTTATCGGTGATGAAAGGAGGCTTTTTTAAGAAAGGGGAGTATATGGCTTTTATTAGAATATACGATTAAATGGGGGTGAATGTGTGCATTCCTAGTATTATAAATATTGACAGAACAATTTTAAGTGAAATAATTAAGTTAAGTTTGAAAATGAATATTGCACAATAAATAAAATTTTCATTTTTTTGTAAAACCCCAAACAATATTACATTAGTTAATATGGAATGATACAAGGGAACAATATCACGATGTTAGGACTCTTTGAGGAACAGATTTCAGTTTGTAAAGAATTCCGATACTTCTTGATACAATGTCTGCCATCTATAAATATCCCTACAAATTTAGTACCATAAACTATATATTTTTTATTTCTATAGCTTAGGCATAAATGTTCGTCAATGACGGTTTTAGAACCAAATAATATATAATTGGTTAATTTTGTTTTATCAATGTCTACAAATTATTCTTTGCTTTCATCATGTTGCTGATATTGGTGAGTTGAACATTAACATAATTAAATAATTTGTTGGGATCAATGTTGGGATCAATTAAATGAAACAACATAATAATCGATTTGCCTGTAATCTGTGGGAGCTAGCTGGTGTAAAATATAATTTCTACTCGTATCTAATTTCACAAACAGCAGACCATAATTAGCCCTAATAATTATATTCTAATAGTTAATCGTTTTCAAAAGTAAATTTGCCCAATTAACTTCATCATTGGCTTGTCATAAGCTATGGAGTTGCCAATTTTATTCCTACTTTTGATAAAGATTTTGTTTTCATCGTTATATCAGAATTTGAAGGAAAAAAATATTTGTTTTAAAAATAATGAAATAAAATGTTTTTATTTTGAGTCTTAATAGATTAACAAAATATTTTTTAAATACCATTATGTACAGCTTATCTAAAAGATTTAATAATTGAGTTGGGCGGAGCTAGACCCATAGCAACACGAAGCACACGTACTGTACTGTCGACCTTTTTCGCGACGGACAATAATTAGCCTTGAACTTCTTTTATTTAATGACATGGTTCATGATAAGTTAACTCTCCCACGCCATTTTTGCTGTCATCTTATTTAAACTTTGTCTTTTGGGTAAGAATTATGAACATTTCTAGTTAGATTGCCTCTTGAATTTGCAAGTCTTACTTGCCGCGCCGGTTGCTATGACATGAGTGAACGCCAGGTACGGTACCGGTATCGCCTTCGAGCTGTTTGATAAGGAGCCCTAGCGCCCTGAAACCAGGCTTGAGTTTAACGCGCGCTAGTATTATAGACCTAGATCTAGTAGATGATTCGAAAAAAACATTATCAAAAAAGTTTTTGTGTTTTTTAATTCTCAGAATGATTAACAACATTGTGTTGTTCCTGATAGAAAGAATCTCCGTAGATCTAGATAGAGTCGCATAAATTTTCATCAAATTATATTTTTCGAGTCATAGGGTCTATGACTCGTAGTTATACCCATAACCAGCCCTAAGAGAAGTTTGTTCATGCCTGTAGACATCACATAAATGACATCACATAAATATTAAAAGAGAAAAATTGATCATCTTTGGCCTGCATTGCCTGGGTTAAAATCAAAAAGCACATGATCATAATTTAAAGTTTCATTTTAATCATAGTCATACTTTAGTAACTTAGTGACAGTCTGCATCACTGTTAGTGTTACTGCACATACTTTTTAATCTTAATATATGATACTTCTTTCTTCTTAAATCTCAGATCTTGACAACACCGATGTCTGAAGATGGCAGTTTCTTTGGGTAATATCAAAGCAAAGCGTACCCAAGCTGTTGCTCCAAGGAGTCTATTTGGTACCGTGATTGAAGTCGCGAATGAAGACGACATTCAACATGCCAAATCCCTACCAGTGCCCAAGAGGCGCATGAAGAAGGACAAGCTTGGCAACTACATGGCTCCAGACGCTAATGGCGTGCTAAAGAATGAACTTGCCGAGGTGGAGAGGCAAATGCATAAGGCTAGATTTGCAGAGAATGATCTCAAGGAGGCCTCTCATCTTGCTCTCACCTTTCATCCAAACCCTGACACCATTAAAACCGGTATCCCTGATGGAGCCCTATCTTTCAAACCAAAGAACCAGTATGCCCCATACAAGCAGGACATCAAGCTCCATTCTAGGGACATTTCACTGACGGAGCACTTCAACAAACCGATGGGAATCGATGCAAACCCGGACTATAATTATGAGCGTTACCGCCGGCCGTATACTAACACTCAATTCCAGCAAGCAGGGACTGTCCTTGGTAAAGGGGGTGCTTTCCCAAAGAAGGACGATGAATCAAAAAGCATGCGTGAAACTTTCCCTCCCACCACAAGACGTGTTCGAAAGACGCCTAGCCCAGGAATTCAGCCAGGGCAACGTGCGTTTCCTACCGACAGAATCCCGGACAACATTCGTTTCCTACATGGGGAGGAGCTGTGCAAGGAAGTGGCAAAGGAAAATGAGTTTCTGAGGAAGGCCACCCCTCCACCTAAGCGCATCCCTGGTCCCTTAATCACGGCCAAGTTTCCTCCAGTGAAGACGAGCATCTCCCTGGACACTGACCCCATGTATTCGGCCCTCGGCACGTCTTTGAAGCAGGACATCTTCAATGGTGTGCCACACAGCCATGTGAAGAGTCTCTACAAGAGTTCTTTCACACAAGACATCCATAACAAGTCTGTGGAAGTCTTCCCTCCCAAGTTTGCTATACAGAGGAATCAAGACAGTAAGTACTCAAAATTTGATTTGTTTCAGTTTGATCTAGGAAAATTATATAACTGCTATTGTAAAAAAAATAGATTGATTGCATGTGGATGGCAAATCAATAACAAAAAAGACTTTACATGTAACATAAGCTGGTTACACCCCAAATGAGAGATGATATTACACTAGACAAAAACACATACTTTAATATATTCCATGACAGCCTCTATCAAAAGACCTGGGAAGGGATCCATTAGCTTTTAAAAAGTTTTTCTATAGACTTAATGTATATGGTGAATACTGTAACAAATATGTTTGATTATTTCCATTCTGTTTCTTTATCTGACTGTTGTTCTCTTTCACTAAAAAACGATTTCCTTTTTCTTTACATGTAATGTAGTTTACTCTTTTTATTTTTTCCCTTTCTCTACTTTTTCCCATTTTTTCTCCTTTTATTTTACTATTTTTCTATTCCTCCTTTGTTTTTTTGTTTTCCTTTTTCCACTTGTTTTTGCTCTTTTTAAAGATTCTTTTCACTTTATATTTTGTTATTTGTATTTTTCTTTCTTCCTCCCTTTCTCTTTTTTTTTCTCACTATCTCTTCTGTGTCTTTGTCTTCCTTTCTCTTAATTTTACTATTCCACTCTCCCTTTACTTATCTCCATACCCCATTCTCTAATTTTGATTCACACTCTCTAAAAATGGTCTCATATCTATCTACCTTGCAGGTAAATGGAATGAGGACGGTGTGATCAGGATGAAGCTGTACAAGGCTTGGGATGCCATGACGCTGGAGCGACTACAAGCCAAGGGAGGTGGAACTTAAGAAAACACATATCTTAACTAATCTAAATCATGATGAGCCATTGATCAATGATGATACATACAGGTACATGGAGGTGGGTATGTACATACGGTAATATACAGATTTCATTCGAGATATTTGTGCTGACGATAATAATTTAGACTATCAATATGATAATATAAATTTGTTACGAAAATCTAAATCCCATTACAAAACTAACATAAAATTTTGTGAAGTAGTTTTTAGAATGTGAAGGATTTTAGTTGGATGATATCTTTTATGGACCCTAAGCCTTAAAATCAAAACTGACCATAAATTGCCATGGCTGCACATGTATAAGCATCATATCGTTCCTATTTTCACGAAGTGACGGTAGTGAGGAAAATCTGCACGCAAATTGTATGTGATTTTCATTCACTACAGTCACTGCGTGAAAATAGGGACGATATGGTTCCATGTACATGTATACATGAATATGGTTGCACACTCAAGTAATTTGATATATTTATATAATCAGGTAACCTTATATGAATGCTATGGTTATTTAAAAATTCAAGATATTTTTCACCTTATGCAAATATGCTTGCATTATAATTGTATTTATATTGCAATGTGGAACAAAGTCTTGATGTGACCAAGGCTAAGAGATGACTTATTGGAGGTTGTGAGATGGGTGCACATTATATGTACATGTACATACAAGAATTGCTATCCTACACATGAAATTGGAACTGGGAGTTTTCTAAAAAAAAACTTGAAAGGTGCTTGCCAAAAACAAAAATTGATTAGCTTTTCTACTTCCAAACAAACCATTCAAATTTCAATGTAATCTACAAAGTAATATCTTAACTTGTTTACTTTTCACAGTATTTTGTGTAATTTGTTTGATGTATTATATTTATCAGGACTTCTCATGAATACATTTTATGGGCTAAATTGTATCAATGACTCTTTGCTCATAGGATGAATACATATGTCAAAACTTTAAAAAGAAAGAATACCTTTGTATAATTGTTTTTTCTTCTGAAAATGCACATTCAGATTTTTACATGTATTAGATGTCCATATGACACCAGGATAATACAATTATTTAATTTTGTTTTATTTTAACCTTTTTGAATATTATTATTATCATTATTATTATTATTATCATTATTATTATTATCATTATTATCATTATTATTACCATTATTATCATTATTATTGTTGTTGTTGTTATTGTTGTCTAATGAATGTTTGAAACAAACCAATGTATTGATGAAATTTCTCAGGGCATCTATTTTTTTTTCCTTCATGTGTTTATGGATTTGAAGATGTTAAGATGGAGACACCATTTATTCCACAGAGTATATTCCCTATAATTATGAACCAAAGATTTTTCATGTTTTCCATTTTGATATCAAGAAGAGGTGCCTAAAAGTGTGTGCAAATTTTCATTTGGTGATTATCTTGCACATTATATAAAATTCACATCTTTGTGTTTAGTGTGAACAAAAAAGGATGCATTGATGTGATATTTATTTTTGATATCTGATAATGAGATGCAATGAAAAACATATTTTAGAATAACGGTATGGATGTAAGATTGTATGTACATATATGTTTTGTTTGTTGAGACCCAGAAGGTGTCAACTCTCTGTAAAAATGAGATTAGTTTATGACTTTCTGGCTCTCAGCAGATTTTGTCTATTTCATTATACATGTATATGTGTGTGATCATGTGCTAGCTAATCTACTTTTACATAAAATGAAGGAACATTAACTTTTGATACAATATTTCTATAACAATCATGTCCACATCATTATGTATTTTTTATACAGCAGTATATTTATATATTGCATGTACAGGTACATATGGTGCACTTAGATCAAGACGAATTTGGTTGTGAAAACTATGATTGGTTATGTACCTTGAGGATCAAATTTTGCATCATTAAAAAATCAGTTGTTAAAATTGTATTGGTGACAGGCCCAAGCTTCCTGTTAGTTTTGAAATATAGAATTTGTAGATGATTTGATAAACTTTGTGTTCTTGTATTTAAGTATCAAACAAGTTTTAGGGAAAAAATTCTTAAAATAACCACCATGATAATGAATTTTTTTTCTTGAAGCTTTTTGGTGAAACATGTACAAAATAGATGAATTCATAACTGTAGACTTTCCAAATTAAATATGGTTATTATGAATTTTTTTTGTACACTCATAAGTGTTCGGATATGTACATGTTGTATCAGTTAAGCACATCATGTCTTACTTGTTCTCAGAAATCATGGGTACCGGTACTGTATAATTGAGAACAAAATATCATTGCTTCTCTGGAGCTTAGAGGTAGAATTGTAAAGCCATTTTAAATATATATTTTTGTAAAATCCCCCTTATTAAATGTTTAACTCTCTCTCTCTCTCTCTCTCTCTCTCTCTCTCTCTCTCTCTCTCTCTCTCTCCCTCTCTCCCTCCCTCCCTCCCTCTCTCTCTCTCTTTCTCTCTCCCTCTCTCTCCCTCTTTCTCTCTCCCTCTCTCTCTCTCCCCCTCTCTCTCTCTCCCTCTCTCTCTCTCTCTCCCTCTCTTTCTCTCCCTCCCTCCCTCTCTCTCCCTCCCTCTCTCTCTCGTTCTTTCTCTTTCTCTCCCTCTCTCTCTCTATCCAGACACGTGTTGGCTGTGCTCTATCACAGTGTGTGTACTGTATAATATGGAAATGTACAGTATGTAAATAGCTTTTATTCTATCATTGGAAGCAGTATTATCTTGCTGAATAAAAGATTGTACATATTTTGTATTTTATCAAACTTGAAGCAAGAAAGAAACATAGCCAAACTAATAGCCTGCCCCTGTCTTTTGTTATATACCACATTGTAATTTTGATGGGTCCAAGAGTACACTGTATATGGTTTATGCAATCGTACGGACAGAGAAAGATGGAGTATGGAGCTGGTTGAGAAAGCCGTGTGAAAGAGATATAAAGTAAAAGAGTTTGAGATATTCAATTTGGAGACGATAGTCTTCGTAGATAGGGGAGGCAGTTATGACTGTATGCACCTGATATGAGTGGAGAATATAGAGATAATAAATAAAAGTATCGATGAAGAACTAAAGAACTGGGCTCATATTCATAAAACAGGTACGATACCCTATATGTAATTGGTCTTGACAATGCAACTATATTTAATAGTAATGTTTTTATGAATAGAGGCCCTAAAGTTGTGGGTGATAACCCTATTTAGCCCGGGCTATTTTGAAACTGCATAGCCTGGGGGGGGGGGGGGCTTCTAAGGCCCCCCCCCCTATGATCTCGGCCGTGAAACGACCTATCGCCGCAAAAAATTGCATGCATGTCAAGTGAAGTTTATAGAATACTATGGTAATTTCAATTTTTTGAAAAATTCACTCATTTGCATATCTATGGTAATTTATGCAAATATTGTAATAATATTCACATTTTTATCCATAAATCATATATCCTTTATTTTTAAACATTAATTTTCACTACATATTTTATTTAGACCATTTGGGATAATAATATAGCCCAAAAATTGGAAGAGCCAGGTTATTCCTTATGTAATCTATTGTTTTGATAATTTCTTATGTATTTCTTTGCTTTTTAACTTATGTATTTTATTGTTTTTGTTATTTTATTTCATTTCCCACTATAATTCAACTATTTTGACCCCAAAATAAGCACCTAAACTATAAACAAGACCAAATAACCAATGTTTTATCTCTTTATTTGAAAAATGAGATTTCCATATGTTTTGTACACAAATCACAAACATGAGCGATTTTCGGGCTGACATGCAAAGACAAAAGGACACGTGGCATTGTAATGGTAGGTCCGATTTTCGAAAAAATTTCTTTCAAAAGATGCGCAAGACTCAAAAGAAAAAAAGTCACAAAAATTTCAGTGCAAGATTTTCTTGCGTTAAAAAAATAATCGCGTAAAATGTCGGGGGGTGGGGGCTTCTAAAGAGTGCGCGAAAATTTCGGAAGGAAAAGACTATACATTTTCGTACATACAAGTCTTAACAAACTGCAATTTATTACTATATACAGACACATTGGAGGATCGTTAATTCTTAAAGGCTACAGGGGCGTCGCTGGAACGTTTTTAATATGGGAGGGTTTCCGGATCGAATCCAACAAGCGCCATCCCGGTGGTTCTTAAACGATGGCGGGAAAGAGGTGGGGGCTATAAGGGTATACGTACGTGAGATCGGGATTTGAATTAAGGATCTAATAAGTCATGTAATTTATAGCTAACACTACACTATGAAGGCTTGATTGTATATACCAGGTGTGGGTATAGTGGAAGGGTTACCTGGCTTCCACCAGTGATTACATTTTGAGATTGTGTACATGGTATCAGGGCGGCGATCCCGGTGGCGGTGGAGACACGCCCCCTCCCTCGATTTTTAGGGGGGGGGGGGGTTGTCCCCCTGGAAAATTTGAAAAAGTGCAACAAGTAAAATGTATAGCAAATACTGACTTAAGACTGCGACACATTTTTAGGCTCTGGATGGACCAATTGTGCAACGTTTAGACTAATAAAAATGCTAAAATCTTCTCGCTCGGTCGCTACGCTCCTCACATAATATCCTTCAAAATGTTCAAGTAAATTTTGTAGAAAATCTGTATTCCGTTGGTATCACCGTTTTACCTACTGGCGTACTGAGGAGAGGGGAGGGGGGCAGTCCCCCTCTCCCCCCCCCCCGAATACAATTCAAACGGGGTCTATTTATAATTTGTTACCACTTACCAGTGATTACTAGTAACAAATGTTGCTGAAATGACATGATTTTCCGTGATTTTTTATGCATGTTTTTGTAATTCATACCTTTTTATGCGTTTGTTGGAAAATAAGAAATTCCCAAATTACAGACGGGGGTAAAATCGCTGTGCACGAGCCCCCCCCCCCCCCCCCCCCCTCACTTTAAAAAAAAAAATGTTAAAGAGAAAAAGAAAGAAAGACGGAGAGAAAAAAAATAAGTGACCTGCCATATCACAAATAAGGTATAAAAAATGCTCATCTGACAGTAATTAAATGCCTAAAACCCCAGAGCTTACGGGGGCTCCGCCCTCAGACCCATGGACGCTCATCTGACCGTAATCAAAAACCTAAAAAAAACCGAGTTTCCGGAGGTTAAGCTTAAGCCCCCTGGACCCTACCAAGGGCCCTAAGGCGGGTCCCTGAATGCTCATCTGACCATAATTAAATACTTAAAACCCCCGAGCTTCCAGGGGTTCTGCCCCTGGACCCCACCAAGGGCTCTAAGGCGGGCCCCTGGAAGCTCATCTGACCGTAATTAAATACCTAAAACCCCTGAGCTTCCGGGGGCTCTGCCCCCTGGATGCACATCTGACCGTAAATAATTGCCTAAAAAACCCAAGTTTCCGGAGGTTCGGCCCCCTGGACCCTACCAAGGGCCCTAAGGCGGGTCCCTGGATGCTCATCTGACCATAATTAAATATTTAAAACCCCCGAGCTTCTGGGGGCCCTGCCCCCTGGACCCAACCAAGGGCGCCTAAGGCGGGCCCCTGGATGCTCATTTGACCGTAATTAAATATAGAAACCCCTGAGCATCCGGGGGCTCCCCCTCCTAGAACACGTCAATGGCCTTAAAGAGTGCCCCTGAATGCTTATCTAACCATAACTAAATACTTAAAACCCCTGAGCTTCCGGGGGTTTAGCCCCCTGCCGATCGAGGCTCATGCCCTGGATCCCACGCCAATTTACGCTCTACGATCGTATATACTTCCGCGGGACCTGCATGTAACGTGTAAGACTGGTAGTGATGCAGATTTTTCGCCTGCCCCCCCCCTTCCGAACGTTTTTCCTCATTACGTCACTGCCCCTGGAAGGTGAGCCCCCTGGAATGTTTGCTCCCCCCCCCCCCCCCCATCCCAAACTGCTTCCAATAGTCTCCATCATGATTTAAGCATTTTTATACCGAAGTAGAAGTTTATGTTTCAAGTGATATTTAAAAGTAAT